CATAGTAAGAGAGGGAACTGCACAATAAAATTCCACCTTTATGCGGTGAAAAAACAGTTAAGAAAATCTAGCACGTCGAGATAAATGAAATTGTACAATTCCCATAAAAATAAGTTAAATAAGAATAAACAGGTAGAGGATTTCTTTGATGCCTATAATTGTGTTTATTTAGTCAGCTATGTTCAAAGTAAATAGCACGATCTTTTCTTTATCTATAAACATAATACAGTTAATCAATCTGTCAGATATCTGTCAGTTAATCCTTTCAAAAGTACGATTGTGATAGTAGGTTTATCACAGACAAAATTAGCAACGATTAATTTTCTTGTATTTCTGTTGATGTTTCATAATTTAAGCACGAAAACTAATGTTTATTTATTTTGTTTTCTTGCTCTGTTTCGATTACGTGCTTTGTGATCAGTGGCGGGCCTAGGGGGGCCAGCATCAACATGGCGCCCTACATAACTAACACTATTGTCTTTTTTCCTGACAATATTGGCAGTCCAGGGGCGGTGTCAAGAAATTCAAAGTAAGGGGGGGGGGCTCAAGTTAATAGCTTTATTCGACTTAAAAACCAACATTGGGAAGGGTCGGCTAGAGGTTGTCGGAGGCGCTTGGTATAACTCTTAATAGTGGCTTTCTTGCGAGCGTAGCGAGCTGACAATTTTTGCGACCACGCTCTTTGATTAGCTTAAAATGCATTTCAAAATATTTCATGCAGTCATTTTCTTGAAATCGTTTAAAAATTCTGCTATTTTTAAGGCATGCTTTTAGTAGGTTTGATTAATTCCAGTCTTAAAATTGATTTCATTACTTTGTAATAGGGAAAAGAGTCCACCCTATCGTTGTATCGTCGAGACAAATTGGTCCTTCCATGAGAAATGAAGCAAAGAGACAAAATCTACTGACCCTCACATGAGCACAGGGACGCAAATAAAATAATTTTACATGGGGGTGTCAGGACATATTGGACCGACTCACGTACAAAATTGACTGTCTCTTAGAAGCCAATCCAAGCAGATAAACTAAATAAAAATGTGTCAAAACATGTTTGGGAACTTTCAAGAGACCCTACGATGTGGTAGAATGAGATTTTGTTCTCTTTGTAACTGTTGTGTTCATTTGGCATCTTGCAGGGGAATTCAAAGCGCCAGATAAAATATTTACCTTTGTTTTGCTAAACTTGTACTTTGGGGCAGCTAAACAAGCTAAAAACATGCATGCAACTCAAGTAGCAGTCAAGGGGCAAATTAGGGGAGTGTAAGGGTAGCAAATATTGGAAAGAGTCGGTCCTAGCCAATAGTTGGAGGATTCCAGTTACTCATAAGGCTAGAAAATGCGTTTCTAACATATCTTTGAATGCATTATGTCATTTGATACAAAATGAAGTAAATATTCCATCGAACTTTAAAGAAATATTATTAAAGGCCAAACAAAACGCAACCGTTAAGAAAATAAGGCCCGACCCAACTTTCTTGTCAAAATCAATGTATGCCTCTTGATAAAGAAGCCTGAAGTATCTATGCGTTAGAAACATGAAGTCAATGTTTTGAGTTAAAATTCATCCGTTTAATTTATCCTTTATGAAAAAACCTAATAAGAGCTGGTTTCATTATGTTTTAGCTTTGAATGCACTTTTTAGGGTAATTTCTTGTTATCTTGTGCATTTAAAACTGTACGTTCGTAGAAGTGACTTGAGATATAACATATGGACAAATCTAGGATGAAGCAATTAAACAACCAAATTGTCTTTTAATTAGGTCTCTGAAGGCCAGCAGAGCCAAAGAGACTCATCGAAAATCAAAATTTTTCCTGGAAGGGGGGCATGAGTCTGGACACCCTAAACACAGACTGTCCCCCGACACCCTAGACTAAAAAATTGATTATTTTTTTCGCCCCTGGGAACAGTACAAATGTTTTGTCTGGATAATACAGTACTCAAGGGGCACAAAGACGTGCCCTGAAATGCGACTGTTCTAGGGGGTATGGGGCCATGCACCCTAAGAAAGTTTTGGATTTTAAGGCGTCTTCTTTGTCGCTGCTGACTTTCTAGAGACCTAATAATCGGACAAGTCGGTCGTATCAAACTTTTTTCGAGTTTTCGGTGCCCTATACAAGCTTTGGCGCTCCTATAAAAAAGTCAGCTTGGGGGCTTTACTTTTGCACCAGGAAATATGCAAAATAAATATACAAACAAGCAAAGTTTTGTTTGGAGAAAGTTTACTTGAAAATTTTTCTCAAAGGCGCAAAAATTGTTTATCTTTTGGCACTAGTAAAAATACAGAATACGGTTGAAGCCGATGAAGCTAAACAAATGGTCATTTACTGGTCAACTTTTTTGTCAATTACAAGGGAGTCCAAATAGCGAAAAACTATGAAGTTTTGTGCATATTCTATCGAACTACGGAATTATAAATTGTGCCCTAAAAAGACAGTCTGATTTTTCAGCAAATAGCTGCACTCACTGGCAAAACAGAATGAAAGTCAAGAAGGAACGACAAACCAGAAAAGGTTGAAACCTATGGCGACAACCTTAAGGGAGCATTTCGCTCGTCGGAACACGGTTGGCGACGCATGAAAGTAATATTGAAACCGAGTGGTGTATCACTCCAAATGTCATCGTACACCCTGCCAAAACTCCGCAAAAGTCGACTAAAATCCTTTTAAAAATAAAAAATCCACAACATATTTAAAAATCCAAAAATTCCTGTCATACTTAGAAGGTCCAATAAATCCGGTACCAATTCCAAGAAATATGGCTAAACTCTGGCAGCATCAACATCACGGACTAAAAATTTGAGGAAAAATCCATGAAATCAATGAAAGAAATAATTGGAAGATGTGATGGATGATCTGATTGATGACATTGGGTAATCCGGAGCAGTGAATACGAAGACTTTCCGTTGTTGTTGCTGTTACCATTCCTCGTGATAGTTCCTCTATGGCTGGAAATCATTTTAAGTAATACGAGTTCTTAAGGGCACTAAGACCCCGTTTACACTGTCCCGGGACAATTTTGTACCGTTACGGTTCGCAAGTGTTTACACTGTCGCGGTTCCAAATTATTTCGTTTAGCCGTTCCGTTTACACTGTACTGGTACAGTGTAATGGCTTCAGAATTTGATGGCAGAACATTGTTTAGAAGAAGCTGTATTTAGTCAACCAGGCTTTTATTTTGCCGCCGAAGTCAACAATCGAATTTTAATTGATAGTTAAAATGGAGTGGAAGGCTGATAAAAACTTCACTTGGACGAACGACAAGGTGGCTTTAATTTTCAGTGGTATTTTAGACTACAAAACTGCAAAGTCTAATCAAGGCTTGGACTGGGAAACACTACAAGCCTTTTCTGTGGTCGTCTTTTCTTCAGAATTTCCTTTTCTTCAGAATTTGACAACTTAGTTACACCACAATCAAAGCCTCGATTACCTGAAACAGCCATTCAAAAGACCTCTTTGTGAATCCGTGACAAAATCGTCTCGGATAAGTGTTTACACTGTCCCGTTCAAAAACGGAACCGTGACGGTATGAAAAGATCACCCAATCCAGACTCTTTTGTAGAATAGCTGAAGTATCCACTAAGTAACATGTGATTCAATGAAAGTGCCAACCTGGATTTCGTTAGAATGAAAATAGAATTTACTTTCAAGTGGTATGCATCAAGTGTCATCATTTTTTGAAGAATATTTCATCATCAACTTAATAAAGTTGTTTTGTAGATTTATCTTTTGAAACATAAAGTTCATGGCTGATCTGCATGAATCAATAAAAGGTGCTAACTTACAGTTGAACATAATCAGAATGGTCAAGCAAAGAGGTATAACGAAGCTAACTGCCATTTCTTTAAGATTTTTAGATTGATTACCAAAATCCAAAGAATTTGTTTAAAATCTTAAACATCCGCAAATCCGAACCCGAAATCGAAGGATTTCGAAATTCGAAAAAGTCCCGTACGCATTTTCATGGAGTTATAATACACCCATGAAAACCAGGATAAAGAATCGTTTTAAGTAACTTCACAGAGAACGCTTGGCTTGAAGAATTTTCTTGCACATCAATTTTTGAATAACTTATATTAAAAAAACGAAGGCACTCCTTCATATCACATTAGCCTGTCAAATACTCTATGGGTTGCTAGCAAAAAGCGGTTTTTGTAATAAATGTTGCTATTAGATTCAAATTCGAACACCGTACTTTGATTAATACAACACCTGCAGTAGGTACAGGCACACCTGTAAGAAGGCTAAAATTAATCTGGCTTTGTAGAAAACATTACATAACCTCATTAAAAACAATCAACAGGTACAAAAATGGCTATAGTCATCTTTCAATCAACAATTGGCCAATCAGTGAGCGTGACACACTCACACGCTTGCCGATTGGCTAAAATTGATTGACATATGGCTTAAGTCACTTTTATACCTGCCAACTGCCTTCAAACAACAGAAGTTGGTATTTAGAATTTCGAGATGATTAACTGCAATTTTGTAAGGTATTTTGAGCCTTTCGCATATTTTTTCTTTTATCTGAAATTGCACCTTGTCTGGATGATATGTAAATAGCAATGAAGTATCATATAATATAACAACTCAAGCAGGCAGGATTTAGCAAAGATAAGGTTTTTTGTTGCTTTCTGTGTCTTGAATTAACAGCAATAAAAAAATTTTGATAACCAATATTTCATTCTCTCAGACTTTGCTTCGCAATCACAATTGCCGTTTATACACATGCGACAATATCGCGCCTTCCTTGTGACATATTTGCTGAGTTTCGCATCTTCAGTATTGGGAAACGACTAACAGGTCACGTGTTAAGAACAGACAAAGGATTGGAAGATGGGCAGTGCATGATGAAATGTGTAGAGCACCGAAAATGTCGCTCTTACAATTTGAATGTTGAGGAAAAGCTTGCTACTGCAGTTGTTTGTTGAGCTCTAGATGCTTTGGCAATTTGTCAGCCTTGAATAAGGTATTAGAGACTGACAAAGAAACATTAAATAAAATACAGTGTAGAAGAGAGGGCTTATGCGGCTATCGCCTCCTAATTTTGCCAAAACAAACATAAGAATTAAGAATGAGCCACCTTCAATCCACAGTTATAAGCTCTGTTGTGAAAACTTGATTTCATTTGAACTGATACCGGCTGTTTGCATTGGATGTTAGCTAAAACGGAACCTAACGGGTACAAATTCAACAGCGCATCCAAATTGGTAGCAATTGGGTAGCAGATCCAACTTGGAATTGAACTATCAGATCCATTGTAAACTGGAAAAATGTTTGTGATCGTTTTGATTGGATCCGGTTCTGATGCGTACTAGTAAGAGTGGGATGTAGGACGCGGTTTCAGTCTAAATCGGTGTTCCGCTTAAATTCAAAGATAATCAGTAGTCACTTTCAGATCTTCTTTAGTGTTTAGGAAACAACAAATCAGCAACTAACAGTATTACAATACAATATCATTTTACAATAAGCTACCATGATTAGAGACTTCGTGCATTTTTGAAAATTCTTACTTCTAGATTTGGTTTCTTGTCACTCGGCTATATGTTTTCGTTTATTTTATATTTCGATACTCTACTAAAAGATGAAAGACTGAAAGTTGTACAGTTAGCTTGTGCTACAAATCTTGCTAGTGTCAGGTATAGTAAAATCCTTTTATATATGGAATAGATGAAAGACAGTTTGATGACCTGAGGAGCGATTTCAGTTTCAGGTATAAGAGCAATTGCTTTGGTACTATCTTATGATTCAATTATTATCTTCTTTATATTTCTTTTATATTTCAACATTATCTAATACTGTATATTGTAATTTCTACACTTCTAGAAATAACGTTTCATTCCTAATTACCAATCAACCAGTCAATCAATCAATCAATCAATCAATCAATCAATCAATCAATCAATCAATCAATCAATCAATCAATCAATCAATCAATCAATCAATCAATCAATCAATCAATCAATCAATCAATCAAACAATCAATCAATCAATCAATCAATCAATCAATCAATCAATCAATCAATCAATCAATCAATCAATCAATCAATCAATCAATCAATCAATCATTCAATCAATCAATCATTCAATCAATCAATCAATCAATCAGTCAATCAATCAATCAATCAATCAATCAATCAGTCAATCAATCAATCAATCAATCAATCAATCATCACAATCAATCAATCAGTCAGTTAATCACTTCAACCAATCACTTTATTACAAATAATCAACCAACAAATCTTTAATATCAATCAATACTTACAAAAAAGGTTGGTGCAACATGCAAGAAACTGAACCCTTGCAAAGCTGGAGTTCTTTGCAAAGATAAATGCGAGCCCCCTTTCTACGAATGCATTATGAATTGCAGCGAGAATGAATCTGGATCACATTGCAAAGCCAGACCAAACGGTTGGTATCAAATTCGATTTTTCATTGCAGATTTTTTTGTCTCTTGTAGCTAGGATGAAGTTTATGGTGGAAAATATCCGTTGTTTCTTTAATTTTTGCAAAATTCTTAACGCATATTGTTCTTCTGCCTCCACCTTATGAACATCTAGGCTCAATAATTGAAGACTAACCTGCTAGAAATGAAAAAAAAGAATTGAAAATAGCAAGGAAGAGTCGAAGCATATCACGCCAAAGCACGTTTCACCCGACACTCCTCAGAGTATTAAAATGTCGGATAATGTCTGATGATAAAAAGGTTTTCTTTTGTATGTTTTAGTATTATTCATACCTTAGTAGACCATTCATTCTTTTTTTGTGGATATCAAAGAAACTACAAGCCTATCTTAAATCTCAATTCATTTTATTGACTTGTAGAGGAATAAAGTTGGCAATTTCAAGGCAGCTTATTCGTTGCAGTAGCTAGTATATGACATATCGATATTATAGTCAACATAATAAATGCCTTCTTGCTATTCATTCTAGTTGTAATGAAAAATCGTTATGTTGTTATGAAGCAGCTATCAAACAACAAGTTCATCAATAAAGAATTCTTTTTTAGCTGACAACCAATGCAGCAGTCATCCATGCACAAATGGGGGTGGCTGTATCGATGTCATAACTGGGTACAAATGTAACTGCATTGAAGGTTATACTGGAAAAAACTGCGAACATGGTGGGTGAGAGATTGGATTAACATGAAACTTGCTTTATCCAACATTATGAACTGCTAATTGATTCTGAAAAATTTTTATAGAAATAATGTGAAATGAAGTTCTTCTGTAATTGCGCATTACGTGAATTTGATTCCATACTTATCGCAGGCAATCTTTGACATATGCAAGCATACTTGATTTCATTAAACTAATAATCATAGCAATGCGTTTAAGGAACATGAAATTATATATTCAACAAATAAGATTGTCAACCAAGGGAGATTATTTACTTTAATGTCATTTTCCATTTTTGACGGGATAAATTTGAATGTTGAAAGCAATACATAAAAAAGCAAGCCAATCTTATTTCTATGAGGAACAGTCCTCGACTTTGTTAACTAATAAAGATGTGTATAAACAGAGGTTATATCATCTGAGTAATATCTTGATGACAATATGGTAAATCTAGGTGATTTGTTTCAACAGATATCGACGAGTGCACCAGTTTGCCTTGTTTCCATGGTGGCAAATGCATTAATCAAGTTAACAATTTTTCATGCAACTGTCTTCCAGGATATTTAGGCAGACACTGCGAGACCGGTAAGTGATAAATATATTATGATGAGCTGTTAAAAGATCTGGATTTAAGATAACAGAATTAATAAGCAAACCAAATTCGGTTTTGTATTCCTATGCAAGGTATTAGCAAATTGCATTGCAAATCCTTTTATTCTTTCACATCCTGAAAAACCTGTTAATTTTACTTTAAAATCAAAACTTTGCTAATGTAAAAGCTTTTATTTAAAGATTTTGACGAGTGTGAGAGCAATCCTTGCCAAAACGAAGCTATTTGCAACGATGGAGCGAATGGATATACATGCACGTGTGTGAATGGATATACAGGACGAAACTGTGAGACAGGTCAGTTCCAAATATCATGTCTTACATTATTTTTCAACTTTCATTAAAAAACACAAATGCTACTCTTCCAGTAACTCAGTCTTTTTCCTATTGGTACAAAGAAATTGACTCGAATACCAGAAGACTAGCAGTTTTTCCATAAGATTACAGTTGCTCGCAAGGATTTAATGCTGTAAACAGAGTGAAGCATTTCTGATTGTACACTCACATTTTTATAAGAAACTCACTATAAGAAACGAGCATTGGACAATCCGACAATACTAAGAAACGTTATAACTGGGAGCAAAAAAACTAGCAAACAACTGAATTTTGAAAAACCCTAAATCAAACTTTTATGAAAATCTTTCAAAACGATTAGCTGCTTCACACAAATATTTAGGAGTAGAGCAAAAATATGCTTTCCTTGTCCACGTTCAGCTTTAGAACAAAAGCGAATCTCTGACTCAAGTTTCAAGAAAAGAAACATTGACGAGTTTCACTGTTTGCCGCTGCGAAAACTCTCCGAAAAAAAAATCAATTGAAAATTTTCCTGGCCCGAAAATTTAAATATAGGCCCGAAATTCTTCAAGCTACAGGCATTATAATTAAAACCACTCATTGATCTAGAGTATTGAAATTTCATAAAGTTTTTATAAACTATAAATTGAGCTTTTTCATAAAACATGAGCGTAAACTTCTGGGCTATTTATTGTTTTTATTTTGAACCTTTGATTTGAAATGGAAAATGAAAAATTGCGGTAAGTATAACAAAAATTATCTAATGAATTTTCATCATTTCTTTTACAGAAATCTTGGAATGTGAGAGCAACCCTTGTCCAAATGGATCTTTCTGCGTGGATGGTTTCAACCGATTTTCCTGCATGACGAGTATACTATTCATTTATCAAATTTACAAGACTCGTTGGCAGTTTTTGAAAAAATGATTAGCCTTCCTCCAGTCATTAACTGAAAGCGTTTAATGTTTTGAACCTTCTTAGAAATGAAATAAAAGAAAAACACAAAATTACCTTTGAGTCCTTTTTACGGTTGTGGATGTTGTAGAAAGAAAGATAGAAAAGTAACAAGGAGCGAAATAGATGTCATAAAAGAGGAATTGCGCCTTCATCGTCTACCTATCCAAACTGTTGTTGATAAATGATAAGTAATTTCTTGTTTTGCAAATCGTGTCATCCTACTGACAATATTGCAAATTGATTGTAAAGACAAGAGGTCTATTTGTTTCAAACAATTAGGTATCATGCTCAACAGAATTTTAGGAGCACTTCAGAAATTGCTTGAGAAACATTTTGACCTGGATACAGAAAAAGATTCTGGAAAAAGAAACCTGAATTTGAAATGTGCATTTGCATTTGATTGTCATAGCAGATTGAATCACCTTTATAAACCTATTCTTAGAATACCTGATTATTGTATTTTATCTTTAGGGAAGAAAGAGGCCTTATAAAAAATATTTCTCGTAAACTAAAAAAGTTATACTACTGATGTTACCTACTTGCATCGACAGGCATTGTAAGAGGCAAGACTACATCACAGTCAAGCACTTCTTTTGCCAGCAAGGCTTCGCCTAATGGCGTAGATGGAGTTGTAAATACATGCATTGAAACAAACGTTGAAGCTAAGTCGTGGTGGAAAGTGGACCTTGGTGGCGATTATTACATCGCTGGTGTTCAAATAAGACAAAAATCTGACTGCTGTTGGTTGAGCAATTTCAAAGTGAAAGTTGAGAGTGATGTGTGAGTATCAATTCATTTGGTAGAGTTAACTTTAAAATGCATCGTTTGAACAGATAGATACTCTAGTTTCACAGCTTTGGCTTGAATTCATCTCTTTTAATAATAAACAAATATAACAGTCAATACTTTGAAAAAGCCCAATAATCGAAGTATTGATTTAATGTAAGGATAAAGTAATGCTACTATAAATCAAAAGTAGAATCCTGTTTAACTAGAACTTATAAAGAAATATGGACTAAAGTATTGATAGGCAAGAGCTTAGAGAGAAAAATCAGAATATGCTGATATTTCATTTGACATCTTGTGCGACCAGTATTATGCATGACGTGTCAGTATTATTGCATCTTATACCTGTTATCTTTTTACCATGTTATCTTATACCATGTTATTAACTGTCATGCCTGTTACTTTTTAAACGAACAGGCAAAAATAACAAAATTGAGACAAATACATCAAAACCTCAGTTTGACCTAGAAAACAGTCTTTCATATTAAACTAAAAATTTGAATACACTAAAAACAGTTTTGTGAGGGGACTCAAAACAAAATTTGGACATACAGAAGAGGAGACCATTTACACTGGCCGCGTTCCGTTATATACGGTAATGTTATTCCTGCCGTTTTATGCTTTTCATCTCCCCTATAAAAATTTCTAACAATTAGCAAATACTGCGCTGTTTTTTCTTTTATCGTTCTTTATTGTCTATTTTTCAGGTGCTCTGAATTTACTGGTACATCTTACAATGAAACGATATATATTCCTTGCGACTCAAGCTTGCGTGGCAAAAACATTAAAATTGAGGCCCTAGAGGCTGCATCTCTGACAATATGTGAACTGGATATCATCAATGTGAGAAAAGGTAGCAGAAAGAAAGAGATAAAAAACGATTTTTTGCAGTATCTTGTAACGAATGAACTATTTGGAATGGCTTTCATATGGGTTAAAAAGATTATAGAAGATGCTTCAGACTTTTCATCATCAGCTCTTTCAAAAATGAGTTCCGTCTTTTACTTTGAAAAAAATTCATTTATTTTGATATGTTTTGTTTCTTTTGTTCCATATTGTAACCTTTTTTACCGATTTATCTAAACTTGAGTAAACATTAATCAAATTTTCTTTTATAAAATTTTCAATATTCAAAAGTTTAATGAGTAAATTAATTTGGTAAAATTGAAATAGACAAAACTTCTTTTTTAAGACATTGCCAAAGATAAATTTGCCAATCAGTCATCGCTTTTCGGCCATGGGTATGCCTCATTAGCCGTTGATGGAAAATACGGTCAAAGTTACTCGAAGAATGAATGTTCTCACACAGAAAATGCTGCTAAAGATTGGTTGCAAGTTGATCTTGGGACAGTACACATTGTTGCTGCAGTTTATATCCTCAACAGAGATGACTGTTGCAGCGAACGACTGAAAGAATTCTATGTATTTGTTGATGACAAAGTGTGAGTACATTGGTTTTTTGCCTGTCCTGTCCTGTCCTGTCCTGTCCTGTCCTGTCCTGTCCTGTCCTGTCCTGTCCTGTCCTGTCCTGTCCTGTCCTGTCCTGTCCTGTCCTGTCCTGTCCTGTCCTGGTCCTGTCAGTCCTTGTCCTGTCTGTCCTGTCCTGTCCTGTCCTGTCCTGTCCTGTCCTGTCCTGCCTGTCCGTCCATGTCCTTTCCTGTCCTGTCCTGTCCTGTCCGTTCCCTGTCCTGTCCTGTCCTTCCTTGCCTGTCCTGTCCTGGCCTGTCCTGTCCTGTCCTGTCCTGTCCTGTCCGTCCTGTCCTGTCCTGTCCTGTCCTGTCCTGTCCTGTCCTGTCCTGTCCTGTCCTGTCCTGTCCTGTCTGTCCTGTCCTGTCCTGTCCTGTCCTGTCCTGTCCTGTCCTGTCCTGTCCTGTCCTGTCCTGTCCTGTCCTGTCCTGTCCTGTCCTGTCCTGTCCTGTCCTGTCCTGTTTGGCCTCTGTTTGACATACGCTTTTTCCATCGTCTAGCTGCACCTTCTATCAGGGAATTGCTGGGTCTAAAATCTACTTACCATGCAAAAGACTTAGAGCTGGACAAGTTGTCAAAATCCAGTTATCGAGAAATGACCAGTTGTCCCTTTGCGAAGTCGAAGTTCATGGGAAAAGGTATTTGTATCCTAGTCAATCAAATTTTCTTTCACTGATCACGATGCATATTTACCTGCTTAAATACCTGCCTGAGTTCTAAGAAATTGTGGTATCTTCGAAACAGTGTGACAGATGACAGTTACAAAGGATCTTCAGCCTGCGTTTATCAGAAAACAAATACTATGTAGAAGCTATTAATTTATGCGATTAATCCGAACATCAACTTTCAGATCTATTTTACTTTTAAACTGGTATACTCTCCTAGTAAGCTCAAGTAGAACGATATTATAAATGTCAATGATTGCATAGTATTTGAAAACACGAGAGGAAATGAAAGAGTATTTGAAATTTGTCCTGTTAAGTTTTAGTATTGCTTCTTTTTAACTTTAGTATTGCAACCTAGTGTAAGCCATATTTTGAGTTTGAATGGCTCAGCTTCGTTTTATCAAACTCAAAATTTTTGAAACTATCTAATTTATCATTGGATCTGAGACTCAGCTTATTTTTATCTTTGAATTGTTTTTAATGCTTGCATGCAGGCTAGAGTGATTTTGTGAATTCGCATTGTAATTTATAATGACGAAATGTTTTGGCTTTTCTTTTGCATACCCAACACTCTGTTGCATAGCCAACTCAATGCTTAACATGCATAGCAATGTATTTTCTTGCCTTATGACGTAATTTTTTTTAGACTCTGAGCCCTGAGCTTCATGCAACTATAAAGGCTGTTAAAGATGGCGAAGTATATGGAACATAAAAAGACTAATTCATCATTGATTCTTACGTGCAAATTTTTTTCAAACAAATAAATTTGCCTTAAAATTTAGTTGACCGCAATGACTTTAAAATGCTAGTAAATGTGATTGTTTTTCACTTAAAAGATCAGCACTGTCGTACACTAACTGCGCATTTTAAAATTTTAAAATATTGCTGACTATCTTTGACTATGAGAGCAAACTTTTGAATTTTAGTTTTGGTTACAATGGAAATGTTGCAAAATTTTTGAGCAATTTTATCATTTCGTAACTGTAAGTTAATTTTAAATCAGATTTTAGATTATTTGCATCATCTTTCTTATCACTTACATGAAGGCTATTTCTGTACTCTGCACCTAAGGACAAAGCTTTTTCAAAAGCTGCACCTTTGCTAAAAACTTCAATCGCAAGAAATTTGAGCTGCAAAATGTCTATTTTTTTGCTTGAACTCTGTGTAATTATGACGTATTTTTACCTCAATTTTAAAAAGTTCTCATATTGTTCACAAAGAAGAGTACTGATTAAAAAGCATTGATTTGTGATATCAAAGAATCTAATGAGATCAAACATGCACGGACAGTGAGCTTGGAATGTAAGAGACTGACAAATTTACAAAAATATATTGCATTTTTGGTTCTGCTGGCAGAACCTAGATATACAAAATCTGTTAAAAGAACCAAGATAATTCGAAAAAAAAATGAATAGTAGCTGACAGAAATTGTAAAATGGAAATGCGAACAACTATTTCATAAATATTCTACGAGAAAAAATAAACTAGATTGCTAGATTGAAATTTCAAACTGCGCAAATTAAAATGAACTGCAAAAGACAAATTATAGCTCGACAAACACTCTATCGTAGGATTTTGCGCTCTAGATAATTTACCAGAATGGAAACTTAAAGGAAATTTGTTGATATATTTTTACAAAGTTTAAAAATTTGCAACAAAAAAAAAGATTGGAAATTTTAGCTTGAGACACTATAGGATGAATTCAAAGTAGAAATGCGTTTGGAAAGCCTCTTAAAATGATGCAATGCGCGTTGAGAAAGAGGGAATCTGGCAAGTTGACTTTGTAGCTACAAAAAGTACCCAGCGACAGGCCCTTGCCATTTTGTGATGACATGACGGTCGGTTTTGCCTCATTCAAACTAGAAATATCAGGCATAGGTAGCTAAACATTTGCATAGTTAGCAAAATTGTAACGACAGGGGATATAAAATCTACTAAATTCACCTTTTGCACAGCAATCTCAGTTGAATAACGTATCCAAATGAAAAAGGAGCTGCATTTCAGGATAAACATCTTCAAGACAAACATGCAATGATTTTTGTTATTTTTGTTGCATTGGTCCCGTTTCCTTTTTTACTATTTCTTCCTCGCCAAAAATCAACACTGTAGTACTTGCCACAAATTTGTTAGTTGCTCTAAGGTTACCTCTGATTGCTTGCTTTTTGCAATGGAATTCTACTTATTTTGGAAACAAATTTGACGATAGATTTCCGTTGATTTACAGTATTTCAATGTGCTCAAACCGATCGCGTATAACAATCAATTGCTTTTAAAGAACATATAAGCTCTCCAAAGAAAGAATATTCTGAAACCGGCAAGGCTCTTTCAGACTTCTATGCAGTAGCGGCGCCACAGGGGACTGGGGGGAACACGTCCCCCCTAGTTCTCGGCAGGGTCGATTTTGTACTTCGTATAAATTTTACGAGAAAATGTTGGGGGGGGGGGGTAATATTTCGACAGCGTACTTTATGTGTGATATAATCATAGGATTCTCAAACTGCCTTTACCTAGCCAAAGTTAGTCATAGGGGTTCCCTTTGGTCAGATTTGGCGTTCCCTGTTGGCGAAAGGGCGTTTTCTGGCGGTTAAAAGGGCGTGGCCAAAATTTTTTTGCTTTGTGGCTGGCGCCGCTATTGCTTCTATGGAACGTTCAAAGGTTCTCCCGAAATTCTAATTTGATGTTTAAAACAATTAGAAAAGCTATTCATTGTACAAAAAATCCATTAGAAGAAATCGAAGAATGTTCCACGTTTTGGGAGTGAACTTCCAGAAAATTTGTCCGAAGTTCCCCAGCAACAGTGTAATGCGGTTTGTATTATATGCAATGGATTCAAGACTAACTACATGATAGTCAAAGGTAGAAAAAATGATAAGAACCGATCATTTGCTTCTGATTTTTGGGACTGCTAACTGCCTGACCGGTGTGTTTCGATTTTGCTTAACTGTGAACAAAATTCGATCGGGAAAATCAAGGGGAAAATTACGAATCATCCAATGATAGCCAAAGCATTGTGTTTAGCAAAATCATTCTTGCATGTCATAAAGATGAACAATTGAGAATATTTGGGAATATTGTCTCATTGTTAACATGATAATGCGTTACTCTCACAATTTCAAATATGAAATAATTGGCAAAATCAGTAACAAATAAGATAGCAAAATAAAGAGAGTTTTAAATATGAATATTTAGAAATACAGAAGATCTTATTCATTGATTGATTAATTATTTGGCTTTAACCATGATTAGACCGGTGGGAGGACAGTTATTGATTTTCAGCTTCTCCATATTGAATACACCACCAAAAATAAATAGTTCCGCTCTTCCACCAGTTATCGTGAACAGTGACCGTGACCTTGATACACTTTGCGGAACAAAACTTGGTTTTGAAGTCCAAGTTGCTGTTGCTGTTTTAATGACATTGCTAATATCCAGAACATAAAGCTGGAAATGTGAATCATAGTTTTGTTTCTTTACTTTATTCTCTTTGCATTGCGAACAGGTCACTGAAGGGACTGGCACTGGTCCATCAAAAAGGCTGCTCTGAAGAGGGTTCCCATGCCAACCAATGCAAGTGTTACAAACTGTTTGGTCGCTAAATGTGACAATTATCTCGCCAATTTTGGCTAATGGGTGACACCAAATGTCTGGAGGTTGCCAAATTTTGTTTTCAGTTTTTATTTGAGTCCATTGCCAAGAATGTGTATTTAGTAGCCATGCATCATCAAAAAGCTGAAATAAACAAAAATAGAATAAACAGCAAGCTTCTATAGGAGAGAAATTCCATATAAATTCACCTTCAGAGGTTATCCTCTACCATAAAAGCTTCTTACAATGATGCAAGAAATTGGCAAGCTGCAAAATGTGAAAGAAAAATAGGAGAATTGCAGTATACTTTTCAAAAAGTGGTTCATTTGAAAAAACACCAACCAAAAAAGTGATAGTGAGTGTATAAATGTCTATATAGCCTGACTATTTAAATAGGTAAATATTCATGCATATTCATGCATTTTCACTCTATACCAAACAAAGAAAAGATGGAAAATTTGTGACTGACTTAATCTGATTGTGCAATGATTGTGTTGTATTGCATTCAAATTCAAATTTCATGACAAATCACAAAATTACAAAATTGTACAGTCACACATGTGATTTTAGGATTTCAAAGGTCAAATACAGAATTTCTCCTGGGAAATTTTTTTCCTCCGATTAGGTCCTTGAGTTTGCACCAAAGGATAAAATATTGCAGCAATGAACCTAAAATTGTAATTTTATTAAAGTGCACAAAAGGGAGATACAGAGCCAAAATGAGTGGATTGTGATCACCGAATTTTTCATCTCTTCCTTACTACTCATACTAGAGATGTAAAAAAGCTTCATTTATTTTATAACTGATGTTGTTTCAAACCTAACAAAAGTAACAAAGGATTATAGCTCAAAAGCATTTATCTCTTGCTAATTTTGAAAACTGTTAAATTCCTCAATTCTTCTAGCAAAAAGAGTGTAGAATTTCAGACATATGGAAACTGCAATTTAGGCAAAAGAAACTCACAAGTCAATAAACCTTTAATGATAATCAGCATTACCATACTGTACCAGTATTAAGTATCAAGCCTGATTCTGTAATGATAAATGTTTCAACAAAGAAAATTGTCAAACTTACCGTGCTTCAGAATATGCAAAGAGCAACAAAAATAAAATTCTTTATGGATTAAAACAAACTCAAACCTTAGGTCATGGAAGAAAATGTTCTAAACTGCACTTGAAATTCTGAAGATGCAAAGACCTACCGTGTTTGAGCCACCACAGCCACCAATCACCAACACATGGGATTCCCCAGCAGGAAACTAAGGAAAATAGAAGCTACAACTAAGACATATGGAAATTGTTATTTGAATGTCAACATTGTTATTTACTTCATAAAGTTTCACATTTGTAAAACATAAGTTTTGAGTAAACCTGAACAGCAGTGACATCTAGCACAATTAAGTCAAATTAGTGTATTAAGGCAAAGAAGATAAAACCAAAATGTGTTTAGTAAAAAACAAGTTGATATGGAAAAATGAGAAGTAGATACTAGAACCAGAAAGGACCTTTTTTGGATTCTTGCCTATCTACAACTTTAAAATATTTCCCACCTATTTCAAGCTTATTTCCCCCTTTAACATTCAATCAATACTTATACCTACTCCTTGTCTGGGCTTGAAGATATTGTGGGGAACAGTTAGGTAATAGACCATTTTTCTAACTGCACAAGACAAGCAAATCTTTAAACAGTCCACCTAAATTCTGAGAGATAGGAAATTGGATCAAATTTAAACACAAAAATAGCAATATACTTGTGAATGTCCAAATCTGCCATTTGGTTTTTCTCCATTGATAGAAGGACAATACCACAGTAAAGAACTCATGTCAAGGAACCACACATCATCATACCTGAAAAGAATAACATGTTTTAATCTGTAAAAAGAGCAATTATGAATATCATACAATAAATTCACAAGGATTTAAATTTTATAAACATATAGATTGATTCTTAAAAAGTGTGCCAAATCTATGTATGGATCATGGTACCTAACAATCTTTCTTGAAACATTCTCCAGTTGAGTTCTTTCCTCTCTCTTTCTTACACATTAGTTGGGAAATGCATTTTGCTTGTATAGCTTGAATTTATTTTGAGGTAACCTTTGATACTATCTGAAGTAGCAAGTCAAATGCTTGCAGATCTGGTAATTATTTTAGACCAGCATGGAACTCATAACTTTATATGTAGAAATCCATATTTTGGTGGAGTTTTATGAACCCTAGTTGCAAGCGTGAATTGCTCTGTGCGTTTATAGATATTTACTTATATACAAGGTCAGTAACCTTGATTGCAGCTCAGATGTCTTCACATGCAGTTCCAGCTGATAGCGTGCTGTTGCTTGCAGCTACATGTAGCTAAAAGTTACCCACTTGGTGGCATGAGCATCACAAATTGCCTCTTGACTGTTTATCTTTTTATTTAAGTCATGTACCGGATTGGAAACTTAGTTTTCTTGCACAGATAAGTGTTTATAGGCAGAAAATGCTTATGGGCAGAAAACACACTCGTGCCTCTATCATCAATTCTCAGGGGTTTTGCACAAAAATTTTCCATCTGTGCACTTCTGCATATTGGCCACACAAAGTCCTATTTGATTACATTTTACATTAATAACAATAAAAATAACTTAAAATTGTGTAATTTCAGGAGCGCAGCCACACAGTCAGGTGCGTAAACTTTCCGGTGCAAGAAACAAAGTCTGGTTTAAGATCATGTACCTCAAAATTCGCTGCGCTCCTCCAAAAACTACCATCTTGTCTTTTAACACACATGCTCCATGCCCAGCTCTTGTGCCCGGGACTTGCCTATCAAGAACCTTTATTTCTTGGCAACTACGCTGGCCAATGTCAACTATAGCAGCATCATTAAAAAATTTTGGGACACCTGTGACCTCAGTGGATCTTGGAGAGCACCAACCTCCGAAAATTACAAGTTTCCCGTCGTATGCAACCATGGAAGCACATTCGCGTGGTGCCGGCATATACCCTCGATTGACTGTAATTCGCTGCCAAGATTTTTTCACTAAATCAAACTGGTGCAAGTCGTTGAAAGTAGAATTCGAGCTTGAACTAGACAACGAACAACCTCCAAAAACATAAAGAAAGCCTCCAGCAATACAAGCATTATGTGAAAACCTAGGACTAGGTTCGTATGCGCCACTGAAATTTGTACGACGATGAGATCGGCTAGTAGATATTGCCAGTTCTCTTTCTCGTCCACGAACAAGTCTAGCAGGACGGGCCGCCGCGAAATCAAGCTTTGTGTATGCGAGGTCGCCATTCTGCACGGCGTTTTGCAGTTCTCTTTTCAAAGATTTGATTATAGTATTTATAACACGATGCCACTTCTGACACACAAGGCGCGCTGCTGAAAAATCTCTGTACGGTGAGAGGCAGGATAGTATTTTAACGACAATCTCTTCTGGCAAGTCATCCATTTTGTTTACTGATCTACCGATGTTGCTGCTGTTGTTGTTTAGGGTAACAAAAACCGTCGTCGAAAAAGCGACACCCCCCCTCCCCCCCTCGGAAGAAGCGACCCTCTTTCAAACAATCTTGATTGATTAAAAATTAGCATAGAAGTAGTGCTTGTAATTGGGTGATAAAATTATCAATAAAGATTAGCACTTGAAATTAAGCTATAGCTTTTTTCAAGTTTAAACTGCTTTATGGTGCCAAGTTTACATCCCCAGTTAGACTTACAAACTGTTAATTTTTGAGAAAAAAAACTTACTGAATTTGATAACAAATTTACAATGCGCCGATCCTCGTACACCCCCCCCCCCCTAAAAAGCGTTTTTTAGAGAACAAGTAAGTACGTACAGTAGGTACAGTTTTACGAAAAAATGCACTAGTTTTAGTTTTATTCAATTATGATAAGATATTCCAAAACAAAACAGGAACCCGAGCATCAGTGATCAGTTGCCTCATTTCATGATAGAGAAGATATCATCCACGCTTTGCAAAATATATAGATTTTAAAAAAAATGGATTTATAGACAAACCCAAAAGGAACAAAACATGTCGCAGCTTTGGCCAAACCTTTCAGAGACTTTTAAGAAAATCATGAGTGCTAAGACATTATTTCTTTGTGAAAACATTTTTAGATACCTGTATAAAAACTTCTTAGATATTTATTTGTATTTTTAATAGTTAAATCTATTTAATGTTCTAAGTTTAAGTCAGATTGTTAGTAATGGCATGCAAAAAGAAACCTATCTAATCATTTTCCAACCTATGTAATCAGTAAAAAGCGGTCATGCTCTTAATAGACTTCAAGAATGGCTTCAACACACTATTTCTTTCCATTAACGTTTGTATTTTTAACACTAGAAGCTATGGAATGTTTTTAGTTGAAGCTAGATTTCTATCAAATGCAGAAAGGATCTTTGCTAATCAGTTTCAATAACAATAACTGATTGTCACAGGCTCAGGGTTAGTTGGAAAAGTTAAAAGATTAACTAAGTTAAGGGGACAGGGCTTGTCATATTTTAATAATCAGAAATGTCATATTTTAATAATCATAGTGACATGGTTAATTCCGTAATTTCAATTCAATTCACAAACAGTTTTGATTTTGGTCACATATTGTTTGATTGATTGTTTAGTACTGGCTAATATTTTATCAGCTATGCTATGTTCAAATTTTGCAAAAAGGGCACAGAGAGGTTAAAGAGGCCCCAGGGATGAAAAAGGAAAATGCATTTCACCTGTGAGCGAAGCGAGCAGAAATTTTGGGAATTATGCCCCTTAGATAACAATTTTTTGGGGAAATTTCGACACGTTAAATGGTTGTCAATTATCCGACGAAAGCCCGAATTTTCCGATGACGTCGCTGATTGGAGGGGGAGGGGGGGGCGAGCTTTCCTTCTTTAATACTATCAATTTCGTGCTTCGTGTATGTGTGACTCAAAAACGATATAGCGACTATGAAGTTTTGCAAAAATTATTTTTCTTCTACATTGAATGTATATCTGTATCTATAATTTCTAAATCCCAATAGGTCTTTGTTTAATTTGAGCGCTATCTTTATTATCTTTTTGTGTTTTATTTTTGTGTTAAAATTTTGTTTGTTTTCTACTGCAAAAGTTTTCCTGTTCATTGAAGTAAAATTTTAGAACTGCACAGATTTTTCTTTAGAACTGCACAAGAAACTTTTAGAACTTCACATTTTGTGTAGAACTGCACGTTCAAAAAACCCTGTAGAGTAAAGATCACCAGCTCCTGGCATTCACGATTATAATGCTTTGAAAGTGAAAGGTAAAACTGAGTCAGCCTCATTGTGACATGCGAATTTCTAACAGGTGGCTATGGCAAAATTTGAGCACCGAAAACGTGCACTTAAAAAAGAGCTGTGTCGAAGGACAGGTAGGAGCAAAAGGTCAATAACTAGGATATGGTTCTGAATCCAAAGTAAGCCAATAAAACAAAAATGGCGGATTTATCAAGTAGCTGATAGCAACTGGCTGTATTTTGAGTGACTTTGTTTTGCGACGTTGGAAGAAATATAAAAAGCCTGGAATTAGTTTGCTGCAATAAAGGTAAAAGTAGATAATTGAATGATTGAATCGCCAAGATGGATGCTGTGTACATGATCTTCGTTGTTTTGGTTTTATCGAGCTGTACCGGAGAAAAGCAGAATACCAAATCGCACGATTATTTCACAGCTCTTGTACACATGCAGCCATTGATTAAGAGGGAGCAAATGCTGTCGGAATACTTTGTAGAACTTGTGAAAAAGCAGGAAGAGAAGCTAGATAAAATGGAGAAAATCACACAAGACATTGAACGAGTTGTACCAAAAGAAGATGCCAGTCAAACAGAAATCACGGAATTTCTAGGTAATCCGATAAATGCCATGAAAACCATACAAAGGTTTAATGATGTTTGGGCAAATATGGCTGTCATGTTTTCTGGTGAGAACACAACGTTAGGTAGGTCGTTTAAACTTTTGATCAATCAGAAACCACGATAAACTATGGAAAAGCTCTAAGGAAAAGTTTTCACAAGTTTTGAATGAAATAGATTCTGAACATATTTATGATAAAACAAAATTTGGAAAGTATTTTTGAAAAAGTTACTTTTCAAAGAGATGATTTAAAACAAGCATTTTGATTTTTATCTTAAATCCAAAGGAAATGGCTTAAGACATCATGATGTGCCATTTGCGAATAAGCATAAAGGCTGAAAGACACTCGAGTTGCCTATCAATTTGAATAGATTGATTGTAGCCCGTCTTAAGAGATGATCCAAATTCCCTTTTCAAACTCTTTACATTTGCTATTCATCTCTTGCAGCAAAGCAAAGGGAATTGAAACGTCTCTTATCTATATACCAACGAGATTTCCCAACAGAAAATGACGTAAGAGGTGCCATTGCTGCCATTTTTAGAATTCAAGATCTGTACAAAATTTCGCCTCAAACATTTTCAGATGGATTCGGCCCAAGAGCTCATCGCCTGATAATGGAGGAGATATTTGAACTTGGATTTATTGCACTTGGTAAATGTTCCTAACAATTCTTGCATGGCATTTTCATTTTACCACTTTGATAGCACTAGTTCTTAATGCCTTACAGTGATTGTGAAGTAATGCTAGTTTGGAATTTTATGATCTTTAGATGATCCTTCAGGTCAATAGGCCAGGGAGGAGGGCACGATAGGACAATTCCCAATAAAGTAATTTTGCCCCATATTTTCCAATTTGTTTCGTCAACTTGCATGTCCTCTAATATAAAGGAAAGGGTACCTAGACCTAAACCCTGACTTATTTCACGTTGACTAAGCTGCTGAGTCCTTTAAAGACTTGTGTTTGAAAGTGACCGTCATAGTTTTGTGGAGTGATCTTCACTCCATTCTAAATGAAATTCTGTAGTGTTAGTCACTTCTCTAATGATCCTTCTCTAAAGTTCCATTCTTCTTATAACCACCTAATACATACACAGGCGCAGAAGACTACCGTCACGCTAAAGTTTGGCTTCGGGAAGCCTACGAAAGGTTCCATCCTGAGGCTGCGCAGATTGGATTTGTTGATAAAGCAAGTCTTCTGGAATATTTGGCTTGGGCAGAATACAAAGTAAGCCATTGGAGAATAAGATCCTATTGGGATTCTTAACTTAATCACGCTCTATAACAAGTATTCAATTTTTATTCTATTGTTGTGGCAAAAGAGCTTCAGTTGGTAAAGTAAGAAAAATAATGCAGAAAAATATTGTTTAAACTGATCAGTCAAATTTAAAATGCTGAGGTTATCAGCAAACAGCTTCTTCTGTTCAGAGCATTAATGGCATGCTCAACAGTTTTTTGAACTGAAAAAAAGAATTGTGAAGTTAAAGGCAAGATGTTTCTTTTGAGTTTGCATTACATGGCGGTATCCAACAGCCTTTTTAATACAATGATGTTAAGCTAAGCATTACTACTCCTTTGGGAAAATGCTTAAAAGAAGAATCTCACAGTAAAATGCAGCTCTTAATAATTCTAAAATGCGGCCTATCTACAGATGATGCATATGCATAGCTTAAAGCTTTTCTCTGTTAATCGCAGACTGGAAACATCGAGCAAGCCATCGAGCTGACAGAAAAGGTTCTGGAGATAAGTAAGTTGAAAACTTGAAGCCAATTACTACAAAATATCTTCATTTTGTTCCTGTACAGAATGTCTACGTTTGGTTTAGGGAGATGGGCAACAAACCTTTTTTAAACACAAGGGTACCATTTCTCTTGTCTATGTTTCAGAATATCTTTACGCTGTTCCAAAATACCATGAATGGAGTTTGAATCTTTGAGGTAAAAAACTTCAAAGATTCAAACTCTGTACCGATGAAACCGTTCAAATGCGAATTTTTTTTGCTATGCTAGCTATTTGATTTGTTGGCCAAAACATTTAATGTTTTTCAATTTTAGCACTGTTCTTATACGCGTTGAGAGCACTTGCATATTCATGAGCGATTACGTCTCTAGTTTAAATGCAGAATTGCAAAATTTCACCGCGATTGCAAAAGTACTGCTAATAAAATGTACTTTCTTCATAGATCTAACCATGAACAATTTTGACCTCAACACTAGAAAATAAAATACTGGATCACATATAAAAATATTGTTGTTGAAAATTGTTGAAAACGTTTCTCTTTTTCTTCTTTTCTAGATCCCGATAGCGATTCTGCGAATACCAATATTGAATTCTTTGAAGAAGACTTTGCTAAAAGACAGAATGATCCAAAATCTCACTGGCAGTATGAACCACCCAAGTTCCCCTGGACCGACAAATACCAAAGGATGTGTAACGGCGAAGAAGACTTGGTAATTTTATTGCTTTGTTAGAATATCTCTTTGCACTATGACACAAAATGCAACCGCGACGTTCCTTTATGCAAGATTACGATGGTCGATCTTGCTACACTAGTTCTTGGACTATTAAACGATACCTACGCGAAAAATCTGATCTCTGTTAAGGTTTAATGAATTGGACCCTGAGGTAATTGCTTCTTTGATGCTCACGCTAGGGTTTTAGTCCGACGCATATTCATACCATTAAAAGACACATCCGTTGCTATTTTATGCAATGCAATTAAACATTATGTGGTATTATACAATCACAAAAACTGATTCAATGTGATATTCTTTGATTTCCGAGAAAGTGCCTGCCTGTTTCACTATGAAAATCATTTCTTTTTTGAGCTATGCCTTGCCTCCATGGCCTGTTGGATCTATGCATGGCCTAGTGTGATTTCCTTTTTGTTATACTTTCTCTAACCAACTTGTGTCTGTCCACTGTGGCAACAAGCAACAGCGCTACTACACCCTTGTGATGACTAGGGCCATTATAAAATAATTTCCCAGGCTAGGATCTATGATCTTGGATCATCAAACGATTTATTTTGAATACTGAAACGACTAATACTCCAAATCTTTAATACACTGTATGAATTATGCAAAAACTGTGCGTTTCTAGATTACTATAATAAAAAGAAAAAAATGAAAAACAAAGCAACTGAAATTTCAAATGGTGAAATGCCAACCTACACTCTATATTTTTCCCTTCCCGTTCACATCATGCTCTTCAATAACTATTGGCGCAAACCTTTATTTCAGGAACCAGAGGAGAAAAAGAAACTTTTTTGCCGGTATGAAACACCAAGTCCCGTGTTTATTCTGAAACCAGTCAAAGCAGAAATGGCATTCTCGGATCCCCGTATTATGATCTATCATGATTTCATAAGGGACAGAGAAATTGACTATCTTGAAAATCTAGCTCAAAAGAAGGTAACTAAACTCTATTATTGTTGGTTGAAAGTGTACAAATATTTGTTTGGAAGTTAAGGTATAATGCAATGCAAAATCATTGATATATTCAAGGGATATTTGCATGAACCTTTTATCTTAATGGAGCAGAAACGTTTCGTAAGTAGCAACAATAACGTAGCTCGTTGATTGAATGTCCCCTCAAATAGGCACCTATTCTTGAAGTAAAAACAGTAGCAAAGTTGAATTGTATGTAGACTTAATGGCGTTGAAGGCCCAGAATACATTATCATCATTTATTGCCTACTTAGTCCGGCTCATGTTCCAAACTGTTTGTACAGCTAGAACCTTACTTTCATATCACTCATATTCAATCTCAGGAAAATTTTGTTATAGACTGTTATGAAAAATCATACTTAGTTCACAAATTTTATTGCTTTAGTTGAAGAGAGCTACTGTTCATGACCCGATTACTGGCATTCTTACTTACGCGGAATACAGAGTGAGTAAAAGGTACGAGAAAATCTCTATTGATAAAGGCAACAGTTAAAAAATCCAACAAATAGGAACAATACCAACAAATAGACAAAACAAAAGCAGTGTTCGAAAAGCATTGGCTTGAAAATCAGAACTTAGATTCGAGACGAAAGGATTTAACAATAGTATTGTGTCTTATTTTCAGCGGTAAATTTAAATCGTATTCAGGGCTATTTGGTATTCAGCTAAGTTCTTATTTGACAATCCTGTCTTTTACTCAATCTTCCGATGAGGTAGTCCATTAACAACATAATGATTTACCTAAAATGGATAACCAATGACACTTGTTGCATGAATTGTCAAGAAAACCCAAATTATGGTTGTCCGTTAAGACACGATGTCAAAAATAAATAAATTGAAAACATAACATTTCATAACTATCATCTCAAACTTTTATTAGCTTCTGGATCAGGGAGGATGAAGACGTAGTTGTTGGTACAATTTATAAGAGAGCACAAGAGCTGACTGGCTTGGATTTTATGTTCTCGGAGCCCTTGCAGATTGTCAATTATGGTATTGGTGGCCATTACGTACCACATTTTGATCATGCGCCGGTAAGCAGATCATGCGCAGCTATTATTCTATTCAATCAAAGAAAAAAATCCAAAATTGCCTATTGTTGTATTTTCTCATGTCAAACGACGTCACTAGCAAGAAGTTCCATTTATCTTCGTTATGAAATTGCTTATGAATACATTGGTGTACAGGTCGCCGGTTATAAGTCTTTAATTTGATAATTAGAATGAACAAAGAAAAAGTGGTTTTTCCATTGTAACTGTGATACAAATCTGAGATATTTGCATTGCTGAATGGATTGTTGTTGCCTTCGTGTTTAAATCAAAGCCTTCAAGCCTGTGAATCTGAAGCTTTCAATTCCTTGGGAATAACAGCTATGGCCAACAAAACTTTCTACAAATTTGAGACAGAATAATTAAGGAAAGAAGAATCAGACCAGTTAATTCACACAGCTCTGCTCAACGAGTAGCAACTGTGAGCAAAACCATCAAATCAGAATGACAGTCTTGTAGTTTTGCCATTAATTGCTATCAATCAAAATTTGGCAAGCGTTCACAGAGCGGAGTGAGGTCACAGTGTTATCAAATTAATTTATATCTTTTCCTTTTTCTTTAAAAAAAGGGCAGGTTTCATTCTCAAAAGTGAAATTCAATTGAAATATATAAAAGATTCACTACACGCAGCAGACTTTTTAATTCGATGAAATGTGTACAAACAATGATTGCTTGAGAGTCTTTTAAGTGTTGATACCTATCTTCAAGTAGCTGTTGTTTTGATGCTGTGAAAAACAGGCATTTGCTGAACCTCCATTTGTTTATATTCAAGGAAACGCATAAGGAATTTAAGAAAGGATGGAGAAACAGAATAGCCACAGCGTTGTTATATGTGAGTATTACTACACTGTCAATTTGAATGTTTTCATACTTTTAAGGAAACGAAACAACATCTTTAGAACTTTGGCGACAAAAAGGGAAAATCAAGTTGTTAGTAGAAAGTGCTCATATTGAAGAAAGGAAACACAGAAAGTACAAATATACCAATAATCAAATTGCCCAAAGAAAGTATACGAGCTAATGCGATAACGAATTTCAAGCCCAAAGAAACTCAAGAAATGTGCCCATTTTCCCGTGTGATAATCTTTTTTGGAAACGAAAAATTGAATCAAATGATGAAAATACTCAAAACACTAAGTTTTGCTACAGCCAATTCTAAAATTTCTCTTCATGAAATTTCCCAACTGTGTATTTAATAAGCCTTTGATGTAATTGATACTGGAGTTTACCTTTCCCGTTTTGTGATTAGTTTTGACTTATCATTCGAATCTTTGTATAAGGTGAATTCAGTAAGCAATCTTCAAATCTTTAGTAAGCTATTAGGCAGTTAATGTTAAATTAACGAACCAATTATAAAAGCGATAACTATATGCAGAAGCAACAGGAAAATATTTCTTCAATTTTTGACAAAATCGATTTCAATGATTTAACTAGATTGTACCTCCGATAAGTCCCAATAAATGGGGAATTTGTCGTCAACCTACTTTTACTTTTGGAAAGGTGATATGTTGGTCCTAAGCAGCATTCTCGTGGCTGCTAAAAAAATCGCACTAGATTCAATGCATAATTGAACAAGGTGGCATTCATATTGTGGACAACCCTTCTCTAATATTTTTTATATATTTATTTATCTCATTGCTTACAGATGTCTGACGTCCTTCAAGGTGGCAGCACCGTCTTTGTAACAGCAGGAAAAGGTGCTATAACGAAACCGAAAAAGGCATGTCTTGCACTTTTTGCACCAACGAACTATTTTCATCAAATCGTTTTTTAGGAAACCTATAACAGGTTTCAATAGCATATCGTTTCCTAAAAATCTTCAGTATCCAGTTGGAGCTGGAGACAGAGATGAAGGCTCATTTTTTAAGAAAAAATTGTGAACTTTTACCCAATAAACTCTGAGAAACCTACAGAAACTTCTGCATCCTTTACTTGCCTCGTTCATGCGACCTAACTTACTACAATTCCTATTCCACTATAGGTAACTATGGTTTGTGAAAGCAAAGACTTGATTTGTTTTCCCTAGCAATGATTTCTTGTGTGAATTTTTTCGTGAATAGTGGAAAAGAGTTGAAATATGATATCCGTTCTTATGAGCAAACAATGCAATTTTATATAACATAAATACTTATATTTGATTCTGAGCATGAAGCAAAAACTTCACAGATAGTGATGCTTTGATCGAGAAAATTTGAAACAGAAATATATGAAGGTTCACAAATATGTAAGAGTATCTGCTGTTTTAGAAAAATAAACCTGTATAATTTGATTTTGATTTTTAGGGAGATTTGGTATTCTGGTACAATTTAAAGAAATCGGGAAAAGGTGATGACAGAACACAACATGCAGCATGTCCTGTTGTCCTTGGCACAAAATGGGGTAGCTTGAAACTTCCTTTTCTTTTGTTACCTCTATTGCAACCAATAAACAAAACTTGAAGTTACTTATATCTTCATTGTTAAAAACTGAGTAGTGAGTGGAATATTTTTTATACCAAAGAAGATAAAGAATTATAAGAAAGGATTAATATGGCTGGTTGTGAAGTAATATTTCCAATTTATAACATTCATTTCACTTTTAACTGAATGACTAGAATTGAGAACCAAACTATATTTTTTCACAGTTGCCAACTTCTGGATACATGAATATGGCCAAGAGTTCATAAGGAGATGTGGATTGAACAGAGATGAATAAATTCAGCACCATTCCTTCTCGACAAAAATTTACAATGACTTGTTAAGGATTGACAGAATTGTATATTTCAGCATTACAGTTTGTTACCCTACATAGCAACCATTTGGGCAGGGGTGGTGGCAGCATTGTTGGAACTTCAACTTTCTTACCCCCTTTTTGGGAATACTGAGCCACAGAGTTGATTTAAAACTTTTTTTCTTTAAAACAGGTAAATCAAGTAAATCCTTTTTATTATCATCCCTGCCATGGTATTTTATCAAATAACTTAATAAACTACATGCTGAAAATGCTTAATTGTATCATTGGACAGCCAAACATTGCCAATATTGAAATAAGAGTATTGAAATAAAACAAAATACAATTGTTAATACACATTTATCATCTTTCAATTTTACATTTTCTTTTTAACATTCAAGGAAATTTTCATTTTCTACAGTCAGTTAGCTTTGGAACCTTTAAAAATATAAGTTGAATTGCGGGGTCGTGAATTACAAGATTATGAAAAATTGAAAAAGTTACCCAGTTTTATCAAAAAATAAATTAGCTTTTTGCTTAATGAGTGGCATTTTTTGAAATAGTTTAAGCTTGTAAAGTAATAAGCATGTGTTCTTTGCTATCAAAAAAAATAACCAGAAACGCTGTTATTGAGAAATCATTAATTGGAAAGTTCAAAACTGTACTGAAATTTTTTGGCAAACAAAAAAGCAAAAATGAATAATTTATTTTAGCTTCTCTTTGTTACAAATTTAAATGATATTATATGCAGCTAGAATATGCACATAAAGAAGCTGAATACAACAACCTATCAAAAATAGCTTTGCTGTTGTTTATCTCACAGTAAGGAATATCTCTAAAGTTGTTTCCTATCTATCAACTTAGAAATGCATTAATTGTAAGCTAAGTAAAAGAAAACAGACGGAAAAAACTCTACTATATAAAAAATAAAAGAGAAAAATTATTCTTACCACATCAATTAAAATAGAAATTTCACAAGTTAAATTTTGTCTTTTTTATTTTAGTTCTAATTTAGATTATATAATTTAGGTATGCAAACATTTGACTTTTACAAAAATTATCTCATTTGAACTTCATTAATGCAAATGAAAAAAATTAGGGTATTTTTTATCATAGCATCTTAGCTGTCTCCTTGATAATGACTTTAGCAATGCTCTCTGTGAAAGCTTTATATACATTTGCACCAGTCTTTGCAGATACTTCAAACCGTTCTACATTTTGTAGCTCAGTTATTTTATTGATTTCTTCTTCAGTCACTTCTTTGTGATCCAAATCTGCTTTATTCAGTAACAGCACTAAATATGGATCATATACTTTATTAGATATGTCATGCAACCAATCATGCAGGGCTGTTAGAGAAACTAAATTGCTTATATCAGCAACTGGGATTACAACAACTGCATCTTTATAATAGTGTTTGGTTGCCTTCACTAGTTGCTCTTGACCACCAAGATCCCAGATTTGTAAGCCAACTGAAACACTATCAGCCCCATCGTTTGTTGATAGGATGAGGGTACTGAAACCCAAATCAGCCCCAATTGTTTGAAGATATGATGAAGAAAATTGATCATATAGGATTCTATGAAAGATGCTGGTTTTACCAACATTGATATCACCAACTAACAAAACTTTTACTGCAATCTTATAAGTTGTGCCTGAATTTGAATCCATTGAGATTTTGTGTTGAGTGCTGAATTTTCCAGGCTCAATTGTTGATCTTCCGTTTCCTGAATTCAAAAACCTTTTCCCAAGCTCCTGAATTCTTGCAACAGTTTCTGTTGGAAGACTTTCCAGTATATGCCTCAAGGCAACAATGTTCATATTCGGCAGTGAATCTGAGTTCCTTTTCGATCTCAGACTGCCTGATTTTGTTGATCTAGCAGATTTTAAAGGAGAGGTGCTTTGCTGAAAATGTTCAGTAGAAACAGAACGAAATTCTTCTGACAAGCAACTTGAAATATAAGAGCTTCTTCTATTTATAGATCTTTTAGTTATTGCAAGCCGTACAATACAAGTTGAAATAATTGCCAGCATCAATACTTCTGCAACAATCGTAACAGGAAGTCTGTATTTGTTACCTTTCTGCATAAAAACAGAAATTGTTGGCACAGATCCAAACCAAAACAAAGGCAGCAAAACCGCTAAAGTCAAAGCAAAGATGAGGCAGCTCACAAGCCCAAAAATTGTGCTACGTTTATTACTGATGTACAGATGACTTGCTGCACTTTTACTGAATTCGCCAGCACTTCCGTGGCTTACTTCAATTGTTTTCTGTGCACTCTCCACCTCAGATTCCATGTCAACTACAACGTTAATTGACAAGTGATCAGGTTTTCTCCAAAGGCATAATAGCCTATTGGATGTACTTTTCAGATTCCTCGACATTTACACACGACTTGTAACAACGGCCTGACTTCCTCCTTGCTGCACCTGCATGCACTGGTGTGCCTGCCACTCATCAAATACCATGCACACATGCTTCCGCCTGTTGTTTTTTGTCAGCACCTTCCGTCTGCCAAATTGCCCTCACTCCGGTGAAGATGTTTGAAAACGAGGTGACAGCTGTTATGGCGGGAATTTTGAAACATGATTCGCAGGCATGACACAAGTCTGAAGCCAAACATAGTTGCTAATGCCTGAGCAATTAAAATACGTTAATCAAGGAACCTGAATTTTGTAAGTTTCTCTACTCTATGCTTCAATTCGTAAGTTTGTGTCAATATTTGATATAATTATGCGAGTGTTTGCTCACAGCTTCTAAGAATTGACAGTTGGACATCACCTATTCTGTGATCAGGTTCAGGTTCATTATATTTCAAATTCCACAACATACTAAATAAAATACAGCAACATCAAATATCAAACAATCATTATGAAAATAAGATATGGAACACACATTATCTTTGAGATGTGTATTTAAAGGAGGAATTATTTAAAGGAGGAACTCTTTCACTAGCAAAGATAATCGAGGAGAAACCCCCCCCCCCCCTAAACATTAAGATAATTCAGCACTTCAAGCATATCAGAATAAACAATACCGAAAATTAAACTCCGATTTCTGTAAGTGGTAAGTGAAAAACAGTGTGAACAATTTCAAGGATCAGCTGTCAATGTTTTTTGCAAGCAGATATGACTTCGATTTATAACGAAAGCAAACCTATGATACAGATTCTTTGATGGCAGTAGGAATACTGTTCCACGATTCAGCACCAGAAAAACAGACAGATCTTAAGCCGTATTGAAGGGTGTTTTTTGAGTTAAGAAAACGTCGTTCTTAGAAGCCTTTCGAGTATCAAGTTGATGAATAGATTTGATTGTTTCAAAGTACGAGTGAAAGCAGACAGGCGATATCCTATTGATACATTCATAGAACAAGGATAGAAGTTTTAATTGAAACAAGTCTTATAATTTTAAAATTTTTAAGTAAAAAAATGAGAGAGCAAGGAGAACAGAAACTTTGAAAGGCAATAGCTCTGGTCACTCTTTTTTGCAATAAGAAAACTGGATGAATGTGAATGTCATAGGCAAAACCCCAAACTACAAGTCCTTATTGGAGAAAAGAAGCAAACAAACAGTTGTAGAGACATAATAACAAATCAACAGGAACGAAGTGACTTTTCTTAAAAAATATGCCACAAGTTCTAGCTAACTTCTTAGCAAGTTCACTTACATGGTATTTCCAGCTAGGATTCTCATCAAGTAGAATACCAAGGGATTTAACATATTGAGATTGTTTTATGATTTGTTTTCCAATCGTTATGTTTATATTGTCTGTTAAATGGCATTGATATGACCTGAAAATTATAAAATTAGTTTTCTCAATATTTAAAGAAAGCCTGCTAGCATCAAGCCATTGTTTGACATAGCCCAGTTCTTTATTGACAACTTTTTCAAGTTCGCCAAATTTATCAGCTTCAAAATATATATTAGTGTCATCAACAAAGAGATAAATAACAAATTTTGGAGATGAATTTATGAATCATTTATGAAAATAAGGAATAGCAAAGAACCAAGGACAGAGCTTTGTGGTGTCCCACATGTGATGCCAAGTAGATTGGATCTAAAACCATATTGTTTTCTATCAGTAACATAGGATCTAAACCAGTTAAAAGCTGGGCCACGTATTCCACATCGTCAAACTTGATCATTAAATACTACAAACAACACTGCCAAAGAGTGGCAGAATGGACTAAGGCTCATTTCAGCTCAGTTTCTTATATCTTAAAATTTCTTTACGTATGATATATTACTACAAACAACATTACAACTAATTACATACAATGCTTACACTATTAAGCAAAACTATTAACGGAATCAGATTAAATTACACATCATTCGATGCACAGGAATGTGGTGATTCCAACCATGTTAAAATAATTGTCAAAGATTGTAAAATGATACTTTTCAGGCAAATTTGTTGCTTAAATCAGTGTACCACCTTCAAAAGCTATTTTGTACCCTTGCATTGGAGATAATAAAATCTGATTTATATCAGCAGAAAGCGCAGATCCTTAGCTACCAAAGCGTGTCTCCGATTTTCCAAATTTTTCCTTCCATTGAAGCTATACCCTGTCAAAAATTGGCAAACAATTTTTCTTCTCTCTCATAGCTGTATCTGGCTAGAAAAGACGGACCAGAGCAAATACAAAAAGTTTGAGACACGCTTTGCTTACCCAACATCTGTTCTGGCTGTATGCAAAGTTTTGAGCCATTTGATTGGTTCATTGGGAACAAAATAGCTTTTTCGTTCCTGTATGTAGAGATAATTGTAAGTCCGGACAGAACAGGATTTTACTGATCGCAGGTTAGGCTCGTAAACCACAGTGTAATCTGGGTCAAGTCACTTGAAGCTTTAAGATCAATGAACACAGTGGTACATGGAATAAGGCATTTTCACCATGCCTTGACATTGAAATAGTTTCTTATCATTGTTAAATAGTAGACAATAGCTCAAAATGTGATTTTTGCAATATTCTAGCATATTTTCTTTTCTTACCTTATTAAAATAATTGTAAATAAATATGCAAAAGCAATATCTCTTAAAATGGAAAAGGGCTATTGTAATATGGCTTTTCATACTTTCAAGGGAGCACATGTAACTACCATGGAAGTCTCAGCCGTTTTCGCAGAAAAATATTAATACATCAACTACTACAACTGTTGTCATTTGATTGTTTGCTTTTTATAACAGAAAGCACAAGTTTTCCTCTAGACCTTCTTGTCCTAGCTTGAAAATTATTTTGAGATGGCTAAACACAAGCTGCTTTTCTTCATTCATATCAACGATAAAATAGAAAGCGTTGAATCTTTATCTCTGTGCGATTATTGCAATAAAATATTAAGCAAAGTTTTAATGAAGGATCTCTTAAATTGGGAGAATTGAATATATGATATGATTAGGCAGGCCCAAGGGGTGGCAATGCCATTCCAGGAGAAGGAGAATACCAGCTGTTTGCAACCCCCATAATTATGTCTCCAAATTTTTTAATGGGTTTTTTTCATCGTTTTCATTGGCTTGTCACGACAATTTGAGTCAAGCTAACAATTGGGTTGGATAGAAAAATGTTCATTAGGGTCTTTTACGTATGTAGGACTTAACAAAGTGCCTTACGTTCAAAAAACCTTACGGTGCTAAGCAAAAAATTTATCTCTTCTTGGGAGCTTCTCAGAAAAATTTCTGAAACATCTGCCAGCAATGGGGTAACAAGGGGATTTCAAAATCACAAACTGTGTATAACAATTTTGAGGACAATACTGGGACCCTTTGTAAAGGAAACTTTGGTCCATTACTCCACTGAGTTTCATCTGTTTAACAATAATGCACAATGAACATTAGAATTTCAACAAAAGAACTATACTTCTAAATATAAAAGGCTAATAGCTTTGTAAAGTTGAAGAAAATCATTCTGTTACCCAGAATTTCAAATCATAGAATTTCCATAAGCAATAGTAGATTGCCAAGGTATACTGGGATGGTATTGGTGACATAGGTGCGAGGATGGCTCAGTTGTTAGAGGCGCTGACTACAGACCCAAGGGTCCGTGGTTCGAGTCCCTGGCATGACCAAACCTTCACCCAGAGTGAGGAGAGTCGCAAATTCAAGGCATAGGAATCACGAGGTGTTTTCGCATCGAGAGAGAGGACCAGGACACTGCTCGATAAACATAAGCTTGTCAGTGTCCTAAAAACCACCTTCGGATGCTAGGTAGAAATACAACTACAAATGCAAAATACAAAATACAAAATGGCATTTTCCTGCGCTGGGTTCCAGAACGAAAAGGGTTTTCAATTGGATACGGAGAATCTTGGTTTGGGCTTACCCTGCGCACCCCACCCCCAAATGCAATAAAGATCGCATTGAGCAAAATTAAGAGAGCAACCAAACAAAGTCAAAAATGATTGAACAGCTTTGGAAGAAAACATTGAATTTTTAATAGAAATTTTTGAAAAAACTGAGGGGGGGGGGCAAACAAGCTGCAAAGAAAATTTCTAGGGGGGCCATGGCCCTATCATTTTTCCCAATCTTTATTCTTAGACTTTCCTCTCATTTCTCCTAGAGAGACTGATACTTCTATATAAAAATGCAGCGTTTCCTGTTCTGAAGAAAATATTTCAGGAGCTTGGTGTATTTTCTCCCAGCAGTGTGCAAAATGTTTTTTTGAATAATAAAAGATGCAAAGTGGCCAGAAAGGGAGCTCGGAAAGATAGATTTAGCAACTGCATGGAGAAAGTGCACAGCTACTCGCAAATTTTTATCGATTTTTTATCTATTTTTATTTTATAAGATGTAGTTACTGCTAGCTTCACGTCATCATATAAGGATTTTATAGGGTAGATTCCCCTCAGCAAAGGTACTTGCGGACAGAGAAGAAATGCAACTTTGCATGTTTGGCGTTTGAAAATAAGATCTGATGGAAGAAATAACATTTGAAATTTGTCTAGCTGATGAAGAGAAATTGAGAGGGAGGAATTGTTTAAATGCTGAAGACATTTAAAAACTTTCTTGCTTCTTTATTTCCGCTTACTCTCTCCCCCCTTCAGAAAACTTAACTTTAAAATTCGACTGCATTGGACATTGGGACTTTGCCACCCCTACTCTAATGTGTGATTAGGTGTTTGAATCGAAATAATCTTGATGAAATAATTAATAAGAATGTTTTTTTAAGAGCGCTTAAATGCATGTCTAAGGCTCCTATCTATTATGCTTCAATTTGACAGTAATTCTTTTACTAAACGAACATTGATTACTTCCACTCTTGTGTGTACCCCTCATTTTCTCTGTGGCGAGTACGGCGCTTAAATTCAACCTTGAAAACTGATGTTTTAGTGCTCTAAAACTTGTGATTCCATCTAATCTTTTAAAAAATCAATGCAGTTTTCAACGTTCTTCTGTAAAAAAACGTTGTCATGATTCCCTCTGGCAATAAGTCCTTCACGACCAGAGGATCCAAACCTTCTTCAATTACAGAAAGTTTTCTTAGCTGACCCGAAAATATGCAGCAAATATTTAACCCCCTACCCAGGGGCGAAACATCACTATTTTCATTAGGGGGGTATGAAGCTTAGATGCCCGACGAAGGGGCGTGTCATGCTGGATGAGAGGGCGTGTCATGCCTGAACGTCATTTTTACGAGAGGGTCACTAAGTATGTTAGGCCTCCAGACTCAGGCTGTTTTTCAAAGTCAAAAAATATACCTCTAGTTTTTCTGGTGTTGGCTATAAACATTTGTTTCGGAAAAGCAAGAATTTGTAAGGCCTGTCTTTTCTATTAACGAAAAATATTCTTCATTCGGAATTTAGAAACAGCTACGCAGACTACAATGTTTCAACAAAAAAGAGCTTCAGTTGCATTTTCTGAGTTTGATCCCTCAAGCTTGTGCAAAGAAAAACTTTTTTATTGGAAATATTTTACAGGTACACCTATCATCAAAGCTCAATTTTTGTGTATTGTTCAGAAATAGAAGAAACTCGAAAATGTTTTGCAATTCATATCTTAATTACAATTCCTTAATAAATGTTTCTATTACTTCCCGCTTGAACTGTCGGCTTAAAACTTTCTGTTACTTGTTACAGCTATTTGAATTTTTTTAGCTAAAAAACTTTGGCGGCTGTACGGCCATTTTTTGGCAAAGGGTGCAATACTTTCGGACCGTAAGTGTAAAACTTTAAGAAAATTTCAGGGCATAACTCCTTATGAATGTATGATGAAAGTTTCGTACATTTGGAAAGGAAAATGTTGAGAGAAAAGGAAAACACACTTTACTTTCCGTCTATACTTTTACTGTCGATCTATACTTCAGACTCTACTTCTGCACGTCGAGCTCGAGACAAAAGCGCTGATCAGTGGACGAAAAACAGAAATGTATACATGTTGCTGTTGCTTGTCTCGTTTCTGTTTGGTTTTCCCAACTGGACAGAAATTGAAAAAGGATGGGGAAAAGACCATAAATTTAAAAACCAAGCTAGGGCAAAAAGTAGCAATAAAAGTGCGATCTAAAGAAAATTTCCAGATTTGCCCGACCGATATATATTGGCAGCCATAAATTTGCCCGACAAGATCTGCTTTTTTGAAGATTGGGGGGTGCAGCACCCCCCCCCCCATACCCCCCAGGAGTTTCGCCCCTACCCCTACCACCTTTCTTCATTCTTCATGTGAAAACAAATTTTTTGATTATCAGGCGGTTTAGCAAATGAAGATAATGACACCTACAAAGAAAGATAATATAACGGTGGACCGTGACTCATTTAGCACATGTGACTCTATTCAATTGAGAACATTTAAGGTTTCATTAGCGAAATTGGACTTTTCACTTGTCTCCGCAACAGGTTTGTGGTAAGGCACATTGATTAACAAGCTTTTTTTAGACACTGTGATGACAGCAAGCAACCTGTAAAAGCCGCCTTTATACGAGTACCTGTACTGTTCTACCTTCTCAGAGTTTAGCGTCTAGTATCACCAAAATGTTGTTTGTAATTTTCAGTATGAGCTGCTTTGATTTCAACCTTAGAACATCTGCCTTTCTAAGGGCATAGAACCGTAGACACAATTTCATCTAAAATCTAAACGAGCACTCTAGTGCAATGCGCATACCACTTTTGTAAAGAAATCGTTGTTAATGTCTTCAAAAACAACATCATGTCTAATACAAAGATACATTGAAATGGGCTTCGTTAACATGTGAATCTTTGCACCTAGATGAAACCAACCTAAAAGTTCGAAGGTGTCTTGAAATACAGCTGTAATAATTGCATTAAATGTGTGATCAGCCTTGTAACTAAGTCACAGCTGCATGGATTTTCAGTATGTTTTCAACAGTTATGTTAAGTTTTCAAGTTTTGCACCACCAAAAGAAAGTTATCTTTAGGTTACGGTAAACGTTTCCTAGATGAAACATCAATTTTTCGAATTTATCAGATTCAAGTAGCCAAACTTTCAAGGCACACAATGATACCAAATTTAAAACCAACAGAAATTTTGAAAATAGAACAAATCCCATGTAAACGAAGGTTACCATAATTTCTTTATCAGAACTTTTAGTTGAGGCCTGAAAATCTCTTGACCTGTTGAGCCGATTATCGATGCTTTGCGATTGTGGTCGCATGTCTCATTTAAAATATCACATGGCACATCCATGTATCCCATGTACGGCCGTGTTTATTTAGACAGGCTTATTGATCTTAAAGCTTCAAGTGACATGACCCAGATTACACTGTGGTTTACGAGTGTACCTTGCAAGTGCGATCAGTAAAATCCCGTTTTCTCCGGACTTACAGTTCGTCTACATATAGGTACAAAAAAGTTATTTTGTACCCAAGGAACCAATCGAATGGCTCAAAACTTTGTACACGGCCAGGACCGATGTCGGGTAAGCAAAGTGTGTCTCAAAATTATTGTATTTGCTCTGATCCGTCTTTTATAGCCAAATGCAACTATGAGAGGGAAGAAAAATTGTTTGCCAATTTTGGACAGGGTATTGTTTCAAGAAGAGGAGAAATTTGAAAAATCTGAGACATACTTTGGTAGCTAAGGATCTGAGCTTTCTGCTGATATAAGTCAGATCTTGTTACCTGAAACGCAAGGGTACAAAATAGCTTTTGAAGGTGGTACACTCATTTAAGCAATGAATTTGCCTGGAAAGTATCATTTTACAATCTTTGCCAATTAGGTTGATATGGTTGGAATCGCCACATTCTTGTGCATCAAATGGTGTTTAGTTTAATCTGATTCCATTAATAGTTTTGCTTTTAAGGAGAGAAAACGAAATATCGTGTCAACAACGTTTACCGTAACCTAAAGGTTGTTCACTGTCCCTTTCGGTGATTTTCTTTTGGCTTTATTTGTCAATTATGCATAATTTTGATAAAGAAACTTTCCTCGTAAATGGAATTAGTATAAGGAAGCAAATCTACGAAATAAAACGATAAACATGAAAATTAAAAACTGTTTTAACGCAGACGGAAAAAGTTTGTTTACACCCTTCGACTTCATTGGTAGTTTTTTGTTATGTGCTCGTGGTTCACAGTTGGGCGACCGTTACATTCATATGCTCGCGGTTCTGATTGGCCTTTTTCAATTTTGCTTGGCACTTTATTTTTTAACTTTCATTTTTGACAATAATTCTTCTCTTTAGGGTGCATAACGTCATTTTCTGTCACAAACACATATTTGTGTGCATTGCTGTGACGTCACTGAGCAACTAAAGCTGCAAATCTGGAGAATGGTTTCATTCGTTCGTCAAATATAGTGAAGAAAATATAATTTTATATATAAGCAATAGAATTGATAATCGGCAAGATTACTGGAATGTAGATGCGATAAATGTTTTTAATTTAATAACGAAAGGTATTTTAATTCTACAAAATTCTAGCATTTTCCAAATAAGCCTACAAGTAAATCACTATTTTGAAATAAGTTATGCCTTTTGAGGAAATTGCATAAAATATTAACGATCAGAACTATTCAATCTATTAGGTAGTTTTGAAACAACATTTAAGATTTGAATGGTAAGAGGCGAAGGAGTATCAATTCCTAGTTATAGAAATTGATTGACGCTATAGCAACGGTCGGTGATCTAGCTCTGATTTGAGAAAACAGGTTTGCCGCCATATATGTTTCATAATTAATAAAACATATTTTGGTATCCGCAGTTGAATGCTGCACAACAAGAACACGAAGCAGTGATATCATATGCGCTGGAGCTCGGCCATTGGAAAAGTTAAGGTGTGTATTCTGGTTTAATTGCGTCCACTTGCATCAGTATCTCCAACGACATTGTTTAATCCTGTTGTGCTCTTAGTTTACCTCTTCCTGTTTCAAACAAGGTTTCCACGATACGTTTCATTTACAACCCCCCCCCTCCCCCTCCCTCTTGTGTACGTTTCACATAAAAACAACAATGTATTCTTAATTGATAAACATGAAATAGCAATAATATTTAAGTTTATTCTATCCTAGCATTTAAAGGCTGTCTATAAGATGATGGGAATCCTAATGAAGGCATGTATATTATCAATTGTTATATTTTAAGTATGATGATATTCTTGGAAATAACTGATAGCAATTGAATTCGTTAAAGTGCCATCACCATCGTTTCTAAAGTCATTGATAATGTCACTTTCTAAGTGCTTGTTGGTTTAATGTTTATGCCGAAGTTTATATAGCAATGTTTGTAACATCGTTTGTTTTGTAACATCGTTTGTTGATCGTTTTGAACGTCGTTTGTACCGTTGCTTGTTACGTCATTTGTTCGTCACTAACATTTTCGTTTAAACATCGTTTAAAATGAAGTTTTTATCCCTTTCCGTTATTCTTTTAACAGGCAATAGATGCTTTACGTCTTTTGTAAGGTTTCTTTTTAACAGTCAAGTAGCTGTCAAGTAGTAGTTTCATTTTGCAAATTTCGCATCTACCATTCGCTTTGACAAGCTTCATAAAACTCTATATTAGCTATCAAAACATAGCAAACCAAGTGGACTTAATCTATCAGCATCGAACATTTCAAGATAAAGCTCAATTTGTCACTTTTAACCCTAAACTTATCATTTTCAGCAACTTTAAGGATACAATACTGTCACTATGATAACTGCATATTTTTCCATCCCATATTCAATTGAGCTCTGCTTTTCTTTGCAGATTCAAAAGCAACAACTTTCGATAATCGGCTTGCTTCTCGTTGCTGTGGCATCGTCTCAAGGTAAGGGGTTAAAATCAAATTTAAATGAGCGTTGCTGTTATGGTTTACAGAACTGTTTCTGAGCAGTATCAAAGACATTTTTAGTTCTCTATACAAGGCACAGCGCATTTGATCGAACCTTCTCTATTCGTATCCCGGACAACTTGGAATTTCACTAAGTCAAACTGATTTTCAAGTCCCTTATAAGTTGGACCATTTCCGGCTTTTTGTGGACCAACTTAACGGGATACATCTGTATGTCGTTTTTGAAATATAAAGTTGCCTTGGCATTAAAAATTCTAGTCTTTAGTCTCCATTCAGCTACTTTATTAAAATGCAGCTAAATAAGTATGCTTTATCACAATATTTTGACAGTCAAATATAAATTGTTTTCTTCAGTGCCGGGAATTCTTTTTCAAAAGCGTCTTTGTGAGCTTCAGCTGTGCGCAACAGATAAGATACCGTGCTGTGTTTTCTCTTTATTCAAACTAAACAAAACATAACTATAATGTTGATAACACTATCAAACGCCGAAGTGGAGAGGACACGAATTCAATTCTCCCACCGCTATTCTAACAAAATGAATATACCTTTAATTTGTGTGGTTTGTTTGTATTAATATTTGGCGGTGAGTTGGGGAGGTAATGTTAGATCCAATCAACAGTAATCAGAGTTAGCAACCGTGCAATAATGACAGATAACTATTGTCACTGTATCACTATCTTGTTATGTCATTTTGATGATAAAATCAGAAGGTGATCAGTAAGTCTGCAGTTACTGCCTTTGAAGGTTTTCTTGTTCAAATCTAGCAATGATTAAGACCCCGTTTACACGAGACCTAGACCAGATCGGATCCAAAACTATCCGGATACTTTTGGATCCGATCCCTGAAATGGCAATGCGTTTACACGGGATCCGATCCAGAAACATTTGCGTTTACACGGGAACGGATCCAGGTGAATTGAACAGACTACGCGCATGCGCTTTTCGAAAATTGGCGCGCATATGACGTTTTCAGAACTTCGTGCGTGATTAAAACACAGCTCAACCTGAACATGGAGGAAGGTAAAGCTAAAAAGGGTAAATTTTCGTGGACTGAAGAAAAAACCGCGCTACTTTTGAAATAGTTTTGGACTACAAAACTACCTCTGAAAGCGATTCCAAAATGGTTCGGATAGCGGAACCAAAAGTATACGGATCCACCAGTTCCCGTGTAAACGCAAGGGCTCTTTTGGATTATATCCGTACTCTTTTGGATCCAATCCGGTTCGGATCCGCTCTCGTGTAAACGGGGTCTAAATCAACACTGCCTCAAGCAAAAATTTTCCGGCATTGAGTACGGTATCCATCACTCAAATATTTTCACATGAAAATTTGAAAAGCCTGGTCACTGACTTTTTGTGTCCACTTGGTGATAATAGCTGGCGTTCTACCCAGCTTCTCGTGCCACTTAACAAACATAGCATACTGAAGCAAACTTCTCATTTGACTCTCTTCAGAGTATGGACGTCAGATACCGACCAAAAGTATATAGGTATCTAAATTTTCTGTTTACTTACGGGCATTATCCGACGCTTATACTCTGACGAGTATCGGAAGAATAGAACGTCAGTAAGCTATTTCCTGCCAACGTAAAATTTTACTGTACCAAAAACTTTTCCGGATAGTATTTTTCTGTTATCCTACTCATAGAATAATTTACTTTTATTTGGAATATAAGTTATTTTAGGTATGTATGAATCATCAATAAATTAAAAGGATACGTGCATTTTAGTTTGATGAAAAGTGATATCAGCATGTATCTTTTTTGTCCAAATAAAAAGGGAAAACAATCATGAATAAACGAAAAAGTGAATAAGTAGAAATATTCTTACACTTTGATAAAAGATTTAGTATTGGAAATACCCAATAATAAGTCAATGGTGGGTGTATCTTACTCAAAATGCTAGATTTGAACTTGAGATCTGGTACATTTTCATTGAGAGTGAACTCTCAGTTTAACCGCGATTCTCAAGTCTGTAAAATCTCTGTTTTAGATTTGACGTTGCTGAAATGGAGTAATGGAAACGAAAATTATTGTCTGACTGGGGAGAACTTGAACATGAACGCAAGCAGTAGACTGGTAGGATACATAGGAGATTGTTGCCAGTATCCAAAGTTCAAATTAGTCGAAGAGACGGTCGGAAAATTCAGAATTTATGACGCAAATCAAAAAACCTGTCTTGCAAGCTCGCAGCATTCTAACCAGGCTGTCTTTACAGATATTGGTATGTCTATTAGTTGGTTATTGACTGCCTTAAAATCAATTTAATGTAAGTAAAAGAAGGAAAATACTAGCGTGTATTTTAATCTCTTTGAAGTGTTAAAGGGCGCTTGCAGTAGTGCTTTTGTTGCATTGTCATTTCTATTTCCTCTCATATCATTATTTCATTGTAGCAACAGTGCCAGAAACCCTTTCTTTTGTTGCGACAATCAGCCTCCCAACTTCATCTTTGATAGCATATCTCTTATGTTGCATCAGTATTTTAGGTTGATGTTTTTCAAAGGACAATGCATGTGGTATTTTTATATTTTGGAAGAAAATTGTAGACATCAAAATTTAAGCGTAATTAACACAGCTTCAGTGAATCTAGTTTTCGAGCCATTGTCCCAAAAATATTTGGACAAATCAGGCAATATAAAATGTCCAATGCTAGTACTAATGGATACTTTTGAAAGTTTATTATTTCTAAAACTAGTGGAAATTTTTAGCATCGATGAGCACAAATATTCATAGTCCTGAGCAAAATCGTATGCGATTTAGGAAATCTAATCAGAAAATAGAAATCTTATTATACATATTAAGTTGTCTTTTACGTCTTTATCTGCATTCAAGTTTGGCAGATGTTTTTCGTGACATTGCGATGCCATCATTTGAAATCTTTTACGATGAGCATACGCTACTGTTTCAGGCAATGTGTACGACTTTGTTTTTCTCTGTTTTCAGGTGCAAACTGTGGAGTTTTTATTATTGGGAGTGAAGTCATCGAAGAAGCATCTGGAAGCAGGAGTTGTTTAGTTTATGACCCGTCTACATTGCATCATACGTTTCAAGCCTGCCTTTCTACGAAAACATACCAATTGCAAAAGACTACTGGTATGGCACTCTGGCAGCTATTTCCAATAATAGTTCCATATTTTTAAACAGTCACATAAGATTTCTAGATATAAAGTGTTATGTTATCAATTTCTGACAGAATAGTTTTTTGCCCATAAAAAGCTTAAAATGCTTGCAAAAAGTTGTTTGTACTCCTGCGGGTTTTTTCATTTTATGGCTTTATTTAGTGATGAGAAAGTAAAAAAAAGCTCATTTTTTGCATTTCTTACCAACTTCAATCAATCTAACTTCACTATTCAAAATAAACTTTCAGTTCGTCAATACTGGTAGTCTAGCATGATTTCTATTTTTCAAATTTCCCTTGCAGCTCAACAGCAGTGCGCTCCTGGAAGTTCCAGTATGTAACATATTAATATTTTAAACCTTCAAAGTTCTTCATCTTTACAAACATGATTCAAAGACTCATCGCCAATTGTTTTGAGAACAATGAAATGTGATTGATCTTATAAAGTAGCAAAGTATAAATCTTCTGCCCTTCTAAATGGCGACGACCACGTGGTTTTCAAGCTAACGCTTGTTAGTATTGCAGCAAATTATCTTATAAAGATAAAGCAGATAAAGCAGTCACAAAAGTTTGTCAAACGAAGAAAATTCCGATTGAACTTTTCACGGAATGTAACTGGTGGTGATTATTTCGATGATCCATTGCATTGCCTACAGACCATAAAAGAATATTATTTCTAGATTTATTTATACTTGATGAAAAGTGCACTTGTACACTCTTACATGAAAAGTTTTAAACTGAGTCTATTCAGTCTCAAGCTTGATCCTCCCTCTCTTGCAAAACATTCTCTCCTTGCCCTTGTTAGGCTTTGCTAAAGGCTCCCAGGTCTTTCCCTGACATCAGAAACTTAAAATAAACCTTATCTGTTGTCTTGATGGTGTCAATAAGTAGGGAACTAGCTCATCCAAAATATTCTTGACATTTTAGATGCGAATTTAACATTTCATTTTGCGAATACTGCTGGAACTGAGTACTGTTGGTCTCCTCAAGATAATGGTGATTTCAAAGGGAAAAACGACGTTGATTGCTGCATTGACGGAAGTTTCTCCTACATCGATAACCACAGTCTTCGTTACCAGAAAGGAAGTAATCCAACTCTTTCGAAATGCGTTTCGATTGCTGATATGCCATCTGTAAAATACAGTGATCTTAATGAAAAGAAACTCCAAGTTAGAGATGGTAAATCCTTAGCACCTACTTAAACTAACCAAATTTAATTCTAAAATTGTCTTCATAGACAGGCCAAGCAAATAATACTTTACTCTGTTGTAGCTAGCCAGGACTTATGCTATTTTACTTAAAGAAAAATCATATCATACCTCTTGTCATATCGAAAAAAATTCAGATTATAAAAAAACAGCTCTGAAATTTGAATGACGTTTTAACAGACGGTAGACAGTTGCAACAACTATTAGAGCGAAAAGAAGTACAAAATCAAAAAGATACTAAAGCTTAGTTGGATGTAGTTGGGATGTCGGTGCGCGAAATTTGTAGCCGCAGACTAAATTTCTATTGATTTTTGTTGTAGATTGCGCTGGAGTATCTTTTGCTTATTCACAAGCTTCTCAGACATTGAAATTCATTGGCACAGACTATTGTGTCAGCATGAATTCAAACAACAAGTTTATCTTGCTCGAGAAATGCACTTCCATGCAATTCATCATCTCTAGAGGTTGTTTTTAGCACTTTTTCTTTCCTTTCCTTGATCTTTCAATTATTATAAACAGTTGTTGCATCATTCTATATCCACATCAATATTTTATAAACCGAAAATTAAGTTTCAGCTCATAAAAAAAGTTGAAGAAAGGAAAAATATTAGATAAAATAAATCTGAGTCAAAACGACAATAAAAAGAAATTCATAAGAAAAATTTTTTTCCATCAATTTTTTGACACAGTTTGCTACGAACATTTTAAAAGACTTGCAAAGTAATGTTTAAATTATTTGATAAAGAACGGTGATAAATAAAGTGAAGCTCTGCAATTTTCAATGGAATTTAAATTTTTATATTAGTACGTCAATTAATTGCAATTCAAAGTAAAGTAAAATTGTAAACAAATTACTTGGTTTCATTTGAAGTCGCAACGAAATTAATTTTGTTTATAGATATTAACTTCAGCAGTTTGAACCATTTTAAGTATTTCTATTTTTCACATTTTTTAGGATTTTGCCAATACAACACTTCAAAGCCAGTTGGTTAGTAAAACTTCTGCTTTATAATTGATCTAGTCATTTGGTGAAGTAATTCATTTCTGTTTATGTCATTTTTTCTAAAATCTCACAAATGCTTAAGAAAAAAATATTCTGAAGATTAGCATAGGAACAGCAGCTAAATAAAAAACTAAGATTCTGTAAATGGATTTTAATGACGAATGACAGTGAATAGGATGTGAGATAGAAAAACTGAAAAAATACAAACATGAAAAATTCTGATTAACTTTTAATGCCCGCTAAAATTCTTGGAAGAGACCACTTTTTCAAAATACTTTCAGATTTCTGACTTTCTTAAAGGAAAGCAATGGAATCGCAATTACTTAAGATTCTCTATTTGTTCTTCGAATTTTCAATTTCAATGCCATTTATGTCGCTGTCTCCAAACGTTATTGTTAAAATCTAAATATTATGGTGTTCTTTAAATGCTGTTTTAATACTTTTTAATAGACAATTTCCAATATTAGTTCTTCAATATGACTGTAAAATTCGATGGTATCTTATGTTCTTATGTTTGTAGCAGATTCAACTCAGCCTACAGTCTCATCAAGCACTAGTGACAACGGTGGGTTTCTGTGAGCTTTTATAATTCTATTCAACATAGCTCATTCACTTTAATGTTTTAAGTAAAAGGACTAATAATCCTGATATTTAGTATTTATGTATATATCCTGTGTTTTAACTTATTGATGATCTTTAAACTTTGAAATACTAGATGATTCACCGCTCTTTCATTTTAGTGACTGTCGCGAACCCATTTCCTGTAATATATGACAGTTAGTGAACAAGACTTTTAAACGGCACTTTTGAGCAACCTCAACAGTCACGTGCTCGCTTTTTTGATTGGCCTATGAAGCTTTAGTAGACTCAAATGCTTGCTTTTTAAAGCCAATTTTAAGACTTTTTCCAATAATTAACCCAGATACTGAAAATTTGCTAGATCAATGATAATGTGAAGCAAATCACGTCGTATTGAATTAGTGGATTCATAAACATCAGCATCATTTAAATGCTGTTTTAATACTTTTTATTAAACAATTTCCAATATTAGTTCTTCAATATGACTGTAAAATTCGATGGTATCCTATGTTCTTATGTTTGTAGCAGATTCAACTCAGCCTACAGTCTCATCAAGCACTAGTGACAACGGTGGGTTTCTGTGAGCTTTTATAATTCTATTCAACATAGCTCATTCACTTTAATGTTTTAAGTAAAAGGACTAATAATCCTGATATTTAGTATTTATGTATATATCCTGTGTTTTAACTTATTGATGATCTTTAAACTTTGAAATACCAGATGATTCACCGCTCTTTCATTTTAGTGACTGTCGCGAACCCATTTCCTGTAATATATGACGGTGAGTGAACAAGACTTTTAAACGGCATTTTTGGGCAACCTCAACAGTCACGTGCTCGCTTTTTTGATTGGCCTATGAAGCTTTAGTATACCTTAGTCCCTTCAAATTTCGCTTGCGTTTAATTTTCGCCCCGGAGGGGGGCGAGAATTAAAGGGGGCGAATTATGGAAATATTTGATGGGGTGAAAATTAGAGGGAGCGAAAATTAAAGGAAACTTAAAAAATCTATTTTCTATAATAGAACCTTAGTTTTTAGGCCCATCAAGGAATCTTCAAGTTACCATCTTTACGCACGTCAAATTTTCATCCTGCGTTGAGTGTTTTCATTGTTACAGTTCTCATTTAGTGACTTTCTGGGAAAATATCCATACTGAAGGCCTTAAAAAAGATTTCTTAATCCTTAAAATTTTGACAAAGATGATAAACTTGTGTCTTTTTAAGGGGCGGGGTGATTTTGTTCTTCCATTTCCAAAGTGTTCTCCTCCTCAGGGCCATATTCGTCCAAATCATCAGCGGCCAATCTCTCCTCGGCTTCAGTTTGGTCAGAAGATACTATCATCTTCTCTGGCTCAATATAGTAGTCTTGCAGATATTCTTTCATTCGATTGAAGACAGAACTTTGCGCCTTATCCTTATTAACGATTAGTACAATCGGTATTTCGATTCCACCTTTAGGAATTGGCGATCTTCTATACTTGTTGTCTCGTACACGACCTTCTAAAGCGCCTCTATAATTCAAGAAAAAATGGCAAAAGCGAGGCCCGAGTGTAGTTCCATGCCGCATGAACGTTCATTGCTTGGAAACTGATTAGGTCAAAGCTTTGAAATTTAAAGGGTTTGGGGGCGAAAATCAAAGGGAGCGAACTTGTGCACGAAAGGGGGCGAAAACTAAAGGGGCGAAAATTTAAGGGAGCCAAAATTGAAGGTAGGCTAAATTTGAAGGGACTAAGGTACTCAAATGCTTGCTTTTTAAAGCCGATTTTAAGACTTTTTCCAATAATTACCCCAGATACTGAAAATTTGCTAGATCAATGATAATGTGAAGCAAATCACGTCGTATTGAATTATTGGATTCATAAACATCAGCATCATAAATTCTATTTTTATCAAAAAACTAAATTGAAAGAATTGCTTATGATTTTTATCGTTTAAAATTCATATTTAACTTCCGTTACGTTTGCAGGTGATCCTGTGCATGGTAACTGGGCCCAGTGGACACAATGGTCTTCTTGTTCGGTAAATTGTGGAAATGGAACGCATGAGCGAACCCGTTACTGTGACAATCCTGCTCCTAAAAATGGTGGAACGGATTGTGTCGGTACCAGCAAGGAAACCAAACCATGCATTTTGCCATCATGCTCAGGGACGGCCCTTTCTGCTGCTGGAAGCAACTGTGCTACACTGTGTCAATCCTTAGGTACGCCGAATATAGCATTTTTCTGTTTGTTTTGGGCCTCTTGGTTTTATAGTCGAATTGTTAGATAGAATAGTTACTGGCTACCAGTTTCAAATACTTTAAGAATTTTAAACCAATTCTAGGGCTCGTTTGTACAACTTCTATCAACACTGGAAACTCTAAGGAAAGCTTGATCAAAATCGGCGCAGCATGTTCTTCTGACGAAAGTGCAAAAGTATGGACGAAAGAGTTCGAGCCTGCTTATGCCACAACAAGCGACAAATGCACTGGTTATGTTTCCGTTCCACTTTCGGTTAAATGTGATGTTACAGCACCTGCGTTGGTAAAAAGACTTTGTAACTGCGTCAAAAACGGTAAGCGAGTTAGAAATGGCTTTTATTCTTCAAGTACATATATTTTGAACCCTTATAGAAGAAATCTAAAGAAATCTTTTCTGCTCCTTTGACTTGAGTGATCTCCACTGTACCTTTCTTTACAGCAAAAGGAGAATTTGATATCAACATTTGATATTCATCAATGCAATATCTTTGGCAAGGGAATTCTTGAAATTAAAAATGATATAAGATGACATGGCTCGTCTATCAATCTTATGCAAAGATATCTTCATGCTAATTGTTTCAAAACATCTTTTTGCTTTTTGTCTCTTTCAAGACTCATTATGGGTATATTTATGTAGATTCAAATACGATATTATGTGCACTACAATCTTATATTTTCTTCCGAATCAAACAAAACAGAAGACAAAGGGTTTGGGCAATGGACACCATGGTCGGAATGTACAGTCACATGCAGTGGAGGCACGAAAGCGAGAACGAGACTCTGCATCGCTGTTAATGCGACCAAAGACGACTGCCAAGGAGTTACAACAGAGGTTTCTGAGTGCAATACACAAAAGTGCCCTGGTTCGTATAAGGCATCTTTCGGATTTGCTAATGGCATTTTATTTTGCTTATGACTTATGACATTTTCTGATAACGAGGGAGACAATTGCATTGGGAAAATTTTTACTGCTTTTGAACAATCTGAAAAGTCTTGGTCCCAAAATTTGGAATAATCTACTATCAGAACTAAAATCTGCAAAGAACATCAACAGTTTCAAACATAAGATCAAAGATAAATTCTTTGAAGATCTGCAAAGTCAAGAGGATAGCCCTACAAATTTTCCCGAAAACCCAAAATCAGCCAACGAAAAGGTTCTACTTAACATTTTTTCAGAATAAATATTTTTCTCAGTTTTTTTATACAAAATCAATTTGACATGAACACATTTCTTTTTGATAAGACCATTATGGAAACAAGACTGTTTTAAATGCAATATCTGTCATTTTTAACCTGGGGGTGTTTTTAGACTAGCTTTTACCTGTACATTTTATAACTCTGTAATTAAATCACTTTCCTTTTCTGAATTTTAAATTGTAATTTATTTTGATTGCAAAATTATTTATACATACATACATATTTAGCTATGAAAATCTGATAGTAAAATCATTAATAGAAAAATTGATTTTGTTTATAGTTGATGGTGGATTCTCTGAATGGTCAAAATGGACGACATGCACGAAGTCATGTGATGGTGGAACACGAACCAGAAATCGAACATGCAGTGATCCATTTCCAAATTACCATGGAATTCAATGTTATGGCAGCTATAGGGAAACAGAGCTCTGCAATCTTGCCTTTTGTCCAAGTAGGTGTTCCATAATATGTTCAGTTACTGGGCACGCTTTTTATCTCTGTTAGAACTTTGCTGGTTGCCTTGATACACTCGGACACACAGAGGGGGGGTTGGGTATTTAAAAAGCATACAATAATAAGCGTTTTCAAGCTAATACCATAAGATCGCGTTTGCTGTCTCCCAAACTGTGCAGTAAAACAATGGCCAAAATATAAAGCTTACTAGGTAGATGATTAATCAAACTTGTTGATTATCAATTACATATGGTCCTATTAAGCTGCAAATGAGTTGAGGTGAATTTGAGGCACACTGTTGAAGACGGAGAGTCGCCTTAATCTCACCGTTACCTTTCTGACACCTGCCTTCACAGACTGGTCAGCTCTTGGTTTTTCAATTGCTCCTTCAGAAAAAACGAAGCTAAAAAGTTTGTTTGCCAAATCTTAGTGATATTATAAACTTTCGTTTCCCATGAGGAAACAAACAAGTCATAGATGCAATGAGGTGTATCATTCCAACATTTCCTAATTATATTCCTTATAAACTTTCCTAATTATATTTTGTCCCTTCGTTCTATAACTTGTTTCTAATCTCAATTGTATTTGGACATATCTAACCAAGCCTTCAAGTCTAAAATGTTTGCTTACGATATCAAAAAGGCATTTTGCTGAATGAAGTAGCTTTTAGTTTTCAAAAAAATCTCCTCAGAATTCCATAAACTCTTTTACATGTTTTTGCAGTCAAAGTTCTTCAAATGATATCTGTAGTTTTTTCCATATCCTTTTAGTAAATGGTGGATGGACGGACTGGACATCTTGGCAGCATTGTAACAAGCCTTGCAACACAGGAGAACGTCTTAGACAACGCTGGTGCGAGAACCCGTTGCCAATGTATGGCGGTAAAGTATGCGAGGGAAGTGGCACAGAAACTGATCCATGCAACACACATATTTGCCCAAGTAACTTTTCTTTTCATTTCAACTTTCATCTTAATTGTCTGAATGCACGATCAACACAAAAAATTTAAATGCAATCTTTTGCTAGCAGCACACGGTGAGACTGTTTCCGAGCAAAGTGCCACTCTTGCTGAAAGTCTGAAAATCAAACTAATTTGACCATTTGTAGAACCCATGCCAAATTGCTTACCAGTTCTCCCGTTGTGGGCATTTTTCATCTTCCTTAAAAACATTTGCAAGAAAACCCCACCAGCAAAGCTACTTTACAAACACGATACCGCTGGGAGCAAAAGACTGTCAACCCAGTGACCATTGCCTTGAAGATATTAAGGAATTCTATGAAACACAAACTTTTTCGACGAAGACTGTAAAAGAAACTACTTTGATGGCAGATTGATGTACAACGTAGATTTCTTGATTGAATCGACCAGCCATTTGCATGTATTGTAGTAGTGAGTTGATTCAAGTTAATTCAAGTATATTTTATTTAAGTCATTTGGGAGGTCTTTATTGCCATGTTGTAGGAGTTGTGTCATAACCTCATTAGAAAGATAAATATATGAAAATGGTTGTAAAATTGCTTTATATCCAGCTAGAAGCTTTCTTAGCTGAGTCTCTTAGGAAAAGCAGAGTAACAAAAAGTGTTCTAATGTCTCAATGCCGTCTCTGATCGATTTTCTCATTCTCTCAAGACCTCGACAATGTAACGCGTGCGCATTCGCCGCGAATCTCACTCTGCGCGTCTGGCACATTTAGATGCGTTGAAAAGGAGGCTCGGTATCCCAGTACATGTAAAGTATATAGGGATTGCCTTCCGCCCAAGGAAAAGAGCTTTCCCTAGACAACACTAAAGCTTATGATTTAAGATGTGCGTATGTCTCACACAAAAAATTTTATTTCGTGTCAAACACGTTTTAGGATCGAAAACCGTGTGATTTTCCCTTCTTTTTCACCATTGTGATGTCCAGTTTTGTTTCACCTCATTTACTAATATGGAAACGTTTCTTGTGAGCCCTTTAATCGGTTGTTAATTACATAAAAATTTTTCATGCAATACTTCAGACATTGTTTTGCTTGAATTTTTCACATGCTCTTTGATATCGTGCAACTGTAGGATAGCAACTGTATCATCAACTTTAAATTTGAATCGATTACCTTTAAAAACCTATTTTTTTAAGGTCTTTGTAAATAAACTCCAATGTCGTAAATGTCAGGAATTTATTCCTTTGCGATTGAAAATTGTTGAGTCACTTATCATATCTGGAATATAATAGAATCGCATTTCCTCCAGTTGTTTCAAATTTTAAGTTCTTTCATCGTTGTCCTCAGATGTTTCAATAACGTTAAGGAATGTTGCCTTTGATGAAGTTTGGAAAGATGGGTATGCATTGGCATCAGGAGCTATGTTTGCGGATTTTGCAAGAAATATCGATACAAATGTAAGATGTATTTAAACTTCAAATGTATTTTCTGAAGAAATTTCATTAAAGAAATATCTGTGGTCAGTAGATCCCTTTAATGCAAGTGGTTAGTTTTTGAGCTCTCATATTTGTCAACTACAAATCACAGTACTTTCAGTAGTCTTAAATTCAAATGTTTCTGGTGAATAAGTCACTGGTAGCACATTATGTATTCTGATATGTGTATTTTTATTATCACACAGAAAAAGACATAATCAATTTCTATGTAGATATCTATCTATATCAAAACATTGAAATATAAAAACTTCTTTTTCTATCTTACCTATAATTTCTTTGAAACCAAAGACGTTGTTGTCAGCAAAGATCACGGATAAGAACTATAAAATCTGAATAATGTTTCTTTTTTTCAAGGTCAAACGGCTATACGTTGGAGATTTGGGAAGCACGTATGAGTTTCTTCAGCTCCATGGTCTAAGGTAAGTTATATTGTTAATTTTCAAGCAGGCTTCTATTGCTTACACATTCCAACTAATATTAACATTCACTAATTTGAATTCAATTTCCTCCCCTTTTACTTAAACGTATTATTGATTAGGGGACTATTTCAAATGTTGACTGATAACATGGGCCTCAGGGGCGGACACTTGGTCAAATATTGGGGGGGGGCGCAAGCCTATTGTTTTAATAAGATGACGTCACATTTCCCATCGTTTTAGAACAAAAGACCATTGTTCTCTAAAGTATTGGGGGGCGGTTGCCCCCCCTCGCCCCCCCCAAGTGTCCGCCACTGATGGGCCTAGAGCAAATATAGATGAAATATATCATACCTTTATAATCTTTTGCCCCTCGACTTACGACATAATATGTATGATATTATCAACAAAAACTTCTAGAATTTCTTATGTGTAGCTTCTAGAATTTAAGGAATAAATGTGACACATTTACAAAATGGTTAAGCAGTAAGCAAGGAATCAATAACAGAATATCGTGGATAATTTTATGTCGTCTTATTTAAATCTAGGAACAGAAAAAGTTCCCTTATTTTGAATAGGTAATACTTACCAACTTATCTTTAGAAATATTCAACAAATATCATAATGTATTCTAATTTTTACTATTTTCTAGAAAAGGAAGTGTGATTGCCTCATTCACTTTGTATTTCAATGCGCTTGATTCGTTCCAAGCTCTGTTCCTAATGGATGCTATTGACAACGATCATTATCTCGGCAAACTACCAATTGTCGAAAATAAAACCGCAAGTTTTTCATCACCGATAGGTAGGTACCCTAAAAAAGGTGTATGTTTCCATCAATTTGTCGTAGAGTTTTTTCAATTTGTCGATGTTTCTCAGATCGGATTTATAGCTTGTGGAATGTCGTTTCTAGTTCCATCGAGTCCCCCGTCAAATGTGACAGCGGCCAGCAATGACGCCAGTTCCATAGATGTTTCCTGGAATGAAGTTCCGAGCTCGGATCAAAATGGTGTAATTACCGGCTATTTGGTGTTTTACCGGGAATCATCAGCTACGACATACACAATTGCTGCAACAGCGCAGCTCAAACTAAAGATTCAAGGGCTGTCTGCTGCTACCAGTTATTCATTGCGAGTGCTGGCATACAATTCAAATGGAAATGGCATTGCTAGTGAACTTATCACATTAACAACTAGAGAAAAAGGTAGAATAATTAACGATTCTGATGATGAACCCATTTTTCTTCTTGAATTGGATTGTTATAAGGACATATGTTGTAGCTACTAATTCAATTCATTCTTTGTGCAGCACCAAGTCTTCCGCCGCAATCAATATCAGTTGTTCCTATGAGTGCCTTTTCATTGTTTGTTGAATGGACACACCCTCCATGGCATAGCTGGAATGGCATCATTGCTGGCTACAAAGTTGACATTAAGTCAGATGACGGCAGCTTCTCCCAATCTCTGAATGTTGATGGAACAATGGTTAACATGAACGTAAATGGATTATCACCAGATAGGTTGTACATCGTCGATGTATGTGCATCGACCTCCGTTGGCACCGGTCCCTGCATACGATCTTACAATGAGACGTTTGTTAGCAGTAACTATTTGACTTATTTCTTACAATTTTTTATTTCAATTGCTGCACCTTTCTTTCCAGAAATCTTTGCAGCTTGGTAGTGGAAATGTCAGTGTCTATCGATTATGAATGCATTTTGAAGTTCTTTTATGCAAAGCTCAGATTTGCATGATTTTAACTACACAGACACTAAAGATCTAGGTTCTACTTGTAGAGTTACCCTTGTGGTATCGGATGAAACATTTGGTAACGGATCAGGTTTTCTTTGGCCGAGAATTTTCCTCCTCTGCTTTTTCATGAGCACAGTTCCCCTTCCTTCTATGTTTTCGGTTGTCCATTTATCAATTTAATTCTATCGGCTTTTTTCTTCTCTTTTTTTCATTTTTTTATGCAAATTCTTTAACGTAATAAACTGGTCTACATTGATTAGCAGAAGAAGCTTCTTCCAGTAAAAAGCATATAGAGAATGCTCTCATTTTTTTTTCTGAACAAATACAGATACCATTCTTTATTTCAATTGTCAGTTACAGTTTCAATAATTTTCCAAATATCTTCTATAGATCCTTCATTATCTGCTAGCAGTGAGTTGCTGTCCCTCTCTGAAAACAGCTCTTTTTAATCATTTTGAGTTTCTATTCAACCTTTCAAAGATTTTTATTTGATCTCTAGGCATGTACAGTACTTTCGCAGAACATCTTTGTTACATTTTTTCACAAAATACATGTCACAAATATGTTTACTTCCCTTTTGTATTTACAAAAAGATCAAATTCTTCCATAGCTCCTTCAATATCTCCAGCCAATGCAGGATGTCAGAACAGAACCTCAACAAGCAGCATAATTGTCAGTTATGAGCCAATTCCAATTGCATTTATTCATGGAATTTTAAAAGGATATCGAATTGAATACCGTCTGATGAGTGTAGGATCACAGTCGAAATCAAACAGTAATATACAGGCTGTGACTGTGAGTCCATTCAGAAAGCAAGCAACTCTTGAAAAACTTGAACCAAACAGCGTCTACGAGATTCGTGTCATGGCCGTCAATGAGCATGGTGCAGGAGTAAAATCGCCTGTATTTTATGGAGGTAACACCTTGAGATGCATGTTTTTATCATTTCTAGTTGTACATAAAATATCTAGATATTATATGTTTAATATCTTTAATATCTTAATTTCTAGATATTACAAACTATATCTTCAACATCTTGTGTTTTCAGAAACGTGTTCATGTCCTGAGGTTATTTATACAAATTACGCTGCCTTAAAACCGTATATTTACCGTGACACTCAAGGTAACATGGTAGGAATTTTCGAGAACCTGTTAAAAAATATCACCTCTGCTATTTGTGGATTATGCAACGGCAGAAGCAGCAGAATTGATTTCATAAACGACGGCAAAAATGGATGGGCAGAAAAGCAAAGTATTGCACAGGTTGCTAAAGGTAAAACCAGCTCATTTTTTAATTTAAATAATATCTTTAGCCAGCAGACGGTAGATCGAAAACAAACGTGTCGTTTTCCTCATATTGAATATTCCTATATTGCACAATTACTTTTTATCATAACACAGGAGTAAAGTTTCGTTACTATAAACTTTTTGCATGCAATTTATTATTAATAAGATTTTTCCGCTGTCAATTTCTTACAGCAATTGATGATTATGTACACTTAAGTTTTGCTATTGCCGGAAGAGAAGAGATGCCAACATTTCTTGGAAAACCGTACAGTTCCTTGATCGACCATCCTGGAATGGTTTTATATACCCCGAGGCCAACTATGTCGGAGCAGGTGGAGGCAATGTTGACGTCAATCTTTCAGCTTTGGCCGATATTCATTCTCAATGCTGTTTTCATTATTTTTGCCGGTGTCATTTTCTTTACACTGGTAAGAATTCACCGATTTCAATCGTAAAAATGATTTAAAGTCTTAGTTTCGACTTTTTGTACCAATCTTTTGGTGGTACAAAACTTGTAAATGGCTTTACAAAAAGCAAACATTTAGTAAACTAAAGCTTTTCGTCTGACACTCTTCAGAGTTTAAAACGTCAGAACATAGATCGAAAACTCTACGCTAAGAAATATATATACCCAGTTGTGGACCGAAATAGGCCAATCAGAAACACGAGCACATGACTGTAAAGGTTGACCAATCAGTGCCGTTTGCCTATTAGAATGTTACCAGTGGAGTCCTAAGGTGAAAACGAACTCATTTTGTCTACACAGTAGCGGTTTTTTCGTTCTTATGTAGATAGATTCTAAAACTGCTAGATGGAACGACGATCGGGCTTTACCAATAATCCGAAACATCTATGTTCTGACGTTTTAAACTCTGAAGAGTGTCAGACGAAAAGCTTTAGTTTACTAAATGCTTGCTTTTTTAAAGCCATTTACTTTTTGTACCCTTCGATGACTTGATAAGAATAATGCAAACAGCTGCGTGCTCCTTGTAATTCGTTAAAGTATTCTGCTGTTTTAGTAAAGCTGGACACGATTTCATTGCATTTCTTATTACTTGAATGCTTTGAGTATGGCATAAATTCCAACAAAAATGTACCTTTGTTCTGGGACCAATGCTGTTTTGGTTTTAGACATACGATGAAGCTGCTGTAGATGGACCCTGTTGGTTCGTATCAGGATCACTTAGAGGAATGTATTGGGCCTACGTCACCATGTTTACTCACGGGTAACTGCTACAATATTCTATATTTTACTAAATATCATTGCATCTCTATTTCAGCACAGATATTGGTATTTGCAGATCAGGGATTCAACACAGTGACTTATGTAGTATTTTTGCTTTTAGATATGGCGATATTGTGCCCAGTTCGATTGTCTCTCGCATCTTTGCAGTTCTATGGATTCTAGTAGGCCTTGTAACCTCGGCAATTCTAATTGGTGGAATAAGCACAGCATTGACCGCCTCGAGTACGCTTCCAGGCGTAAAGCTGTACAACACCGAGGTGGGAATGTGGACTCAATTCATTTTCTTGCGAATATTACTTTGTTTGTTTTGTTTCCCTAAATTTGTTCGGAAGAATCATTAACACTGTCTCTAAATTCTAGCTTGCAGTTGTGCAAGGTTCTAAAGAAGAAATCGTCGGAATTTTGAGAAACGCCAAAGTGAACACAAGTATGGCGAATTTTTCCTTCTTTAATTACATCGCTTCAAAGAAAATTTTAAGTTTTACTTTGTAAAGTTCCAGCCAATATCATGTCAATATTTTATTTTTCCGGCAATAGCCTTTTATGTTTTCCAGTTTTTGCTGAACTAACACTTCAAAAGGCGCATTTAGAATCGTCACGTTTTACGTTTTAAAAGTTATTTTCAAAGGTCATAGTATTTCACTAGAGCTGACTTTTTATTTAATTCGACATGCAGAGGGCCAATATGGGAAAACAGAAGATGTATTTCATGCATTAAAGGAAAGACAAGTTGAAGCAGCCCTGGTTGATGCCTTTGTAGCAGCAAGTCGATCAGATCTGTTTGAAGACCAGGCGATAATTGCTCGAAAAATGATCAAATATTCTTACACCTACGGAGTTGTATTATCAGGAGCGATGAAGAACACAGGAACAAGCATAAAAAATTACGTTTCTGATAATCGCCAGTACATTACGCAAATGGTGGAGAAAACAGCGCCTCAGTTGACGGTAAAGTTTGAAAAATTGCTTTGATATTCAAAATTATTAATAGCTTAGAGTAACAAAATAACTTTTGTTTTAACCCTGCTGTTGCCTAAGATGGTCATATACAGGCGAAAAATCGAAACATTCACGGAAACTTTGCTTGAAACCTCGAGTTTTGAGTCATGTACTGTACACGTGGGAAACCAGGGTCGTTTATTGATTGTGAAATTCTGTCAGGTAATATACTAAGCCTTTAACAGTATTTAGAGACCAGGAGACAGCTTTTATTAGCCTTTTGATTTGAGACTTTTTGCAGATAAAATACATTGCCAATTCAGAATACAGTAGATTGATCGAGGAAAGTCCCAGTTGTAGGTTTGTCCCAGGAGCATCGGAACCATGTCCCTGATTGCTCTTTAAGGCAGAAGAAATTCCTTTTAATCTGTACAACCCATTTTGAATTTATAGCTAAAAGTGGAGTAAATATAATTTCAATATATGGAAAAATAGCAGTTTCTTGTGGAGATAAATCTTGATCAACTGAAATATAAGTTTAGATAGCTGAGAAGATAAAGGAAGAAAAAATTCGTGTCTGGTTTGCTGCCCTACCTTGCAGTAATAGCAATTTGCCCTGTGCTAAAAATGCTACTTCATTACAAACAGGATTTGTAGATGTACAACGAATTCAGTGCTTAATTTTCTGAAGTCTTAAAGTGAACCTCTTCTGATCAAATATACAACATCATCAGTGTTTGAATGTTTCACAGGGAACCTTTGCTTATCCACAACCGGTATCACTGTTTGAGCCGTCATCTCCTTTCCTGAGTCAAACTCTCATTGCCCTATTCATTGTTTACATCCTTCTCTTCATCGCTGGATCCATCTTCAGTTATGTTAGACGAAGAAAAAGGGGAAAAGTAGACGTCACGCAACAAGGTGAGGTATTCCTTTATCAAAACGTTCGAATACACAGCACTAGTGATAGATGTGTTTGGAGTAAAGCAATACTATGCTATAATTCACATTCAGAGCAGTTATTGTTTAAGGATATGATGTATCTCATGATTATTAGAACAGTCGAGAATGTTCGATCCCATTTCATTACAGGCAATTAACTTCGGTGCAGTGATAAAAGACATTGTCTTTATGATTTCATTTTTAATTGCTACTCAACGTTTTGCTAAATATAAAAATTATTTAAACCAACGGCTGTTAAGAAAACTGTTAAAGTAAAACAAATTCCTCAATTTTTCTCCTTTTTTAGGGCTAGTCTTTAAATCATGGCGAGTTAGCGTTAAGTAAAGGATAATTGAGCATTTTGCTTGTCATCTTTTGGTTTGTGACAGTCATTTTGTAATTCGTATCACTCATTAATTTTGCATTTTTAAATATAGTTTATGTAGTTAGAAACTCTTCTTGCTCAGAGGAAATTTCACTTAAAACCTTGCAGGTGAACTGGAAAATGTCATAGATTGTGAGGTGATCTGCAAAAGATTCTTTAGTGACATCGACACGCTTTGTAGCAGGCTGGACTCATTAACCAAACTTCACGAAAGAAACATCAACAAGGTCAAATTACGGCAAAGCAAAGAAGAAGCATTAAAAATAACGTTTGTAAAAACACAAAACAATGACACAACTGATGTTTCATTGGAGTGAATTGTAAATAATTTGCTGCGACGAAGTTGCTCTGTAGAAAAGGCAATTGAAGACAATGTACATAATATGTGAAAGAATGCCAAAAATCTGATGCACTGTAAATTATCAAAGATTGTTTAAAAATAGCCTGACGCTTAAACACTATGTCATCTTTATGCATTAATTTAAACAGTCATGCGCTATCACGTGACATATCGCTATTCATGGGAACAGGATTTTTGACCTGACAAAACCTTCTTGTCTAGCTAAAATGGCGTTTTGCGTTTCGGAATATTATTCGCAAGATTGTGAAAATTGGCTTTTCCAAAATGTTTGGAATTTTCTAGATGTTTAAAATATTCATAATGTATAATATATCATGTTTTTCCATTTTTCTGTCATTTTTTATTCTTCCCCGCAAAACAATTAAATGTTAGGACTTTAGGCTTAGCACATATGTGGTTCGTGCAAAATGTGATCAAAGCAGGAATTCAAACGAGTACCATCCCTCCGCTGTCTCTCTTTTAAACTACATTGTAAGGATTTGTCAAGTCCAGGGTTGTAGCACAAGATCAACTGCATGCGCTTTAACGGTCTTCTGCATAAAATTTTTACATCGATGTCAATTTTGAACTACTTATCTTTTTTTGGCTTTGAAATCCATTCGACGAATAAATATAAACCCGTCGCTATGTTTACTTCTCGCCGCAGCCTGTCTCCCACCCATTTTACTGAATGCAGCAACAGGTAGATAGACATTATAGATCAGAATACGAAATGATAAAGTTATATGCAAAAGAGCGTAGATATATGCTTTACAGAATTTTAAAAGTTTACAATTTTTATGAAGCTAAAAAGTCAGAAAATGACAAAAAGAAAGAGATTGGTAAAAATTGACAGGAAAGTTTTGAAAAATTGGAAGTTCAACCTTGAAATTGGTGAATGGTATATTCTTATTGATATCGAACAAAATATTTCAGACGGCTAGATACATTTAAGTAATTAATATACAAGCCAAAAACTCATTAAAAAGATAATTATCATCAAAGCATAATCACTGATATATTTTTGTTTTGGAGCCATTGATGATTGGTATGCCTAATCGTTCTTCTTAAACTACTCTGTTTATAAAAAATGCCGTATGAAATTTGATTATTTATATCAAAGATCGTTTTTAAAAGACCTTCAACCAAATCAAGCGTGAAATGTGAAATAAGGCAAGACCCGACTAAGGATGCTTCTGTTAGCGCGCAATAGAGAACTTGTTCTGGGCCAACACCATGGCAAGGTATGACGGCAAGTCTCGTTACACATTGCCTTTAACAACCTTAGGGTTGCCATGGGGTATCCATTTGCCGATAGAAGCATGCTGAAAAAATTGTGGGCTATGCCTGTTTTTTAGCCAGGAAAAATCAGTGGCACATTAGTGTTGACTAGTGCAGTCTTAATTGCAAAGTTGGCCAACAAGCTTTTTCATTTAATTGATGTTCCTGCTAAATCACTTTTCTGTGTCTGGTAACTGTTTGGTTATGTGCGATTGGTGACGCAGTTTTGCATTATGCAATATCAAAGTGACACACTATGTTTTTGGCATTGGGCAGACTTAACTGAAGAGCTATGTACGTCAACTTTGGCTCTAGTTTTAAGTTCTAAGGAATCTAATTTATAATTCTTTTCAAGAGATATTAAAATATGTTTACTATAATTCTCAATTGATATATCAGAATCATTTACATTCGGGAATAAAGGCGAAAACAGCTGCAAGTACCAGCCGATTATCAATTAAATGATGGAAAGCTACCAATGGACATCGATTTTTAATGAAGCAATTTTGTCCATTTTGTAAACTATATTGAAAAAATCTAATTAAAAATTAAGGTTCACGATTGGTATTCTATTCACTTTTGAGCAATACTATTAAATATTTCTAGTTGCTTTAAAGTCTGTCAAAAATTGAAAGCAATGATTGAAAAGCTAAACGGGGGTAATCTTTAAAACTTGCTGATTGTATCGGGAAATAATAAGTCTTAGAACAAAAAACCCAACCCTTTGTAAATGTCAAATTCTAAAGGAAAAAGTATGGACACAAGCTCACAACCAAGGTTCTGTTCAATTTGCAAAGATAGACAAATTTATTGCATCAATCTAGTTTTTAGTGTCAAAAACAGATCTTTTCAGACTTGGTTAAAGTTTTTGACGATAGTTTCTTTGCTTTCAGAAACAGGCGAAATTCTGTATGAAATTCATAATATCGTTTAAAAATAGACTTTTGATTTGTAGTAATAACATGATCTGTACCATAGAGCCATATACGTAAAATGGAGGCATAAACTGGATACTTTAGCCTAAGTAGCTAGATAATTTATCTATAGGACTAAAAAAATGAAGTAGAAAAAGTAGTTGAATTTCAAGGTTTGTTGTCTTACATAATTTTAAGTCATTCTTGCCGGGACAGAATGACACGAAAATCGTGGGAAGGCAAATCACGTCAGCATGCGTGCGCATAGAAAACATTATCGCTCAATGTTCATGAAATGTATAAGATTTCCTTCAAATGAAGTAGCGATCTAATATGTTGTGGTTATAAAGCCATATCCCTGGAATCTTTTAGCTCATTTGCCTTTAATGAAGGACTAATCGATGTGAAATGACAAGATTGAACTTTAAAAGCTTGAACGGCTACGCGACTCCCTTATCTACGAGTTGTTTGTAAGTTCGCAACCCTTTTATCTACGAGTTGTTTGTAGGATATGCAACGGAAGAGTTTAAACAGGATCAACTATTGGCTCGCTTCTATAATGTCGATTTTAATTTTTGATGCCATTAAGATAGACTGCCACAACATCGTATCTGTGAAATGAAGGCTAGCTGTTGCTGCCTTATAAGTTCCCCTTTCATGCGAAGTGCCCAATATGAAGGTATGTTCAGACTTTTTATTTTTAAGCACAGATCTGAATTGCTTACAAAATTTATGCTTTCTTGGAGCATTGCATGAGAAATAACTTTCTTGAGAAAAAAATGAAAATTTTCTTGACGCTTTTGTAGAAGCATAATATTTTGAAGAATCAGCTACTTGTCACCAATTTCAAATTCTTTTAACTTTTTAATGAGAAAAGTAAATGCGTTCTCGCAATTTTCCATCTTAGAACCATTGGATTTATTTGCTGTTATTTTTGACTTGCTGCTTCGAAAAAACTAAAGGACAGATTCCAAGAGACGTAAAAAGTAAGTAAATTTTGATTGCTTCATGTAAATGTGATTGCAAAAAATCATCAGTCAGTCAAAATTATCAGAGTACATCTAATAATCAGTTAAGCAACGTTGCTTTTCATTGAATTGTTTCAAACTGGTTTTAAACTGCCAATTAACGATATAAAATATATGCCCATTATGTTGGTCGTCGAATGATTGTAAAGATTTACTGGTGCTTTCGAAGATGAGGTTTGTTTGAAGATGTTATCAATTAATCCGAATGCTTCTGATGAAGCTGATGACATTATCTTTGACCAATGTTAATTAATTTTAGTCTTTTCAACAAACCTGATTGTTATGAACCTATTGCGTTTTAAATCATGTAATTTAATGCCCGACGATTACAGTCATTGCTTTTTTACAGTCGCCATAAGATGGGTTAATAAAGAAAATCCACTCAGACATTATTGTCTAAATGCTGATGGGCTGAGTATGAGTGATGGAAAGAAAATAAGGGTTTTCGTTGGAAACTGCTGTGACTATCCAAAATTTAATTGGAATGGCATGACGGGAGAAATTTACAGCGAAGATGGACAAGTTTGCATCGGCAAATCTTCACTCTATTCTGACGTCAAGTTTACAAGAAATTGTTAGTATTAATGTAGTACTTTGTTCTGTATGATTATAAGAAATCCAATTTTTAGGACAAAGACAAGGGTTATTCCTACGTCGTCCCAGAGACCATAATTTTTAAAACTGATCAGATTACTTGCAAGTTATGCTTGCAGCTTTAAAACAATGGGTTATTTATCTGCATGTTTAGTTTTCCAATCACCTATTCCCCAATAGTAAACCTAGGCCCTAAAACTTTTTATAGTATTTCTTCGATACAGCTTCACTCTTGAACCAGCGCCTCTCTTATAAGCGCCCTTCGAATACGCGCCCCCTCAACGGACCATAATTTGAAGTAAGCGCTGCAAAGAATAAGCGCCGCCCGACCATTGATTATATCATTTCTAATTACTTTCACTAACTTGCATAAGAGGGGATCTTGCATTGCCGCAAGGTATAACACTCATTCTTTGAATTTTTTTTCGAATAGGATGAGGCCTTTGTTGGTCAGTCTTGATTTAGACGATTTGCCAAAAGCAGAATTGCCCTTATTTCACTTTAATAGTTTTGGAAAACGCTGATTGTAATTATCGATATAATCGGCTAGTTTTTGTAGTATTAATGGATCCTTTTTGTTTTGGTCAAAACATTATCTCATGCTGCATGTTGGCACGTTCAAATTTAACCCTACCTAGGAAAGTACCTTGTGCCTCATTGTTTGCTTGACACTGCCATTCCGCATTCAACTATGATCTGCCTTATACTTTTTTCTAAGTTGCTGAATGCGCTTCATTTTTCCTGAATGGCATGGGATTGCTTGAAATTTCGGGTGTATTATTCAGAGCATGCATTGTGCCAGACTTGAATGATGGGGACAGCAAATACAATTTTTGTACCCTCAGACACTTCACTATCAAAGGTGAGTACGGCAGTATTTTGAACCAGAGAGACAATTAAGGGTCTTGGTTTTAACAGGCAATAGCTCGTATTTTTACGAGGCAGCAGAATTATAGTTAAAGATTATCAAAGTTACCACATATTCACAAAATTTGGTGATACGGCAAAATATCTTGTCACCGCAGTTTAACAAGTCAACAAGGCTAAATTGTCTAAGGCAGACCATGTTGGACCTGTTTGAAAGACAGACCATGTTGGACCTGTTTGAAAGACAGACCATGTTGGACCTGTCTGTAGAAAGATGGAGATCAGGACCTGTGAATAATAATGACCCGGAAGTAAATAATCATGCTACTTTAAATTGTTGCAATGCAACAGAAATATTATCCGGCATTGAAATAGCTACCGCTTGTGGTTAGTTTGAGTATAAAAAAACCTAGCTTGTTAGGAAGGCAGACAAGGTATTGTCTTTGCTTCTCAAAAACTCTTTACATGCTCTTTGTGCACGTTCTTTGCTTGCAATGACTGTTTAATGGATACGGAGCTAAAAGCTCCACTCGCTCGTTCTTCAAAACGTAATTGACACTCTCAAGCAACAATTGACAATTTCAGCAAATAATGGCTCTTTTAACAAAAAAGACTCGTTGAGGTGGCTAATGCAGAATTTCAATATTTATTTCCTCTCAATAGCCTTCATATAGCATACTTATATATTGTTTTTTTCAAACTGCCATTCGATAGAACTGAAATTAGTTTGGATAAAATCTAAAGTGAAATGATATAGGAAAAATAAAAGAGCTAGCTACAATTAATTAATGAAGGTAAATTTAACAGATAATCTATCTAAGATTATCTGTTAAACACAATTTAAGCCTTTTGACCTAGCTAGTTAAAAGAATAATCTATAGTTTCACGTTCCTCTTTCATTTTTCTTTTCTTCCAGGAGGCACATGCAACGCACCAACTGGTATGCAATCATACATTATTTCTAAGAGCTCTGAAATTGCAATCGCCTAGCATTTCTTTAAGTTATGCAGTATAATGTGCTAGCATCAAATTTTGTACAGATACTTACTTTGAAGTTTTACAAGATAAATGGGGGAGGGATAGTTTGAAAAATCCTCTTAATGCAATTTTGAGACCTGTTTGTAGACAAGAAATTAGTTTCCAGGCCTTTGGAATTCCACTCTATCTCGTAAGTGCATTGTTTTTTAACATACAGTACGATTTATTTTGATTGATGCTTGTAGAATGTTTATGATTTGTTTTGATATTTATCCACCAAGAAATTATTCATATTTCCACAATTGAAGAAAAAAGAGGCATTTTTTATTGGACAACTATTAGAGAGATTAACGGTTGCTGATTGGTCAAAAACTAAGAATCAGCCAAGCCATTATTCACCACGTTCTACTTTTGATCTTTGCCTGGATTCTGTAAATCATCTAATGCTTTATACTCTATGGACAAAACTTAGGACAAAACTTATTTAAAGTAAGGATGGATACTCAGTCGGTAGTTTTGAGGATTACAGATGTAAGGTTCTGTAGCTCGAGTCCCTGTCGTGAACAATCTTTAACTTAGAGAGGAGAAAAAAGCCAGCTTCGGGTAATTCCAGGCAAAAAAACTGGGGGTTTGGTCATATTGAGAGGAAGGCTGAAGCTTGATAGCAAAAGATGCAAGTGCTTAAATGTATTACTGAAGTGTAATGAACTCACGACATGAGAGACAACTCAACAAAATTGAAATAAACCAAAGCAAGGAGTACAGTTGATTTATTATGATCTCAAGAATGAGCTAACGCACCTATAAGCTTCCTGTTTCGCTGGAAATGCACGACCAGAATAAACTGAGCCACTGGACAATTGGTCGTGGTCGCAGATTTGCCGACTTGCCGATTCGTCGATTCGCTTTCGCCAAAAAACACAAACAGGAGAGTTTACTTAAGTAAAGGTTGACCTTAAACCATGATATAACTTCAATTTTTTGGCGAGAACTTGATATGAGAAATATTACATGCGAGGAAAATATTTTAATTAAAAGAGTTAAATGTGCAGATAAGAAAGTAAACTTCTTGTTTTGACTAATCAATAATCGTTGGCTGATATGTGTATTTTCACTTGCAACTTTTCAAACACGCTTCTCTAATTTTCTTACTATGTCATATCATATCATATCATATCATATCATATCATATTATATCATATCATATCATATATCATATATCATATATCATATATCATATATCATATATCATATATCATATATCATATATCATATATCATATCATATCATATCATATCATATCATATCATATCATATCATATCATAGCATAGCATAGCATATCATATCATATCATATCATATCATATCATATCATATCATATCATATCATATCATATCATATCATATCATATCATATCATATCATATCATATCATATCAATCATATCATATCATATCATATCATATCATATCATATCATATCATATCATATCATATCATATCATATCATATCATATCATATCATATCATATCATATCAATCATGCCATGTCTTGGGCTTGAAAGCATTCCTGTTTGATTAAAGAATTAGCGTTCCAGCTTCATATTTTTTTCATCGAACCTCTTATTTCATAGTTGATTCAAGCAATTTGTGGCAGCATCTTGCTTTTGGGATTTACATATATTGTTGGCTGCCCGATTCATTTTCTGATGGAAAAATAGTAAAAGACACACGCGAGGATTGCTGCAGTAAATTCAGATTTATTTACAAATCTGACAGGACATTTTTTGTGCAGTCTACTGAAGAACCAGGAGAATTCTGTCTGCAGGTTGATGGCATGCCTCACAATAAATACAACGAATTGGATGGAAAGAATATCAAACTCAGAAATGGTAACATGCTATTCTCTGATCAATTTCCGAAGGTCTCTTTCAATTGAAAATTCAAAAAGTTATGATATGTTATGGATTGTGATCGATCTAACATCTTCTTTGTAAACAAAGATGACTGCCTCAACAGAAACCTGATCAATTGTTGATCCATAGGTACCTTTTTTTAAATTGGAAATCTTTATTTTTATCATTATCCAGACGTTTAATTTTCTGTTGAGTGTCAGGATAAACATGTCTTTATATATAACATCGCCATTCTGCCAAATTCTAAAGCATTGTTCATCAAGAAGGCTGCATACATACTATTTTTTTGTAAATATAAAGTTAGTTTCAGCAAATAAATACTCCATCTTTTAATTTACAGAGTGCAAGGGATCTGCCTTCGTTTATGACACCATGTTTAAATTACTAAGAATCGAAGGCACTGACAGATGTCTTTTTCGAACATCGTCCAATGAGATCAAAGTGTCTGCATGCTACCAAGGCTATTCCTACCCATATAGTCAAGGTTAGTTTTTTCCACTCTCTTTCTCTTTTTGAATATAATTATTTCATTTATCGTATCTCGATCTTTAGATAAATTAGATATTTCTCAATCTAAATCTAAAATGGGTTTTTTTCTAAAAATTAGCCTGATAGCCAGGCCCTTGTTATCAGGCTACTCAACAACATGCTTTCCAGTAAGTGTATCTAAATTAAATTTTGAAAACTTCTAAAAAGCGGCCTGTTAATCCAATCCTTTTTTTCAATGAGATTCTTTTATCAGCTTGCTTTGACCGCCTCTCTATCATTGTTGCTACCTTTTTCATAGTCTTTTCTTCATCTCATAATTTTTCTAGGCACATGTTCTGCCACAGCAACATCCATTTATACAGGTAGCTTTCTTATAATCTTGTTTCTGTCATTATGAGCGAAGATCAGTATTGCAGGCAACCGATTTTTGAAGCTGTCTTTTGGCTTAAAAGCGTTATTGCAGAAATTAAACATATTTGTAGAATAGCTGAAAAAGGAAGTCATACAATTCTAGAAACTAAAGAATTGTTAATTTGAAATAAAAGAAGTGTGCAGGGGATAGTTCTCCACATGTTAAATACACTGTTATTATCATAATTGGTCAGTGGCGGAAATTTAGGCTTTCATTTAGGGAGGTGGCCAAGTTTCTGCTAATCTTTACAGAATTGGAACTAAATATACAATTCACAGGCAGTTTTGATTTTTGTCATATATTGTTTGTTTGATTATTTAGTACTGGCTAATATTTCCTCAGCTATGCTATGTTCAAATTTTACAAAAAGAGCACAGAGAGAATATAAAGGACCCTGAGATAAACAAGAACGTGCGGATCAACTGCAAGCAAAGCGAGTAGAAAATTTGGCAATTGCGCCCCTTAGATTAGCTTGAAATACATTTCAGAACGATATTTTGCAGTAATTTCCAGACATTAAACGGTTGTCAATTATTCGATGAAGGCCCGAATTTTCCGTTGATTGGGCTCAATGCCTCCCATACCCCCATAATTTCCGCCACTGTAATTAGTAGCCTGTAATCTAAAACTTGTAAGCTACAATATGATTCAAGTTTGTCTTTTTTATGCAATAATAGCTTCGGAGCTACAGAATATCAACAACAAGCAATAAACTACCAATAAACAGTAAGAAGGTACATCACAAAGTGATCAGTTTCATAAAAGAACAAAATGGATGATTTTTCTACTAGAAATGTGAAAATTTTAAGGCTATTTGTCTCAGCGTACAAGTTTTTGTCAGAAAGATTGTCTTCACTCTGATTGCATCTTTGTAAATGTCTCAAAGCAAAAAGACACTGTAAATGCTCCATGGATAAATTACCATTAAATTATGTTATTGAATTTTAATTTTGATGGTCAATGCCTGTCACAGTTGCTTCTAGTGTGCCTCCAGTCCAAAGCACTCTGCAAACACAATCTTCATCGAGCAGCATCGTGCTGACGTCATCAACCATGACAAAAACCCATGCCTTGTCATCGTTCTCGTCGTTACCTCTGACTACAATGATCAGTGAGGTCCCAACCTCCCCGATACTAGGAACCTCGTCTATACCAATGACATCTTTGGCTATACGAAGCTCAGGTACAATCAAATATAATAATCTATGGCTCGATGTCTCCCTTACCCCCATAATTTCAGCCACTGTAATTAGTATCCTGTAATCTAAAACTTGTAAGCTACAATATGATTCAAGTTTGTCTTTTTTATGCAATAATAGCTTCGGAGCTACAGAATATCAACAACAAGCAATAAACTACCAATAAACAGTAAGAAGGTACATCACAAAGTGATCAGTTTCATTAAAGAACAAAATAAATGATTTTTCTACTAGAAATGTGAAAATTCTAAGGTTATTTGTCTCAGCGTACAAGTTTTTGTCAGAAAGATTGTCTTCACTCTGATTGCATCTTTGTAAATGTCTCAAAGCAAAAAGACACTGTCAATGCTCCATGGATAAATTACCATTAAATTATGTTATTGAATTTTAATTTTGATGGTCAATGCCTGTCACAGTTGCTTCTAGTGTGCCTCCAGTCCAAAGCACTCTGCAAACACAATCTTCATCGAGCAGCATCGTGCTGACGTCATCAACCATGACAAAAACCCATGCCTTGTCATCGTTCTCGTCGTTACCTCTGACTACAATGATCAGTGAGGTCCCAACCTCCCCGATACTAGCAACCTCGTCTATACCAATGACATCTTTGGCTATACGAAGCTCAGGTACAATCAAATATAATAACTAGAGATTTTTTATTTTTCTGTTCATTCATATTCAAGAAGAATAACCGAGATTTTGCAAGTTTAATATATAAAAAAAATTCTGTTTCGAAAATTACATCTCATATGAATTTCTGAGCATAAACAATTGAAAACAGTTTTTCCTTAAATAAGCCTAGGAGATATTTTACGAAATTAAGGAATCTGTATAATCGTGACCATTAAAAGCATTCTTGGCATTTTATTTGTGCAGAAAGCATTTTTCTAATCATCTTGGCTAGTCATACTCTCCGCTTCTTTTGTTTATTCATATCGAATTTTAAGAATTTGACTTCTTTTTTCTTGTTCTCTTGTTTGAGCTACAAACCTGTGTCTCGTTGATTCAGCTTGAGCAATTTTGACTATCGAATTTTCTAAACACTTTTCAAAAGTTAATTTCTTCATCAAGATTCACAAAACAAGACTGTCAAATTAAATTTATTGATTTTACTGCTATTCAAAACAGTCCTTGAGAAACAATAATTCCGAAACAATCTTTTTCACAGGAATTTCTTATACAACGGTCTCAGTGCTTCCATTTACACCAATTTACATTGGTAAGTATAGCTATAAATTTTATATGTACTGTACATACGTCGCTTCTCAACTCTAGTAGCCCTCAGAAATCCCTGTCGACAGGAGTGAAATTATCAGATATTGTCAGTCTATTTGTTGTGGTTTGTGTTTACTTCCGGAACTTTGTGAAGCTTTTTTGCTTTATTTAACTTGTAGAAGATGTACAATAATTTCAGAACCTAGTTTTATTCATCTTTGCCCATTTATGACCAGTAAGTAACGTTGCCTCTACAGATAGGGAAGGGTGCAAACCTATGGCATGTTGTTCCTCCATTGAAGGAGACTCAAAGAAGGGGGGAGGAACGAAACCATCGCATTTGTAAAAAAATCTAAAATTGCTCAATTTCTATCTTGGTACTAAATGTGAATTGTACCACACGGTACTGGAACAATCTATTGGGTTTCCTCCAAATACTTTTCTAATCAGTTACTGCACTAAAGAAAATTGGAGGTATTCACACCAATTGAGTTAGTTTTCTACCAATATGACTTTGATGCTCAGTAGTCCTCTTCTGGTAACACATAACACATAACACTTAACTCGTGCATTAATTTCTGTGCATTTTGCTCACCACCACAACTACTACCGGTCCTTAAAATGGTAATGCTGTATTACTATGATCTAACGTGTTTATCAATCTTTGGTCTGCTCCGAATCTCAAATTTTAGGCGAACCTGTGAATGGTGATTGGGCCCAGTGGACACAATGGTCTTCTTGTTCGGTCAATTGTGGAAATGGAATACAAGAGCGCTCCCGTTACTGTGACAATCCTGCTCCTAGAAATGATGGAACGAATTGTGTAGGTAGCACAAGGGAGACAAAACCATGCAATATGTCAACATGCTCCGGAATTGCTGCAGCAAAAGTAACCGAAAACTGTACTTATCACTGTGAAAAGCTGGGTAATTTCTAGAAAAATTTTACCTACTTTCTACAACGGCATTAATAAAAATTATCTAAGATGTTTTACATCAAACTTCGATTTGAGACTTGAAATCGTTAACGCGATGCATTCTTTGACCCTAGCTTGCTATTTGCACTTGCGATAGATTGATGATAAAATGCTGGCATGAAATCTGCTGCAGTGATTTGATTGGGTTTGACCTTGTTACTTTCATCCTGATTGGTTGAAATCTAGCTGCATCCATGTACGGAAACACATTTACAACAAGAAATCTTATTCACAGAATCAAGAAGTGGATATTCAAACAATGATATTATTCAAATGATATAACAACGTGCCCACAGGGATGTTATAAGGCCATCTAGAAACTGTTAATATCAATCTAGAAACCATTTTTTCAATTAGAAGCTTGATTTTATATCTGCTCAGATTTGATTCATGCTGCATATTTATGGATTTGAGAATCATTCTGAGATGCAATAGCCTAAAAAGAAACATATTTTCATAAAGTCATCATTTTTGCTCTTCTTGTTCTTAAGGACTCAAATGTGATCCAGCAATATATACAGGCAATTCAATACAACCATTCTTTGATTCCAATTTCACCTGCTCGTCAGATGACAGTGGCAAAGTATGGACCAATTATTATGAGCCAGCAATCTATATAAATAACAACAAATGCTGTGGATATATCAAAATTCCTTCCCTCGTTGGGTGCCATGTGAAGCCTCCTAATGGAATTCGCAGGCTTTGTCAATGCTATTCCAAAGGTATTTCCAAAAATATTTATGAGGATTACCTTCTTGTGTAGTTCTACTTGCATACAAAAATATAGCAAAAATTGAAAAATTTGTATTTCACCTTCTTAATTTTTAGAGAAATCAATAAAAACATGAAAACAGTAAAATTAAAATCTGCATTGTTATTGAAGATGCATTTTTTTCATTTTCTCTATTTTCTGGAGCTGCATAAGTAGGAGAAATTTGTACCTAAAGCAAACATACTTTTTCCTGCAGAATTTCCTAAAGAAAACATACTTTTCCAGAACAAAATTTTATCATGTCAAATTGCCTTTTCAGTATTTAAGGGTTAAGCTACTCTAAGCAAAAATTGAGCAATGATCTTCTTTGTCAATGAAAAGTTCAATTTCTACAATTAGGATAATCTTGCTTTCTTTTCAGTTTTTGATTTGACGTACTGATAAAGATAAAAAGTCTAATTACAACTTTTTCAGGGATATAATAGTAAAAATTCATTGTTTGTAAATATTCAGCGATGAAATGGTGGATTCAACGACACAAAGTTCACGGGGTCCTTTTCAGTGGACTTGTTCTTGAACAACTGTCAAAATTTCATAATCAATTCCATACTTTAATTTTCAGACGATGCAGGGTACTACCCGTGGACTCCTTGGTCAGAATGCACAAAGACTTGCAATACAGGAAGTAAAACACGTACCAGGTTGTGCGTTAATCACACCATGGAAGCGGAGACATGCAAAGGGAATTCAAGTGAAACGGTTGACTGCAACGTCATCAAATGTCCAGGTGAATTTGGAAATATGTTGTCAACAACTGTGTACTATGCAGAAAAGTTGTATTTAACTTTAATGAACGAAAAAAACACAAAATACTGATACAACTAATTTATACAAAAACTTACAATGCAATAAACTTTAGTCAATACTAATGACGTTAGTGAAGATCCTAAAGTCGTCATAAACTAGAAGTACTTGAATCAATTCTACAGATAAAAATTTTAATTCTAGTTGATGGTGGCTTTGTGCAGTGGTCGCCTTGGAGTCAATGTTCCAAATCATGCGCAGGAGGAAAAAGAACACGAAATCGAACATGCACGAACCCATACCCTGCCTATGAAGGTGCCATCTGTTATGGCAAATACATTGAAGAAAAGTCGTGCAATCTATGGTTTTGCCCAGGTAATAAACAGCATTGCCTCTGTGGCCCTAGGTATTCTAAGCAATAGATTCGACCAACATTTCCGTTAAGTAGGCTCTCACCATTTCTATTCACGCTTCTCTTTTCTATCAAAGGAAACTAGACATCTTGGTCATGGCACCAATCCAAATATTGCAACATGCGTGACATGCTAACTTGAGGCTTTGCTTTTACCTATTCGAGAAAATTTTAATTTGAAATTTCTTTTTGAGTCAAAAGGCTTTAAAACGACGAAAAAATATAAAGCTGGGTCATAAACGTACAGTGTGATTTTCCTTATGCAACTTTTTCGGGAAAATCTTTTGAATCTCTACGTGTTGAATGATAGCTGCTAACTTGATGCGCAAGGCTGGATGAATTTCAATAGCCACAAGACAAGTGGAATAAAATTATCTACGGCATCATTATCTACGGAACTCTAGAAGTATTCCTAAAGTTCCGAAGCGTTTTTTATGCAAAGCAATCGAATGAAAATAATTTTTCACAACCATCGGAATGACCTTCAAATATCTAGAATAAGGTCATCATATGGACTGAAATAATTCACAATTTGAATCGTAAGGTAAGTATAATTTAGATTTAAAGAATAAATACAACATATGCTTAGAATACATTTTATTTTTTTCCAAAGGCAATAATAATTCAGTGAATACTTGCAATGCCAACATTGCTATTTGAGAACCCGCAAATAAGTTTCTTTCTCATTTATGTGGCCTATTTCTTTACTGATAGCAAATTACTTTGCAGTTAATGGAGGATGGTCATCGTGGACTGAGTGGCAACATTGCAATAAGCCTTGTAACCATGGGAACAAAACTCGAAAAAGATTCTGTGATAACCCACTCGCAATGTATGGTGGGATACCATGCCAGGGGAACAACCAAGAATCAAATCAATGTAACCCAACGATATGTCCAAGTATGTTGTTATGACGCTATTGTAATTGCAAATAACGCTACTGTAGTTGCTAATGACATTGTTGTTGTTGCTTCTGTGAAAGGTTTTTTCAGAACGAAGTCACAGTTTCAAAAGAAATCATAAATTTCTACCCTGAGTTCATATTCAATGCGGTAATCAGGCAACAACGATTCAGGATTCGGCCCTTTACAGCAAAAAAAAATTCCATGGGACACACCGGATCGGCTCTTCTGCAAAGGGGTAAGGGGCTTATCCCGCTACTCTGATAACGTGTAAACACAATCTCTATCCAGATGAAAAGTAATCAAAAACAAATTATATAACGTTTATGACTTTGCAGATATAACGATTCAGCTTAGCAATGTTGCGATTGATGAGCCATGGAGAAGTGAATATCAAAATCAAGGAGGTGCTTCTTTTCGCCGTTATGAGCAAAGAATCCACTCAAATGTATGTCCGATATTTTGTACTTAATATAAATTAATGTAAAGCATTTTTGTCATATCTGCATTTGGATTAATAAAGACACAGCGGAGACTCAATTTAGCGGACACCATTCGGACCAGTGTAATTGTCCGTCATTTTTAGGTCACCGTTAATGGAGGTTCCACTTTACCAAAAACAGATCTGCAAAAATCAATTTATATCATAAAACAAGATTTAGTCTGAAAGCTAACATTCTGCGTTGCTTATAGATACAAGAATTGCTGCGGCATGACTTTCTAAGCATGATTTCAGTAACTGTTCTTGAAAGTTTAAGGTGAGTGCATATTCTGTTGTCCCACGACCCTCTGATGCAATGTGTAAAATTGGACTGAGAGACGATATATTATAACATCAATAATGCAAACATTTATCATAAACTAAACGAAACAAGGTAATACAGCCATTTTGGAGCTACGAAGATTTGTCCTAGTGGCTCAACTGTCTTTATTTTACAATTTTATATTTAATCTGAATATAGATATATAAACAAGCAAGTGATTGATTTTTAGAGAAAAGATGATAATATATGACGATTGAAAAAAGTTTATGTCATGATAATTTTCTGGTTCTATAAATTTCAGAATCGGCCGAAAAATTGCTTTATATGTTTGCAATTTGTTCTTCTGATTATTTCCTAGTGAAGGAAGTGTGATTGCCTCGTTCACTTTGCATTTCACTGCACTTGATTCGTTCCAAGCTCTGTTCCTAATGGATGCTATTGACAACGATCATTATCTCGGCAAACTACCAATTGTCGAAAATAAAACCGCCAGTTTTTCATCACCGATTGGTAGGTACCCTAAAAAAGGTGTATGTTTCCATCAATTTGTCGTAGAGTTTTTTCAATTTGTCGATGTTTCTCAGATCGGATATATAGCTTGTGGAATGTCGTTTCTAGTTCCATCGAGTCCCCCATCAAATATGACAGCGGTCAGCAATGACGCCAGTTCCATAGATGTTTCCTGGAATGAAATTCCGAGCTCGGATCAAAATGGTGTAATTACCGGCTATTTGGTGTTTTACCGGGAATCATCAGCTACGACATACACAATTGCTGCAACAACGCAGCTCAAACTAAAGATTCAAGGGCTGTCTGCTGCTACCAGTTATTCATTGCGAGTGCTGGCATACAATTCAAATGGAAATGGCATTGCTAGTGAACTTATCACATTAACAACTAGAGAAAAAGGTAGAATAATTAACGATTCTGATGATGAACCCATTTTTCTTCTTGAATTGGATTGTTATAAGGACATATGATGTAGCTACTAATTCAATTCATTCTTTGTGCAGCACCAAGTCTTCCGCCGCAATCAATATCAGTTGTTCCTATGAGTGCCTTTTCATTGTTTGTTGAATGGACACACCCTCCAAAGCATAGCTGGAATGGCATCATTGCTGGCTACAAAGTTGACATTAAGTCAGATGACGGCAGCTTCTCCCAATCTCTGAATGTTGATGGAACAATGGTTAACATGAACGTAAATGGATTATCGCCAGATAGGTTGTACATCGTCGATGTATGTGCATCGACCTCCGTTGGCACCGGTCCCTGCATACGCTCTTACAACAAAACATTTGTTAGCAGTGAGTTGCTGTCCCTCTCTGAAAACAGCTCTTTTTTCATCATTTTGAGTTTCTATTCAACCTTTCAAAGATTTTTATTTGATTTCTAGGCATGTACAGTACTTTCGCAGAACATCTTTGTTACATTTTTTCACAAAATACATGTCACAAATATGTTTACTTCCTTTTTGTATTTACCAAAAGATCAAATTCTTCCATAGCTCCTTCAATATCTCCAGCCAATGCAGGATGTCAGAACAGAACCTCAACAAGCAGCATAATTGTCAGTTATGAGCCAATTCCAATTGCATTTATTCACGGAATTTTGAAAGGGTATCGAATTGAATACCGTCTGATGAGTGTAGGATCACAGTCGAAATCAAACAGTCATATACAGGCTGTGACTGTGAGTCCATTCAGAAAACAAGCAACTCTTGAAAAACTTGAACCAAACAGCGTCTACGAGATTCGTGTCATGGCTGTCAATGAGCATGGTGCAGGAGTAAAATCGCCTGTATTTTATGGAGGTAACACCTTGAGATGCATTTTTTAATCATTTCTAGTTGTACATAAAATATCTAGTTATTATATCTTTAATCGCCTGCAGTTTAATGAGGTCTGTTGTCTATTCAATTCTTGCTCCAATTTTAACCATATCGTTGAGTCTAATATAAAATAATTTTGGTGAAAGAATTTTGTCTATTTAGATAAACCATGCCAATGCAAATTAAATTCTTACCTTTCCTGTAAATCCCAAGCTAAATAGTTAAATTATTTCATCCTGCTGTTACTTTCAATATATCTAAAAAATGATTATAATTTGCTTTGCCAATCAGACTCAAAACTCCTCAGTTTGATTGTGTCATTTTTAATTCCAATGACCTAATTACTTTGAACAACAAGTCATGTGACACTCGAAGTAATTCAAACAGTTCGTGTTAAATTGTTCAAGAATCGAGTAAATATCATTCATTTGCAGAGACATGCTCCTGTCCAGCAGTAATTTACACGAACTATGCTTCCCAAAGACCGTACATATACTATGACGCTAGCGGCAACATGAAGGGCATCTTCACCACGTTGCTGCATAACATTACGTCTTCGATATGTGGAAGTTGCAATGGAACTAAGAGCAAGATAGATTATTTCAATGATGGAAAAAATGGCTGGGCGGATAAGAGAAGCTTTTTACAGGTCACTAGGGGTCAGTTTTACGTTGCTTGATTTCTTTAAGCTTCATTGAAATTGTTAGTTGTCTTGAAATCGCTGTTTTGATGACAAAATTCTATAAAACTAGCTTTATAGAAATTAGCCAATTGTAATCCTCCAATTTGTAAATATTTTTTGTACCTTTGCTGTAAAACATTTCACTAAAGTTTGCTGTATTTGCTTAATTTGCTTAGCCAAGCATATAAATATGTGTTAGCTTTGACTTTCTTAACATTTTGCCTACCTGTGTCCAAAGTTATTTTTGTCTTCAAACTATTTGTATAGTGTATTCTTACCAAAATTATTCTTTTCTCTCTATGTATTCATTTCACAATGAGACATTGCAGTTCATTCTCTCTAGCAATCGATGACTTCGTTCACATCAGCTTTGCCGTACCAGGAAGCCTAGAGCTGCCAGCTTTTCTAGGAAAGCCATACATATCGCTAGTTGAACACCCAGGAATGGTTCTCTTTACTGCCAAGCCAACCCGTGCAGAGCAAATTGCCGATATGATGAATGCACTCTTCAAACTATGGCCTATTCTCGCTATCAATCTTTTATTCATCTTGTTAGCTGGCATTATTTTTTGGGCACTTGTAAGTCGATTAACGTTGGCCATGGAGTAATGACACTTAACTGTCTTTTACATGGCTTCAGCACATTAGAATTTTTCTACATATGCTTGCACTTGTTCTGCGTGTAAGAAGTTAAATAGGAACGCAATATCAAATCCTTTAATCAAATTTAAGCACCATGATTTCCTTAAATGATCCAGTAAAATTGTTGATCTGAACATAATTCTTTGAAAATTCAAATTTAATGATAAGCATCGAATTTGTTACATAATATCATATTCGGTTTAATTGAAAAATATTCTAATGTTATTCCCAGACTTTTGATGAGACTCCAAAATACCATTGTTGCAGTTTCTTCTCTGGTTCCTTACGAGGCGTTTATTGGGCCTACGTCACTATTTTTACTCATGGGTAAGTTTCAGGCCTGACTATACTAGATATCTCATATATCAGATTCTCATTAGTTTTAGACCTAATCAATGTTCGTTGTCTCTAACCGAAAATTAGATTATTTTGGCAGAATTTGCTTGAGCACCAATCCCTTGCAGTCAAGTGTAAGTTATAGCGTCGTGTCACTTTTTAATTTTTTCTGTTTAGGATTTATATAAATCGCGTTTTTTAGCCTTGTCTTCTTGCAAGTGATATCTTCTAATTATCAGTTTTCACAAGTAAATGGTCGTGTTTTTATTACCAATAAGATTGAGTTTGTAGAATCACTTGGAAGGCAATTATTTTGAGTCCCAGAAACCTGAACAAATCATTTGAAAATTTATCAATAACTATATCTGCAATCTCACGACGGTGTTGTTTCCTTCGAAAGCTACGGCGATATCACTCCAAACACGATTGTGTCAAGACTTTTTGCAGTCATTTGGATTTTGATTGGATTGGTATCGGCAGCCATTTTGATTGGTGGCTTAACGACAGCGCTGACAACAGCCAGCGTTCTACCTGACGTCACATTGTATGGGACCAAGGTAATCTAAAGTAATGTCAGTAATAAGATACTGCTTGTATAAGATGAATGCATTTGAAAGAGATACGTATATATCCATGAAGCTGCAATATATAAATACGTTCTGTCTTTTATATCGGGGTTTTCATCTTACAGCTTGCCACACTAGATGGTTCCAAGGAAAGACTCGTTGGAATTTACAGAAATGCTATAGTTAACTTGGGTATGAGATAATACATTTGCTTTTTTGCAATACTGCATCCCTCTTAGTCATTGGCATCTTTCAAAATATTATTGAAATAATTGTTTCCTCATTTTGAGCACATTTTTGTCAAAGCGAGACGTTGAAACACTTGTTTTGCATATATGGTCCTTTCTTTTATTGGAGGCTGTAGACTCAATCATAATTCTGCAAGTCTGCAGAATTGAACACAATTGGTCAAGCTTTTGTGTACAAACTCAGTAAAAGTGGAATCGCAAAATGTCAGGCACGATGCTGCCCTTTTCTAATACCTTTCCACTCCTTTCCTTTTTTTCTATGACAGATTCATAGCTGGTTGAACGAAAAGAAAGGGGAAGTAAACTTCATCCTTGAATTAAAATCATCAACAACTAGTTTCAACTATTGTCTCAATGTTGATAAAAAAACGAATGCTTGAGAAGTCCCTTTCTTTCAAACGTGCTAGATGGGTATTTGATCCGACATATAGATTAATCTAAGCATGTTGTTTTATATCATATCGTCAAATTTGATAGATCTTAGGATAAAATAGCACGATTGAACCAATCACTCTACTCTCAAGGAACAAAGTACGAGACGGTAGATGCCGTATACAGAGCACTGAACGAAAGAAAAGTGGAGGCAGCTCTAGTGGACGCATACGTTGTTGCAGGCCGACCAGATCTGTTTTCAGATAAAGCAATTATCGCCCGTAAAATGATCAAATATTCTTTTACTTATGGAGTGGTAGTATCCGGAGCCATGGAGAACACCGGAGCGAACATAAAAAATTATGTCTCAGAATATCGCCAGTACATCGCTAAAATGATTGAAAGTACGACACCCATATTTTCTGTGAGTCAATATTTTTAAATATTATTGAAAATACTCTTACCCAGAAACTAATATCAAATTATTGTATCTTGCACAAACGTCAAATAATAGAGAAGACAACAACACCTCCAGCTAGTCCTCACCTATTCCTAATTCATTTTCTTTTTGCAAGTGTGTCTGATGATCATTTAACGCCCGAAAGGGCATTAAATCAGAAGATGTTAGATTATTTGTCAAATGCTGTAGTCTTGGCACGCCAAATTCGACTTCAGCTCACCAACCCGCAGATGATAGTAGTGGTTTCCTTCAAATGTATTTCTGACTGATAATAGCCATTGAAGAAAAATTATTTTCAAAGAAGTCTCTTATTAGCATTCCTAGACCATGACTAAAGCCAAGCTTGTCTTGCTGAAAGTTTATGAAAATTATTGTTTACTTTTCTGTCATAAAGTGATCGCTGTCTTATAGGCAGAGCTTTACATGCTTTTGGTGTATTGGCAGATGTATGGAGTTTAAATTGCTATCTGAAATTCACGCTTAATGCAATCATCAGGCAACTGTTGTTACTGAAAGTTTATGTAGAAATATCAATTCAATGTTTATTTTCTAGGTGAATTCCAAAATTGACAGTATAACTTCTCTTTTTGACCCATCTTCTTCATTCCTGAGACTGAATTTGATTATATTGTGTGGCGTGCTTGTGTTTCTACTACTTCTGGGATTGATTTACACGTGCGTTGGTAAATACCGTGCAAAACACCGTAGCAGCAAAAAAGGTAAGCAATTTTTTTAAAATGGTAAGAAGTTTTGAAGGTAAACAGCTGGTAAGGTAAGCAGTTCTGTCAATCCTTGTGAAATCAACCATAGCTGGCCAGTACAACACATCAGATGCTTGATGAAGTTAAATAAAGAAAATGCAGCTTAAACTGACCACCAATGGCACCAAACGCAATAACAATCTTTCAATAATGCTTCTTTTAGTTTTCTTAACTAATGTCTGGACAGTTGATAAACAATACAACTTTTTGGCATGTGAGTATCAACTCACATATGCTTATTGTTTTGGGGAATATATTATATATCTTTCCGAGTAATATCTGAAAAATGATACACATTAAAGTTTGTATCTGCATACCATATCCCAATCTAATTCTTAAATCTCAGATCCAGTCATTTTGAACAATCTTTTTTCTAAGGACTTTTGTCCTGTTGCGTTAATTTTTCCTATTACAATTATAGCAAATTCCCAATTTTATTCTATAACATTGTACAGTACGCAAACTAGCATACTAGTGCTTTTATTGCCGATAAAGAAAAGACAAAAGGAAGTGAACTCTTACTTAGGTATTCTTTTTAGAAGTAAGTTTTGTTCAGATTACAATAGAATATTGCAGTATTGCAGACTTGATTACGACGATGAAATCGATGTTAAATTTTGAACTAAGCTTCTGTTTTTAGACTTTACTGACAAGTGGCTGAAAATCATACAAGATGGCATCTTTGCAGACCTTGATATTCTGTGTAGAAAAATTGAGCTACATGCCGTAAATCAATCAAAAAGGCTTTTAAAGGTGCAGAGAAAACGTTACGGTCACAAGAATGGAGGAGCAATGAATGACGGGATACGCCTGGGGTCAGCTGATGGAAAGGACAGTGTGGTAATGAGGTTCTACAAAGACGAGAGGATAATTAAAAGGCTGGATGCATTGTTGGCAAAAGAGGCAGCAAATTCACGCAAACAGGAGACACATTTTATTAAACATTTTTAAGGCTTTATCTTTAGAAATCAGAAAAAATATTTTGAGAAACTGATTCAGAAAGTTTGCAGATGTGGGTTGCTACAGTTTAAATGGAATCACCCGTTGTTGCCAAAGTCTTTCGTGCAAATTAGCAAAATGCCCAAGCCGTCTTCAACTGAATGCTTGACAAAAATCTGAAACTTTGTTTTCATTCGTTGCATCTTTGGTATGTATCGTATTAAGCTTGTTTTCTGCAACGAGTGCCCTTCCGAAAGTTGGACCCCTTCAAAGTCGTTTCCTTCCAAGTTATAAATGTGTTCTTTGTCCTTGCTCAGGTGGATTGATGATCTTAGCACCAGCATCTCTGGTGGCATATTAGATCGATAATAGTCTGGTGACACTTGACTGGCAGACAAATGTTCTCCTGTCCAATCACCATTTGGGACCATCTGCAAACGCCATGAATAGGCATCTCTGTGGTAGTACCAAATATAATTGCACATTATGCTAAATTGACAAATACAAAGTGTTTCATTTCCTGCAGCGGAATTCTCGAAAACTAAATCGAAATCTGTGTTATGGCTTCTTGCAAGAAACTCCCTCGTTTCTTTCATATGTTCTGTTTTGATCATGACAGGGAAAGTTGACATGCACTGCCAGGCCCGCAGAGAGGATTTATGGGCCCCGGGTCAGGACGAAAAAAAATAGAAAGCATTCCTTAGGCAGACGCTTCTAGGGGATAGGGGGAGGCTCTCCAGGAATTTTTGAAATTGACTGTTGATAAAATTGCTCTGGTGGCTAGTTTGGTTGCTAAAATTGCTATGGTGTCTAAACTGCCCTAGTGGCAGTGGTATAGATAGAGGGAGGTCAGAGGGGGCAAACCCCCCGCCCCCTGTAGAGCTAACCTGCTATTTTGTCGAAAAATTTCTGGTCTTGTCGGAAATTTAACACAGTTGTCTACGTTTTTCTTATTGCTATGTTTTGATAGGAATGAATTTAAAGCTACATAAACATAAGAATATCTGAATACATCAAAAGATTTATTGATTTCAGCTCCGATGTCATTATGTTATGTAACAATTTATGAAAAAATATAAATGCTTGATAGATTTTGTCGAGAAAGCTAAATTTCTCACCCTTCCTATGAATGTTCCGATCTAGGCCATTGTCTGGGGGCTATTTATTACTTCTGTTTGCTAATTGTTAAAATTTGAACACAGCTGATATCTTGACACCATAGTGCATAAAAATGAAAATTTCTTAGAAATTCGAAAAGTCTTAGAAAATGGAAAACGTTAAAATTTTTAACCAAATTCGATCACAACCAATTCACTGTTGCAAACAGATGCACATGCTATGGTGTAAATCTGTTTGATATACATATTGTTGTATGTTGCCCTGTTACAATCACATTTTTTGGTAACATTCAGAAATTTTTCAACTTCCTTTGCCCAAGCCCACAAAGATGAGAAATTTTTAACAAAAATATCTTAAACATTCAGGCAGTCAAAGACTCAAACTGCTTCTACCTTACTTCATTTATAGACTTTAGTTATTATTGTCTCTATTAATGACAGTTTGTGATCATGCAGGATTATTAGCTGGATTATTACTAAGAAAGCTTTTATAATTGAGTTATTATTTTTGGGCCCTATAGCCAAGGGCCCCCGGGTCAGTGACCCCTCTGACCCCCCCTCTTCTCAGCACTGTGCACTGCAAAACTTCCCTTTCGCAGAGCATGTCAACTTCCATTTCAATTTACAGAAATGCTATAATAAACTTGAAAATGAGAAATGACTTTACCTCTTTTGTAACACTGCATTGCAACACTGCAACCTTTAAAGTCACAAGCCTTTATAAATTATTATTGAAATATTTCTCATTTTAAAAGACGTTTTTCATGGAGAGTGATGCAACACTAGTTCTGCTTAATGATTCAAACATATGCCATACTTTCTATTATTCAAATGTCAATACAGGAACATTGGTGTTGTGTGGGCTTTAAGCCTGCAGAATTGAACACAAGTGATGAACCTTCTACGCATGAACTCATTAAGACAAGCATGAATTGTTTATTAAGTAGAAACACGAAGGTGTCAAGCAGAATACTGCCCCTCTCTAACACATTTCCACCTTTTTTCTTTCTCTATTACAGATTCATAGCTGGTTGAATCATATCATTTCCAAAACAAGTTGATTTCATTCCTTATCATAAGAATAAACAATAAATGACTTTAGTCTTAGAATAAAATTTGTTTTTTTTTCAACAAGTGAGAAGCTTTTTAAAAATGTCAGTTTTGATAAAAAGCAAGACTCTTGGCTTCGAATCATCGTCGAAATTTTCCAACATTTGTTCTTCTAAAAACGAGTTAAGTATTTTCTTTGTGATAAGAGAACAAATTCGTTTTTCGTAAAAAAAATTTTTCAGACAAGTAAATTTTTGACAAAAATGGGAGGCTATAATTGTAGTGTAGTCTTCAAATTTTTCAAACTATTTTCCTTTTCAAAAAAATATTTTTTCTCTTTATTTTAATCACAAAAATGTAAAAATCAAATTAGTTTTAAAATAAAAGTGTTTTTTATTTCAAAAAGAGATAAACTTTTAAGAAAGGTTATTTTCGAAAAAGTAAAACTATAGGTTTGGCAATTGGTATATCAAGTTTAAACTCCATTGTTGTTTTCAAGCATTGAATAAAAAAACATCTGAAAGGATTATAGTTGTATTTTTTTCATTACTACAGAATTTTTTAAAAGAAATATTGAAAAAATGTATGCTTTTACTTGGTATTTTGATCAGTTACTCTTTTTTCAAACAGTACCCTTATTGAAAACAATACTCGTAGTATTGACAACATTTTACCCATAAATGTTTATCTTTTTATTATTATTATTATTTTTATTATTATAGGTAAGAAGAACTCAGAACTTTGAAACATTCTAGTGCTCCTTTAACTGAAATCAAGTATGTCTCTAACCTTTTTCGCAATATAATCAAAAAACACATCTCGCCCTCTAAATCTTCCAATATAACAAACCACGACTGTTACATTTCCAAAAATTTCTGGAATTACGTCAAACGCAATTCCTCTACAATATGAAACTTCAGCTCATCCAACTTTTTCTGCTGCAGGATGTACCGAATACTTTGTCAAAACATTTTCTGCCATCGCTCCTAACGAACATTTCACCATTCCTTCATGGATCCCTACTTTCAATGAATCATCTTATTCATTTGATCTAGAGCCACCTGGTTACAAAACCATTACTTCTATCATAAGGCGTATGAAAGCTTCTACTTCTCCCTGTCCTCTTGATAAGATATACATCATCTGTTTCAAACGAAGTCCCTATCTTTGTTCTTCTCTTACTGAAATAATTAGCGTTGTCTGGTTTTCAGGTAAGGTACCATCCAAATGGATAAAGGCCTCCACTATTTTGATTCACAAAACAGACAGCACAGACGATCCAGCAAATTTCAGGCCAATCACTTTAGAATCGGTGCCCTTAAAAATATTCACTTCTTGCTTATGTGACTCCATCTTCACTTTCCTGAAACAAAATGGCTTCATCGAGCACCAAATCCAAAAAGGCTTCACCTCAAAAGTATCAGGTACATTAGAGCACACAGCAATGATGAGCCATTCAATAAATAAAGCTCGCATTAAGCAACGATCTTTAGTGGTATCTTTGCTGGATCTCAAAAACGCCTTTGGCGAAGTTCACCACAAGCTGATACCAGCTATTCTTGCTTATCATCATATACCTTCGGAAATTCAATTATTGATCTCAAGCTTATATCTAGATTTTAAGACCTGTATCATAACCGATAAATTCCAAACCCCTGCAATTCCCGTTCGCCGCGGCGTATTGCAAGGTGACTGCCTCAGCCCCCTTCTTTTCAACCTTTGCTTCAACACGTTCATACAATACATCAAATCAGATAAATATAAGCAGCTTCGTTTCTCCCCCCATGATGGTAATGACCGCATGTTTCAGCCAGTACACTGGTTTCAGTTTGCTGATGATGCTGCTGTTGTTACCAGTGGAGAAAAGGAGAACCAACTCTTATTAAACTGCTCTACCAGATGGTGCCAATGGGCAAACGTCATTGTCAGGTTTGACGAATGTGTTATCTTTGGTGTCAAGAAACACTCTACGCGATCCTTCCAATTTCAACCGAAACTTTTCATCTGTAACCAAATAGTAGCTGCTGTCAAAAATGGCGATTCCTTTAAGTATCTTGATCGTTTCTTTGCTTTTGAAATGAGTAACCAAGATCATAAATCTAAACTCGTTTCTCTTTTCTCTACTCTTATGAAGGATATTGACGACTTACCTCTCCATCCTAAAAACAAACTGCTATTATACCATCGTTATGTTCTGTCTAAAGTTTCACGGCATTTTACTGTTGCAGATCTACCAAAGACCAGGGTTGTCCAAAACCTAGACAATCTTGTTTCCAATTATATTCGCCAGTGGCTTGATCTTCCTGTTTCTGCAACCTTGATTGGAATAATCCTCTCAAAAAAATCAGTTTGGCCTAAATCTACAACTGCCTTCTATCAAATTTACGCAATGCCAAACTGTCTGTCGCAAAGCCCTAAAATCTTCTCCTAACATTGACATTCAAACCCTATGGAAAAACACCAGTCATGCCACAAACCAACAGTACGACATCTATCGTAATACTAAAGAGGTATTAAAGGCTGTCAAATCAGACAACAAAGAACGTCTCTTTCAAAACGTACTATCTCAGGGAGCTACAATTACCTTCCTACTGAAACATTCACTGGAAAAGCTGAACGGTATTTGGTCAAGTACACAGAGCAATTTGCCTAGTAACATCTTTAACTTTACCATCAAGTATCTTAACAACACTCTTCCAACTCGTAAAAATCTGCTGAAATGGAACCTTAGTCAAACATCTGACTGTGAATTCTGTCTTCTTCCAGAAACACTTCTACACGTTGCTGGATGCAAAGTGTACCTTGACCAAGGCCGCTATACTTGGTGTCATAAATCTGCATAAACTTTCTAGCCACTTCCTCTCAAGCAATAAATGGGTCTTCTCTCTACGCAGATTTACCAGGCTTTTTTTCCCCTTCTATCATAACTGGAGATCAACTACGCCTTGACTTTTTCTCAAAACTTAGGAAAACTGTCTGTACGTTTTAGAGCTAACCATAGGCTTTGAAACAAATCTCAACTGCAATGCTGTCAGAAAGTCAGAGAAATATGCTACCCTCGTATCTGACTTTAAATGTCAGTTTAAGTCAGTCTCGTTTGTCAATTTTTCCATCAGTTCATCAGTTTGGCATTTTTGGCAACTCCTGCAGCTCATTCATCGACATGTGTAACTCTTTGTCCATTGATCATCAACAGAAACGCTATCTCATCTCCAAACTTACAAGCATCTCCATTCGCACCACATACTATATCTTCTGCTGTAGAAACAAAACTTGGACTATTCCAAAGCTACTCCCCTTTTAATGTTTCTCTTTTCTCATTACTACGATTGTAATGGTTTTATTTTGTAAAAAACAGGCTAGCCAGTCACAAATTACCTTGTAATAGTGAGATTTGTAATTGTAGTTTTAACTGGAATTCAAAATAAAAAGTTTCCATTATTATTATTATCGGATTATTCGTCAGAATTTTTAAAAAAATTGTCTGCTAAAGACAAGTTAATGCTCTTCACCATTATCAAAATAAGGAAGAAGGAGCTAGCTTTAGCTTCACAAAGAAAGCGGTATTTTGGAAAAGATGACGACTTTTTGATGAGGCTATTCTTTGATAAGAAAAGTTTTACGCTTCGACAGATCGTCAAATTTAAGAAAGGAATTCTTCTACAAACATATTTCTCCATCAAGAACGGGATAAGAATAGTTGACTTTAGTTCCAGAATAAAAGTCGCTTTTTCAAAAAAGGAGCACAAGAATTTCTCTTTTTCAAAAGAGAAAATTTTGATAAATAATTTAAGCTATAGGATTAGGAAAGTGTCGAAATGTTCCATGACTTTTTTTAAAAAAAACACAGCAAAACTCTTAATTAAGATAGCAATAAAAAAGAAATGACTTTAGGTTTAGAATTAAAGTCGTTTTTCGGAAAGAGAGAGATTTTACGGAAGGGTAAATTTTTGATAAAAGAACTGTAGATTTAGAAAAAAATCTTGTTTTTCCAAAAAAGTTTCTTCAAAAAACAATTTTTATCTCTTTATTGTGATCACAACAAAGAAGAAATTATTTTAGCTGTTCTTCTAAAAACACATCAGATCCCTTCATAACGAACACAGAAGAGAAGAAATGAATTAAAATTATAATTAAAAGTGGTTTTTCTTTTGCAAGTAAAGAGTTTTAAAAAATGTTATGTTGCATTCATTCCACACCCATATATTTTTAAGCCAATAGCAAATGAAACCATTTGCAAGCACTCCTGTATGCGATGTATTTTGTTTTTTGTCCGTCGTCCATTGTACAAGATTACTTGGTCCATTAATGAAGCCTTGCTGTACTTCTTATTGATGCAAAGAACGAAAATAAACGAAAGCAGCCATACCGAAGACCATTCGCAATCAAATGTTCCTTATCGTGTTCTAAACACTTCACAATAACAGACAGCATCAGACAATTTATTCTACATGCTTCTCTCAAGTCAAGTGGCTCTTGTCTTTATGGAACATATACAATTTTGTAAATTGATAAATCAAATTTATGTTAATTTATTTACACAAATTGGTAGGTACATAAGTAAGGATTTTAACACTACTAAATAACAAACTGGTTACAATATACACAGTAATGTTAAAAACTAGTTACAATTAATATTTATATCACTTTTTTAAAAATACACATCGCCTAATTTGAAGAGGCAGGGACTGCACTAAAAGATCGAAATACTTTTTTCGTAACTGCCCTCTTAGACGTTTGTGGTGGAAAGAAAATTTGGTTTGGATTTTCGTTCATAGCCTGTTGAGCATGCGCAGTCAAAGTGCGATTCGATGAGGTAATTTGACAGCAGTTTTCCAAGATTGTGTTAAGAAAATTTTGTTTCTATTCTAGCCAGTATTTGTGTTGATATTTCTACTCCAGTAAATTTTTCATCCAAAATACATCAAATTTAACTGTAGCGTTCTGTGTCCTTTAATCGATCTTTCTATTAAAATTAAGCTTGAAAAACGAATGCATTTTGTTATCCTCACCAGGGTGAATTCTTAGCTTCTTTTCTAGAAATTAGCCACAAAGAGAGTCTCTGCTATTGTTTATAAATTTCAATTCAGATACAATACATCAGAGTATTATATTGATTGCAGATAGCTTCTCGTGGTATGTCATTTTTATATAGAAGGATTATTCATGATCCATATTTACATCTTTGTTGGACCCCTGTGAAAAATGTTTCGTTCCTTTAAGGAAATGATATAGAAAACTTGTATCATTGTCATTTACAAGAATATACTATATGAGACATCTTTAACCGATAGATTCAGCCGATATTTAGTCGAAAGAAAAAAGTTAATTAAAACTGAAGTCTCTTATATCTGTTTGGGTACTTTCATAATCACTCACAAAAATCAATTTTGTTTCAGAATGAATCGAAGAATCTCTCTTCAGTGTTTTCAGCTTTGCATTGTTCTTTTCATTTTGGGTGCATCTATTTTGCACGCTTTTGCACAGATTCTCGACACTTTCAAAAAACTGGCGACATGCCAATTCACATGAATTCAGTCTTTCGTCAATTTCTAGAAAGAAATTAATTTTGTTTTTCTGAAATAGCAAAGTTCAATGTAAAATTTAGCAAAGTTCAAATGCTAAATTTCTCAAGGTGGAGTCTTGTATTTAGTACTAGAAGTTTAAACACTCATAATAAAATATCAATTAGCAGACTTCATAAAACATATTCAAACAAAACTTCATAGAACTTCCCTTTAGTCGTGCATTTCAAAGTTGAATAATTTTCAAATTTTGAATAATCTCTTTAAACTGCTCTGAATGTAAATTATAGCATAGTATTGCTTTACTCCAAGGACATCTATCACTAGTGCTGTGTATTCGAACGTTTTGATAAAGGAATACCTCACCTTGTTGCGTGACGTCTACTTTTCCCCTTTTTCTTCGTCTAACAAAACTAAAGATGGATCCAGCGATGAAGAGAAGGATGTACACAATGAATAGGGCAATGAGAGTTTGACTCAGGAAAGGAGATGACGGCTCAAACAGTGATACCGGTTGTGGATCAGCAAAGGTTCCCTGTGAAACATTCAAACACTGATGATGTTGTATATTTGATCAGGAAAGGTTCACTTTGAGACTTCAGAAATTCAAACACTGAATTCGTTGTACATTTACAAATCCTGTTTGTAGTGAAGTAGCATTTTTAGCACAGGGCAAATTGCTATTACTGCAAGGTAGGGCAGCAAACCAGACACGATGTTTTTCTTCCTTTATCTTCTCAGCTATCTAAACTTATATTTCAGTTGATCAAGATTTATCTCCACAAGAAACTGCTATTTTTCCATATATTGAAATGATATTTACTCCACTTTTAGCTATAAATTCAAAATGGGTTGTACAGATTAAAAGTAATTTCTTCTGCCTTAAAGAGCAATCAGGGACATGGTTCCGATGCTCCTGGGACAAACCTACAACTGGGACTTTCCTCGATCAATCTACTGTATTCTAAATCAGCAATGTATTTTATCTGCAAAAAGTCTCAAATCAAAAGGCTAATAAAAGCTGTCTCCTGGTCTCTAAATACTGTTAAAGGCCTAGTATATTACCTGACAGAATTTCACAATCAATAAACGACCCTGGTTTCCCACGTGTACAGTACAAGACTCAAAACGCAAGGTTTCAAGCAAAGTTTGATTTTCCGTGAATGTTTCGATTTTTTGCCTGTATATGACCATCTTAGGCAACAGCAGGATTAAAACAAAAGTTATTTTGTTACTCTAAGCTATTAATAATTTTGAATATCAAAGCAATTTTTCAAACTTTACCGTCAACTGAGGCGCTGTTTTCTCCACCATTTGCGTAATGTACTGGCGATTATCAGAAACGTAATTTTTTATGCTTGTTCCTGTGTTCTTCATCGCTCCTGATAATACAACTCCGTAGGTGTAAGAATATTTGATCATTTTTCGAGCAATTATCGCCTGGTCTTCAAACAGATCTGATCGACTTGCTGCTACAAAGGCATCAACCAGGGCTGCTTCAACTTGTCTATCCTTTAATGCATGAAACACATCTTCTGTTTTCCCATATTGGCCCTCTGCATGTCGAATTAAATAAAAAAGTCAGCTCTAGTGAAATACTATGATCTTTGAAAATTACTTTTAAAACGTAAAACGTGACGATTCTAAATTCGCCTTTTGAAGTGTTAGTTCAGCAAAAACTAGAAAACATAAAAGGCTATTGCCGGAAAAATAAAATATTGACATGATATTGGCTGGAACTTTACAAAGTAAAACTTAAAATTTTCTTTGAAGCGATGTAAGTAAAGAAAGAAAAATTCGCCATACTTGTGTTCACTTTGGCGTTTCTCAAAATTCCGACGATTTCTTCTTTAGAACCTTGCACAACTGCAAGCTAGAATTTAGAGACAGTGTTAATGATTCTTCCGAACAAATTTAGGGAAACAAAACAAACAAAGTAATATTCGCAAGAAAATGAATTGAGTGCACATTCCCACCTCGGTGTTGTACAGCTTTACGCCTGGAAGTGTACTCGAGGTGGTCAATGCTGTGCTTATTCCACCAATTAGAATTGCCGAGGTTACAAGGCCTACTAGAATCCATAGAACAGCAAAGATGCGAGAGACAATCGAACTGGGCACAATATCGCCATATCTAAAAGCAAAAATACTACATAAGTCACTGTGTTGAATCCCTGATCTGCAAATACCAATATCTGTGCTGAAATAGAGATGAAATAATATTTAGTAAAATATAGAATATTGTAGCAGTTACCCGTGAGTAAACATGGTGACGTAGGCCCAATACATTCCTCTAAGTGATCCTGATACAAACCAACAGGGTCCATCTACAGCAGCTTCATCGTATGTCTAAAACCAAAACAGCATTGGTCCCAGAACAAAGGTACATTTTTGTTGGAATTTATGCCATACTCAAAGCAATCAAGTGATAAGAAATGCAATGAAATCGTGTCCAGCTTTACTAAAAAAGCAGAACACTTTAACGAATTACAAGGAGCACGCAGCTGTTTGCATAATTCTTATCAAGTCATCGAAGGGTACAAAAAGTAAATAGCTTTGAAAAAAGCAAACATTTAGTAAACTAAAGCTTTTCGTCTGACACTCTTCAGAGTTTAAAACGTCAGAACATAGATGTTTCGGATTATTGGTAAAGCCCGATCGTCGTTCCACCTAGCAGTTTTAGAATCTATCTACATAAGAACGAAAAAACCGCTACTGTGTAGACAAAAGGAGTTCGTTTTCACCTTAGGATTCCACTGGTAACATTCTAATAGGCAAACGGCACTGATTGGTCAACCTTTACAGTCATGTGCTCGTGTTTCTGATTGGCCTATTTCGATCCACAACTGGGTGTATATATTTCTTATCGTAGAGTTTTCGATCTATGTTCTGACGTTTTAGACTCTGAAGAGTGTCAGACGAAAAGCTTTAGTTCACTAAATGTTTGCTTTTTGTAAAGCCATTTACAAGTTTTGTACCACCAAAAGATTGGTACAAAAAGTCGAAACTAAGACTTTAAATCATTTTTACGATTGAAATCGGTGAATTCTTACCAGCGTAAAGAAAATGACACCGGCAAAAATAATGAAAACAGCATTAAGAATGAATATCGGCCAAAGCTGAAAGATTGACGTCAACATTGCCTCCACCTGCTCCGACATAGTTGGCCTCGGGGTATATAAAACCATTCCAGGATGGTCGATCAAGGAAATGTACGGTTTTCCCTGAAATGTTGGCATCTCTTCTCTTCCGGCAATGGCAAAACTTAAGTGTACATAATCATCAATTGCTGTAAGAAATTGACAGCGGAAAAATCTTATTAAAAATAAATTGCATGCAAAAAGTTTATAGTAACGAAACTTTACTCCTGTGTTATGATAAAAAGTAATTGTGCAATATAGGAATATTCAATATGAGGAAAACGACACGTTTGTTTTCGATCTACCATCTGCTGGTTAAAGATAATATTTAAATTAAAAAAAAATGAGCTCGTTCTACCTTTAGCAACCTGTGCAATACTTTGCTTTTCTGCCCATCCATTTTTGCCGTCGTTTATGAAATCAATTCTGCTGCTTCTGCCGTTGCATAATCCACAAATAGCAGAGGTGATATTTTTTAACAGGTTCTCGAAAATTCCTACCATGTTACCTTGAGTGTCACGGTAAATATACGGTTTTAAGGCAGCGTAATTTGTATAAATAACCTCAGGACATGAACACGTTTCTGAAAACACATGATGTTGAAGATATAGTTTGTAATATCTAGAAATTAAGATATTAAAGATATTAAACATATAATATCTAGATATTTTATGTACAACTAGAAATGATAAAAACATGCATCTCAAGGTGTTACCTCCATAAAATGCAGGCGATTTTATTCCTGCACCATGCTCATTGACGGCCATGACACGAATCTCGTAGACGCAGTTTGGTTCAAGTTTTTCAAGAGTTGCTTGCTTTCTGAATGGACTCACAGTCACAGCCTGTATACGACTGTTTGATTTCGACTGTGATCCTACACTCATCAGACGGTATTCAATTCGATACCCTTTCAAAATTCCGTGAATAAATGCAATTGGAATTGGCTCATAACTGACAATTATGCTGCTTGTTGAGGTTTTGTTCTGACATCCTGCATTGGCTGGAGATATTGAAGGAGCTATGGAAGAATTTGATCTTTTTGTAAATACAAAAGGGAAGTAAACATATTTTGACGAAATTTACGATGTATTTTGTGAAAAAATGTAACAAAGATGTTCTGCGAAAGTACTGTACATGACTAGAAAGCAAAAAAAAGTCTTTGAAAAGTTGAATAGAAACTCAAAATGATTAAAAAAGAGCTGTTTTCAGAGAGGGACAGCAACTCACTGCTAACAAATGTTTTGTTGTAAGAGCGTATGCAGGGACCGGTGCCAACGGAGGTCGATGCACATACATCGACGATGTACAACCTATCTGGTGATAATCCATTTACGTTCATGTTAACCATTGTTCCATCAACATTCAGAGATTGGGAGAAGCTGCCGTCATCTGACTTAATGTCAACTTTGTAGCCAGCAATGATGCCATTCCAGCTATGCCTTGGAGGGTGTGTCCATTCAACAAACAATGAAAAGGCACTCATAGGAACAACTGATATTGATTGCGGCGGAAGACTTGGTGCTGCACAAAGAATGAATTGAATTAGTAGCTACAACATATGTCCTTATAACAATCCAATTCAAGAAGAAAAATGGGTTCATCATCAGAATCGTTAATTATTCTACCTTTTTCTCTAGTTGTTAATGTGTTAAGTTCACTAGCAATGCCATTTCCATTGGAATTGTATGCCAATACTCGCAATGAATAACTGGTAGCAGCAGACAGCCCTTGAATCTTTAGCTTGAGCTGCGTTGTTGCAGCAATTGTGTATGTCGTAGCTGATGATTCCCGGTAAAACAACAAATAGCCGGTAATTACACCATTTTGATCCGGGCTCGGAACTTCATTCCAGGAAACATCTATGGAACTGGCGTCATTGCTGACCGCTGTCACATTTGATGGGGGACTCGATGGAACTAGAAACGACATTCCACAAGTTATAAATCCGATCTGAGAAACATCGACAAACTGAAAAAACTCTACGACAAATTGATGGAAACATACACCACTTTTAGGGTACCTACCTATCGGTGATGAAAAACTGGCGGTTTTATTTTCGACAATTGGTAGTTTGCCGAGATAATGATCGTTGTCAATAGCATCCATTAGGAACAGAGCTTGGAACGAATCAAGTGCAGTGAAATACAACGTGAACGAGGCAATCACACTTCCTGGACTAGGAAAAAATAGAAATCAGAATATCTCAGGACTTTTTTCTACATTAGAAGCTAGAAAACGCTTCAGAAAAATTCCTTTGAATGATTCTGAGAGGTTGGCTAAGATTGTCTATGCAAAATAAAGTAACAAATTTGCCTTTCTTAAATGCAAATTTCTGGTAGTAATCTTACCGCGAAATTTTGTTATTGTCCACTGTTACTATGAGACTATCTTGTTAGCGAGCCACATATCTCTATTCAAGTCTAGCAGCTGTACATAAATTCTGTAATTGATGTTTTTTAAGTTGAAGTGTAAGAAGATATTAAGTGTAAGTACAAGATAGGTCGTTCACACCTGCTCGATGCTCATGCTTTCAGTTTATGAGCAGGAACGAATTGATTTGTACCCTTAATCATGCGTCTGATTGAAAGTGGACGAAAATGGATTTCAATTAACAATTGTTAATGAGTAGTTTGTATGTGTAAGCCATAAAAACCTTCTTACGAAGATATATGTTAACTTACTAACCTTAAATTATGAAGCTGAACTAAATCATATGTTCTTTTCAAGTCTCCATCGTATAGTCTTTTAACCTGAACATAAAGAAAAAAATATTATTTGCAATGTGCTTTCTCGTAAGTGAACTATAATGACAATAATATTTTAATCATTAATAATGACAATGACAATTGACAACTATAAAAGTCATTAGTAAGACAAGCAAAAAAAGATGAAGTACGAATTCACATATTTTCAATTAAATATGTTGATTCAGATCAGGGTCAAATTATGATTTCTGTTTACCGATCTGTCAGAAAGTGCTTAATGAAGTATAGGCAGAATAATAATATAATAATAATAATAATAATAAATAATTTGTTTAAAGTTGGCGTACTAAATGAACGGCTGACAGCTATAAAGAAGCTAATTAAGGCCAACTAAGAGAGTGTCAAACAGCACCGTATTAAGTTTCTACTCTGGGTTTCACGCGTTATGTGACCATCAGGCAACAGTATCTTGATAGATGTTGGTCAGATTTTTTTGTAGGAAAATCAAATAATATTTGAAGTATATTGACAGGCACTAGAGCTCAAATACTGACTACTTGCATGAGAGGGAATAGTGACAAAAAGGCTTAGAAATTAACCTGAAGGTTAAATGCGTCTTACATTTATATCGATTTTTCTTGCAAAATCTGCAAACATAGCTCCTGATGCCAATGCGTACCCATCTTTCCAAACTTCATCAAAGGCAACATTCCTTAACGTTATTGAAACATCTGAGAACAACGATGAAAGAACTTAAAATTTGAAACAACTGGAGGAAATGCGATTCTATTATATTCCAGATATGATAAGTGACTCAACAATTTTCAATCGCAAAGGAATAAATTTCTGACATTTACGATATTTGATCGCTTTAATTTTTTATTTTTTTCATGTGGCTATCCTATATTCTAATGTAATGAAAGAGCCGGATGGGTATTTATTAACAGGGCTGCCGACGGGTCAAGGGGAAAATTGTGTCAGGGACTCGATGCCTAGGGGGCCTCACAAAGTAATAAATTCCATTTCAAGATTTGAATTAACTAAAGGTAACAAGAGTATGCCTAAAAATTGGTAAAAAATTTTCAATTATCGCAATTTCAATTAAAACAGTGAAATATTTTGACATTTATTTGAAACAAATCTAGACAAATGTGATCGCTAAAACTTCGTGCTCGCTTTGCCTCCCCTTTCCGTTTTGTCCAGGTCCTCCGAAACCTCTAAGCGGCCCTGCTTATTGCGCAAAAAATATTTTCCTGCTTATTCCGCAAAAATTGAAATAGTGAAAAGTGAAAAGCACATTGCTGTGCTTAAAAAAATGCACAGAAAAGCGCATCTTAGAACACAAAGTGGTGTTTGGGTAGTACTGTTAAGAGCAATCTTTGGCGAATGAATCCTCATGTCCTGGGACTATAAGCTCCTCCTCAAGATAGACTGGGATAGAATTCTTGTCAGGCCAAAATAAAACGTCTCACTAAAACTGCATTGATCGTGTATTCAGACGATTGAGATGAAAGTTGAAATGAAAAGAAAAGTTACTTGGACAAATATTTGTGTTGCATGGAGCAGTTTCTGTGCCATTCCCCTCGCATACTTTACCGCCATACATTGGCAACGGGTTCTCGCACCAGCGTTGTCTAAGACGTTCTCCTGTGTTGCAAGGCTTGTTACATTGCTGCCAAGATGTCCAGTTCGTCCATCCACCATTAACTATAAGATAATCCCGGGATGCTGTTATTCCATATTGTACAGATGACATAGAAAAATGGTTAAGACAGAAAAAAACTTCCGAGAAAAAAGAGAAAAGAAATATTCACCCAGTACCTCACAAGAGATTAGAATTTGGAAAACCTACTTTGACAAAAGCCAGCACTGCAGAGCTCTGTTTCCGTGTAGTTGCCAAAACATAGACTTCCACCATAAACTGGAAATGGATCACTGCATGTTCGATTTCTGGTTCGTGTTCCACCATCACATGACTTCGTGCATGTCGTCCATTTTGACCATTCAGAAAACCCACCATCAACTGTAAACAAAAAACGATATTCACATGAAAAGTTTGAAATCTTTTGGCAATTAAACATAAAATTCAAAAAAGCAGATAAATCCCAAACAAGAAGAAAGCATTACTCACAATGAATATAAAAATGACCAAAAATCTGATTCAGTTGCATCTTTTAAAGATTTGACAAGATATAATTTATTGTGACAAACTATAATTTTGCTGACAAATTATAATTAACTAAGAACCATCTTCTTACTACTTTATTTACGTAGTCAAATTACCAGCAAATGCGCACTCAATTCACGCCTGTCTGCGTGCTTGTTACTGTAAGACCTACTTTAATTCTAAATGATATTAATTTTTTAAAAGAATAAATAAATTCACTTTCTTATTTCAATTTTCCTTCTTTCAATTTGAATTTTTTATTACGTAACAGCCATGTCTTGCTTGCATTCTCATTTTCAAACCACTCAATTTTCAAAATGTTGAAGTTCAATGCAGTTGGTCACCTGGCTAGAAGCTATCCATATTTAAATATCTGCTTTTGTAATTGCAGAAATTGAATCCAGTTGAGTAAAATTTTCAAACACTGGACAGCCTTAGCAAAATCTCTTTCAATGTGCAATCTGCCTTTGAAAGGCAGATTAGGAAATACTAACAATTTTGACAATGTTCTCTGACAGCAATTTAGGTTGCTGAAGTTATGGTTTTAAGTGCAAAATATATTAGATCATTAGATTTTCAAAATATAATACTGTTTGTTGTTGTTGAATTGGTCATGAACGATTTTTCGAAAAAGATTCTCTTAACAAAGGCATTTTCTGCCTTTATCTCTGCTGACCCACACACAATAGAATGCTGCTGTAAGACACTAACTTGGACATTTTTGCCAATTGCATGTAGCAATTTCGTTTGCTTTTCCTTGACACTCCTTTTTTGATGTGTCTTCTGACAAACAAAGCCTCGTTCGTGTCTTCTGGCCTCCATTGCATGTCTCTGTACATGCAGACCATGGCGTCCATGGACCAAAGCCCAAATCATCTGAAAGTTAAAGCGCCATTTTAGTGTAAGCCTAATGAGATCGATTGCTGGCTTAACTGCAATCAAATAAGTATATAGGACATAGATTTGGTATATAACATAAGTTCATACATAGGTAAAAACAAAACAAAGGTTAGACCACAAGAAAGAGATTGAACTCTACCTCTAAAATTCTTAAGTGGAAAAATTTGATTGCTTTTTCAGTATGTTTTTCATAAATTGAAGTCATTTGACAAACAATTTAATTCCTGATTCTCAAAATGATGTATCTTCTAATGAAAATTATTAAAATTCGGTAATTTATGTTCTATTGCTGAAATTAAGAATTGTTGGCCTTGAGAGTTTATAATTTCCACCTAGCTGTAACGGAGAATGCTTAAAATCTGAAAAAATTCAAGCTATTGCCATTTTCTTTTTCTCAGAAAGCTATTAAAAGACCAAAGGCAATTTACAACAAATACAAAAACAAGAGATCTTTCCATAAACCGTACTCATTCGATTATATACTGTCTTTGTTTATAAGACGCAGCAAATTTGGTTCATGAGAATACAAGCCGCTTGAATGTAAGCTGAACCTACAAATCCATGCAGAGATACTTGGTTTGAAATGACAGGCGCAAGAAATGATAAAAACCTGATTGTGTACATAAACAAAAAACAGACATTTGAAGTTTAATCAACAGCAACATCGTCCAGTATGGGATCATCCAATGTAATATCAATAGCGCCTAAAAGAATTTCTTCCCCATCTTTTGCATTATCACCCTCAGTTCCAAGGAAACAGGAAAGCTTTGCAGGGTCTACCAATAACATATGAACAGGGATTAGCCATAAAATAATATAAGCCGCCTTCGTTCATAAGCCGCCTTTGATTATAAGCCGCATCAAAGCGTGTCAAAAAATAATTATAAGCCGCAGCTTATAGACGAATGAACACGGTATGTATCTTCCAATTTTCAATCAGCTAAATAGTCAATCACAGCTGAACCTACTCACCATTTTGAACACAGTTACACAGTCTTTTAACATTTGAAGGTGCAGTTACATTGCATTGTACAAGAGAAGGCACAGACACATAACCAGCGCATTTGTAGCTATCTGTATAAAAAGCAGGATCAAAGTCTCTTGTCCACAGTTTGGAGCTTTCATCAGATGAGCATGTTGCACCAACTTTCATGAAGCTCTCCTTTGAATTTCCAGTGTCAATAGAAGATGAGCAAACAAGCCCTGAATGAAAATTTGAATTGTTCAATATTTGTAAGCGAGTCTTACACATGCGAGTCTTATCATAAATATATCAGTTTTTAGATTAAAATAACTTTCTCTAATACCTAAGGATTGACAATACAGAGCACAATTTCGCATCAGGCTTGCAAGAGTGATCCCTGAACATGCTGACATATTGCATGCTTTCTCTTCCCGTGCAAGACCGTCACACTTTGCCCCACCGTTGCTAGGGGCTGGGTCATCGCAGTAACGTAAGCGTTCTTGTACACCGTCTCCACAATTAACTGAGCATTGTGCCCATGGTGTCCATTGACCCCAAGCTCCATCCACTGGGTCTCCTGTGAAACAGTATATTGGGTATTAGCAAGCATGTTTGGTGCTTAAAGCAAGGAAAATCCTACTCCAAGATTTTCAAATTTATTTTCAAATTTTAATTGTGTAAGCAATAATCTGTTTTTTTGTTTACACATAATCTGTAATCTGTTACTTCTGCTTTTGATTCATATAAAGATTCTCCTTCTAAATGATTTTGTGTCTTAGTATTGACAGGTGAAACAGCATGTTCAACTTTGAAGTTGGAAAAGCATAAGGGCCAAGAATAAATCAAGTTTCAATTAACTTCTGCTTGTGGCCATTACAGAAAACTTTTAAAAGGAGTTTAATGGAGTATCCTCAAGTGGGCCTGAAATCAAATGTGGTGTTCCTCAAGAATGAGGCCTAGGGCCACCTTCTACTTCTGATCTACCATTTCAACTTTTTGCTATTCCCATGTTGTTTATTAATCAATGTTGCTTTGAAGCCATAAATGTGTCAAGTAAATGAATTCTTCTCAATGACATTGCCTATCTGCGTGGCTTGCTTTAACTACTGCCTCCTGAAATGCGTCCTCTCTTGATTGATGGGTCGATCATGTTTCATTTGTCTCTGAACTTAAGGATTCTAGGCTATGATTAGTATTCGCTTACAAGCGTAAATGATTTTAAACGGCATTTCGATATCTGAAGAAGAAGAAAGGAAGGTCTTATAAACATTGTAAATGTATTTGGTTATTAGATATCGGAAATGCGTGTCGATATAATCAATAAGAATAATGCGTTTGTTTACAAAGAAGTCAAAGGGGGTTTTGCTGTACGAAATTATTATTGCTGTTGCAACTTAAAGTAACTATCACAAAAAGTCTCAGAAAGTAGGTGAAATATATCAATTAAAGTAGGGAAAATATATTTTTCTACTGGTTACGAAGTCCTTTACCTGTAGAAAGAACAGATGACTGCGGCGCGCTTGATGATGACCTTGAGAAGTCTTGTGAAGATTCTATCAACTTTGATGATGAAAAGGAAGAAATTGTTGAAAATGGTGACGATAAAGATGACGAAGATGGCGAAATTGACAAAGACAGCGATGATGGCCAAATTGACAAAGACAGCGATGATGGCGAAATTGACAAAGACAGCGATGATGGCGAAATTGATGAAGACAGCGATGATGGCGAAATTGATGAAGACAGCGATGATGGCGAAATTGATGAAGACAGCGATGATGGCGAAATTGATGAAGACAGCGATGATGGCGAAATTGATGAAGACAGCGATGATGGCGAAATTGATGAAGACAGCGATGATGGCGAAATTGATGAAGACAGCGATGATGGCGAAATTGATGAAGACAGCGACGATGACAAAGATGACGATGATAATGAAAAAGTTGGTGAAAACGTTGATATTATTTGTGATGATGAGGATAGCGATGACAGAGTTAATGAAGATGAAGGCAAGGACGACAATAATTGTGTTGACGAAAGAAATGAGGATGAATGTGGCAAGGATGAAGAAAGTATATTGGTGAATGAAGAGGCCAAAGACGACACGGACGAAGTCACTAAAATGAAAGAGATTTTCTAGTTTCAAATTTACAACTTGAACCTGACAAGGTATAAGATAAAACAATGACAAAATGTAGCAATGTTTTACGCTATGTAAACATTGTTCCACAATTCAATTTAAATCTTAAATGATTATTTCCAAATTCCAAAACCCAATATAAATGTAGGGTCAAGCGAACCTTCTACGAAGAAAGCTCGAAGAAAACTGTCTATGAAAATTGTCTTAATCTGAGCTCTAAATCGATTTCTTGTGTCACCATTGTTTGCCATAATTTCCTAGCCTATTTCTGTTTTTGCTGCCCGATAAGTTTTTCCAAGTAGCATTAGGTTATATACATACCTTGTATATGTTGTGACGTCAGAAATGGAGTGCAAGTACCTGTCAATACGAACAAAGAACAATGAACTACAAAAACTCCACTGGGAAAGCAAGCAAGCATTATAGAAGACAGCGATGAACGAAAAGTATTATAGTATGTATATATATATGTATTATAGTCGTTTTCCAGTGTAACAGGTCTCTTTACGGAATCAAAAGGAATGAACAATTATGAAAAATATTGGTTTTTATGTTGCTCTTTGCATACCTGAGGAGAATACTGTTCCGGAAAAAGAGCTGCATACGCCAACTCTTATGTCATCAGACGAGTCCATTCCTAAGCATCTGTCTGTGCCAACAATTCTTAGAAGATTGTAAGTTGAATCGTATATAAAAGCAGACCCTTCACAAGCTAAGGGGAAAAAAACTTTTCACTTTTGGTACGAAGAATACATATTATAATGTCTGATACGGTGAAACTCTTAGGTGTCCCAATTGTCTCAAAACTCAACTTTAAAGAACATATTTAAATTATACGCCAAAAGACCTAATATATGTGTGAACAGGTTTCTATCATTTCGAGGTAGCATAATTTGGAATTTGCTACCAGACCAAAGTCAATTTAAAATTTGGAATTCTTTTTTCCAAAACATGAACCACTTACCTCATCCTCTGCTATAGAAAAAGCATGACCTTATCCCGAACTCCCGTCCTTCTGATTATCACACACATAAAGCCACGCACACACACCTATGTTATCTAATTTGATTTCATTGCTTGCTTATTTACGTTTAGAAAACTATACATGATTAGTCAGTTGTTGCCTTATCAAAAAGTGAGGTTTGCAATTGTATTTAGTTAAAAATCTTTTCAATCAAAAGATTATGTTATTATTATTATGCAAACAATCTTTTGGTGGTACAAAACTTGTAAATAGCTTTGAAAAAAGCAAACATTTAGTAAACTAAAGCTTTTCGTCTGACACTCTTCAGAGTTTAAAACGTCAGAACATAGATGGAACACCACTGATTTACCACTGATTAATTACCACTAATTAGCCTAATTAGTGGAACACACTTGCTGCCTTTACATTCAAAGCCATTGATAATCATTATCTCATCCCCCAAATTTTATGGTTTCTGTTCGTACAGGTGGTATAATATTTTCTGCTGCAGAAACAAACCATGGACAAATCCAGCCTTACTTCTATTTAAGTAATCATGAATTTTTATGATATCATTCATGACCTTTTTTACTTACTTTTGCAATAGTTTTTCTCTTTAAAAACCAGGCTAGCCAATTGCAAATTACCTTGTAATAGTGAGATTTTTAGTTGTATTTTAAGTTGAATTGAAAATGAAAGGTTTCCATTATTATTATCATATGTGTGACTCTCTCTCTCCATCGATCAGCAACAAACGGTATCTCATTTCTAAACTTTCCAACATTGCCACCCGTACTACGTACTACATGTTTTGTTGCAAAAATAAGCCATGGACAAATCCGGAATTACATTCTTTTTAACTTTGGTTGTTTTATTTTTCTCAGTTTTTCCTTTTACCTTACGATTGTTATAGTTTTTCTTGTAAAACCAGGCTAGCCAATTGCAAATTGCCTTGTAATAGTGAGATTTGTAGTTGTATCTTAAGTTGAATTGAAAATGAAATGTTTCCATTATTACCAATCTCAACAGCTATGCTAAGACAGAGATATACGCCACCCTCACATCAGACTTAAAACGTCAGTTTTAGTCAGTTTCGTTTGTCAATCTTTCCATCAGTTCACTTGGTATTTTTGGCAGCTCCTGCAGCTCATTCATCGAAATGTGTGACTCTTTGTCCATTGATCATCAACAGAAACGTTATCTCATCCCCAAACATTCAAGCATATTATTCGTACCACAAATTACATATTCTGCTGTGAAAACAAAACTTAAACTAACCCAGAGCTACTACGTTTTTAATATTTATGAGTTTTGAATTTTATTACGTTTTTCCTTGATGTTTTCTTCTTATCAATTGTACTAGTTTTATTTTCTGAAAACAGGCAAGCCAGTTACAAATCACCTATGTAATAGATAGATTTGTAATGGTAGCTTTAAATGGAATTCAAAATGAAAAATTTCTATTATAGAAGGGTTGTTGTAACAATGATTTTCTATAGTTTCTAAATCATTGATGCTCCTATTTATTCCATTTCTGTTGTTCTTCTATACGCTATTCAAAGAAAATACTCCAATATTTCATCAAAATTAAAGTGCCAAAAAAAGGAGAGACATTCCTTTATCCACACTTTACACCATTGCACATGATACTTCAACCTCTAAATATGTATAAGATATATTTCCATAAAATATCCGTAAAACGATTAGTGCTGGGATTTGAAATCCTGATCTCTAAATACCTATAGTACCAATAATAAAATCATCACTCACTTGTTTCCAACTTCACATCTTTGCCATCGATAGAGCTAGCCTGCTTACTTGGCATTCCGTCAACCTGAAGACATAACTCTCCACCTTGGCCAGCAGACATTACTCGCACATCTCCATTTGATTTTGATATAAACCTGTACTGGTTGCAGCAGTTTGCTTCCTGTATTCCGTAGGCTTTTTTCCCCTCACCAAATGAATCAAATGTCCAGCAGTAAGATATAGAATTGAACATTGTCATGAACCACTGATTGACAGAATTCGCTAGGAAATAAAAGTTGTGACTATAATTTGTACGGTACAATTTTGATTACAACTGACGCATTCTCGAATTTCATTTAGATTGTAAACTTTGTTACATGACTTGAAATAAAAAAACATACCCCAGAAAAGCGAATTCCGTACTTAAGTACTCTCGTGTGACATTCCACAGAGCATAAACCTATGATTTTGACGTATAAACGATAGAGTATAAAACTATGAAGTATAAACCAAAGATACGCGGGCAAATTGTATCCAGATACGAATCAAAATAGCGCGTTTGATTGATACAATTCTTTTAACCAATCAGCGGTCGCTAAACTCAGCTTGCGTAAACACTACCGTTAACTCGTTGCATATTACAAAATGTAAGCGCTGTACTATAATGAAAGCAAATTTGTGGATTCTACGTCAACTCTTCGCCACTCATGTCAAAATGCACTCGGATAAATTTTTTGTCGCATTAAATATTTTTTATAAGCTATTTTCGTGTTATCAAGTCTACAACATGTATAATTCCGAAGTGTTGATTCATGAAACATTTTACGAAGTATTTCAAGCCAGGAGATTTCTTTGGTTTAGCAACTTTTCAAATGATTATGATTTTGATGATGTTTTGGTTGCTTTTGAGTCCTTACGTTAAAAATTTTAAAAAGCTGGAAGCCAATAAAACATTTAAGAAACTCACCCACTGAAGTTCCACACGAAGTAACTAAAAAAAAAATTAAAGCACGATATAATTGTGTTATTGCTACACTTATTTGATGCTATGAGCCCAATTGGACAGAGAGTTGCAAGAGTGAATTTGTAAGGAAATTGTCGCCAATGCTCTCTTTCTGGTGCTTTTTTCATAAATCCTTTCACAACTCTCTCAAAGATTGCGGGCAAGGAAGTAGAACCAAAAATTCTTCTAGGTGATACCCTCTAGGCCAAAGTAAAAGACGTGTTCTTTCCAAAGCCTTCAGTTGTTCATCTCTTGACATCGATAAAGCTTCACAAGCCACAACAGCCTCTACACTTGCATAACCAAAACCATTGTTTTATTCACTTGCAAATTCTTTTTCCGACTTCAGATTTTGTTGGAACTTAATCAGCTTCCTTTTCTCCAAAGTTCTAAAGTGAGTTGTTATTAAAAATCTATTGATAGAAATTTTGACTTTTCACAAGAAAAGCTTTTCTTGTGAACCTCTTTTCGCCATCTCACCCGGCGGCAAAACGTACCGCGTAAATATTTGTTACGCATAAATACATGATCTTACCCTTCATATATTAGCTATCTTCACAATGTCGCGGTGGCTTTTGTTCTATAAGCAAACCTCTCCTTCCATCTGAAATAACTCGCAATTAACTTATCCTTGACATGCTTCTAAATTAGCTGAAAATGCTTGTGCATCCTTTACAGCGGGTTTGAAATAGGACTAATGGACTAATGTTTTAATATACAGAGACTAGTGGAAAGAAGCGGAAAGAGCAAAAAGGTAAAAAGCAAAGCCTGAGCAAGCCATATCTTGACGTATCGTTATCAGCCGTTCTATAGATACAATATCGTAGTTTTCATGCACGTCTTTGCTTCTTGGGCGGTAGAAGGGCACCTTGGAACAAAATCAAAACAGAATTAAATCCATTCTTTGCCACACCATAATGGACTTTCACCCTAGCGTTATTTTTCTCTAAAAACGTTCCCATTAGATGGGTCCTTTTAGATGTTTTTCCCTACCAGACAAAAATCTTAAAGATGCTCTTGAGATCCTTGAAATATGCTTAGGGATATTATGATAAAGTTTGTAGATACCTGTCACATAGTCACTTGATGAAGAAGGACACGTTCTATATTTATGATTTTCGCCGTCTCTCAACACACAATGATTTGCATTCATTTTCTTTAACAGCCTACCATCAGGAGTAAGATTTAATTTGGCACATGCTGTTGCTAAAATTGATCGATAATGGAACGAATTAGGTGATAACGTGAAAAGAAGGTAAACAAGTTGAAAAGAATGCAAGATCGAATGTTAAAAAGATTATCCAGGTAAAACCATTTCGCAAACAAATCGAGAGAAACATGGTCACTTAGAGAGGGATACATGGGACTTATTCTTTTATTATTTTATTTATTATTTATTTGCAATTGTGTTAATTCATATTATAAATAAACAAAAACAATACCCTATTGGCTAAAAATCGTTGCTGCTTCTTTAGGGAGTTGTGTTTTTAAATGGGTTTCACCTCATTAAATGCTTTTTTGATGTTTTCACAATCTGGGCAAGGTAGGAAGTTCTCTGATACTAATTAAGATGTCATTCTAGACTTCAAGTGTCTAATAAAAAGATCCTTTTGTGGCATACTTCAGATGTTACTTTGAAATTTTAAAATCACTGCAGAATTGTGTGTTTTAACCTCCTGAAGTCAGGAGCGTAACATAGAGCTTTTTTCAGGAAAGCATTAGCAGAACATTATAAATAGACTTAAATTATATCTTTAATTATTCTACTGTTTCAAAGATTTTAAAGATGTAAGATTTTACTTTTCACTTACCTTCAGGAACAGGACTCTAGCGATAACAGTGCATTTTTACACTGATAGATTATTTTGTATTAAAGTTTGATCTAGACCCCGTTTTCACTGTGCCGGTAAAATTTTATCCGCATCAAAAATAGTTCAGATAGGCGTCGCGTTTACACTCAACTCACGCCACCCGCACGAATTTGAGAGCGGCTATCCGAACAAAATTAGTTCACCTAGGAGAGTGGATTAAATTAGTTCGGATAGCTTTGTGGCACAATTTAAACGGTTTTATCTGGATAAATTTTATCCACTTCGTATCTTGCAAGAAAACGTTTGGCTGTTTCATCCTATTTAGTTTTGACTCTCTCCCAATCAAGACCTTTCGCCATCTTGGCTGCTTTGTAGTCAATAAATACGACTTCGTATCTTCGTCAGTCTACGTAAAATGGGCATCCTTGTCAGCATTTCCTCCTTTCTTCGCTATTTTAGCGTCACTTTGTTTCAGAGCACGAATTATTAAAACTAACTAGGCCTAATTTGTTTTTAGCATATCTTCGGATTTCGTCTGAAAGAGAAGCAGGTTATCTTGAAGAGAAAATGAAAAGTCTTTTAACGATGGAGTTTTGGCGAGAATTGTTTTTTATTTGTCTTGCCTAGTGATGACTTTGTTTCGGGCGTTCTGTGCATGATTTAGATCATGTGACTGCAGTTATCCGGCACAGTGTAAACGAGAGGACACAGTGTAAACGCAAATCAATCTGAACAAGTTCTTTGCGGACAAAATTCATCCGGCATTGTGAAAACGGGGTCTTATTATAATCTATTATTATAGCTGGATTATTGGGATATTCGCTAAAATTCTTTCCAGATAATTTCTGGACTGAGCCTGCTCATGATCACATCGGCTTCAACTGTTGGGAACGTGCACTCAACAGTTACGTAATTGCTGCGTTTGTAAGTAAACTAATGACCTTCGTAATTAGTAGCTAGTGTAGGACACGTGTTAGAGTAGATTGCTTGCTGCTCTATTGTCAGCTAATTAGAAGCTTCTAGAAATTTCTAATGATCGCTGAGGTAGAACTTTTTAGCACGCGTCACGCAGAGTTTAGATAGTTGCATGTTTCGCAGTGAACAAGTCGATAGAGTCTCAAAACAACAGGTTATGGGCCCAGAACCAAACCACTGCACATGGCTGGAATTGGAGATAAATTCGAAATCGAAAAATTAGATAGGTCAAACTGGCCTACATGGAAGTTTCAAATGAAACATTTGTTGATGGCGAAAGATGTGTGGGATCACGTAGATGGAACGATTTCATTACCTGACGATAATACAACATCTAGAGCTACATACGAAAAGGCCAAGCAAAAGGCAATGGCGACGTTGGTAATGGGAATTCAGTCGAATCTTATCTACTTGGTGACATCATGCGAAACACCGAAGGACCTGTGGGATACTCTCAAAGCCTATTTCGAGAGGGATACGATAGCCAACAAGCTGTTTCTCAAGAGACAATATTTTACTTCAAAAATGCTTGAAGGGCAATCGGTCCAAGATCATTTGAAACGTATGAAGGAAATTGCTGATAAACTCCATGCACTCGGGTCTACAGTAGCTGAAGAAGAGCAAGTCGTGGCATTGCTCATAAGCCTTCCACCAAGCTATACAACACTCGTTACAGCTCTGGAAGCTAAAGGAGATGAACTATCACTGGCCTTCGTCCAGCAAGCCCTTATCAATGAAGAGCAGAAAAAACAGGCCTTCAAAGCAACCGCAACGACTAAAATTAATCGAGACTCAGCATTACATTTGGAAAAGGGCATCAGCAGGCCTTTCAAAGGCAAATGTTACAACTGTGGCAAGGAGGGTCATAAAAGCTTTGAATGTCACAAAAGGAAGCAAGTGAGGCCCAGCAATTCATTTAAAAATGAAACACATAATGCAAAGACTGCAGGAAAGGAGGAAGATGATGACTCAGACTCTCAACTCTTTCTAGCTGAAAATGAACAAACAGAAAATGAGACAAACAGACAATGGATTCTGGATTCGGGTGCCTCGCAGCATATGACCTCAAACAAACTGCTTTTGATTAACTACATAGAGTTCAACCAGCCTGAATTAGTCAAACTGGGTGACGGACATACAGTGGAAGCCCGTGGATCAGGACGAGCTCAAATAACCATGGAAACAAGCCACAACAAGCAGCTGACAATTGAAATGGATAATGTACTCTATGTTCCGAAACTAGCTTGCAACCTGTTCAGTGTGCGAGCTGTGACACAGAAGGGACTCATTGTTCAGTTCGGACATACTTGTTGCTGGATAAAAGACTCGGACGGTAAGGCTGTAGGCAAAGGAAGACTCGTTAAGCGAATGTACGTTCTGAGCTGCGAAACAGATATAACAGCAGCTTATCACCAATCTGAAAGGATGGAAAATAGCAACCCTAGCACGATGGATATTTGGCATCAACGGCTAGGACATATAAATAGAAAACAGCTATTGGAATCAGTCAAGAAGAAGCTCATCAAAGGAGTTACCATCAAAGGAAATGACGAACTGAACTTTTGCACAGGGTGTGCGGAAAGTAAGATGAGCAGAAAACCTTTCAAGTCAACAGAGGGGATCAAGACTTCTAGAAAATTACAGATAGTTCACAGCGACGTATGTGGACCAATGTCAATACAGAGCTTTTCGGGAAAGCGTTATTTTGTCACATTCATTGATGACTACTCGAGATGTGTCAAAGTCTACTTCATTAGAAAGAAGTCTGAGGTACTAAAGAGGTTTAAAGAATTTGAAGCCTCTGCAACCAATGAAGCTGCATGTAAAATTGGAACCTTGCGTACAGATAATGGCGGAGAGTATGTATCAAATGAATTTGAAAATCTTCTGAAAAGGAAAGGTATCAAACACGAAACTTCTGTTCCTCACTCTCCACAACAGAATGGAGTGGCTGAGCGCATGAACCGGACTCTCGTTGAATCCGCAAAAGCGATGATGAACCATGCCGGACTCAGCAAGACCTTCTGGGCAGAAGCAGTCAACACTGCAGCCTACATAAGGAATCGTGTTATAACCAGCGCATCAGGTCAAACACCGTACGAAAAATGGTATGGAAAACCCCCTGATGTCTCCCACTTTCGTGTGTTCGGCTGCATAGCTTATGCTTATATTCCAGAGGCTGAGCGAAGAAAGTTGGACAAGAAAGCCAACAGACTTCGATTCTTGGGCTACAGTGCAAACCAGAAAGGATACCGACTCTTTGATATGCAGAGCAAGAGAATAGTGATCAGAAGAGACGTTAACTTCAATGAAAATGATTTTGGATCTCAAAAACAGTATTTGAAGATGGGTCCAGAACCAGCAAAGGAAGATAAACGACAAACAGAGCCTACGGAAAAGAACACGGATGCAGAAGAAAGCCATCCTCGACGATCTCAAAGATCCACAAAAGGGGTACCACCACCTCGATTTGGCTTGGATGAGTATGCTGACGTCACAGAAGCAAGACATGTTGTATTCTCAGCAATCATCGAAGAACCAGCTACCATCCAAGAAGCCTTCAATAGTGAATATTCCGCACAGTGGAAAGAAGCAACGGATTCAGAGTATCAGTCACTCATAGAGAACCAAACGTGGGAGTTAGTGAAGCCACCAAAAGACCGAAAGGCTATCGGGTGCAAGTGGGTCTTCAAAGTAAAGTATGACGAAAATGGACAAGTGGAACGTTTCAAAAGTCGTTTAGTAGCAAAAGGGTATTCTCAGAAGTACGGCGTCGATTTTGATGAAACTTTTTCTCCTGTCGTGCGGTTCAGTTCTATTCGAGCCTTACTGGCTTTTGCAGTTCAAAACCGAATGCTGATTCATCAAATGGATGTAACTACGGCATTTCTGAACGGAGATTTAACGGAAGAAATCTATATGGAGCAACCAGAGGGTTACGTGATACGTGGAAAAGAGAATCTGGTTTGCAGACTCAAAAAATCCCTCTATGGACTCAAGCAGTCACCACGTTGCTGGAATCGAAAATTTAGAAACGCGCTCGAATCACTAAATTTCAGACAAGGCCAAGCAGATCCGTGTATCTTCGTGAAAGGATCTCTTGAAAGAAACAATTTGACAATTATTGCTGTTTACGTAGATGATTTAATCATCATATCCACTACTCAAGATGAAATGAAACAAATGAAAGTAAACCTGAGAAAGAATTTCAAGATGAAAGATTTGGGCAGCCTTCATTTCTGCCTTGGAGTCAGCGTTGAGCAAAGCGAAGAAGGAGTCAGTCTATCACAGAAGCAGTACATTGAAAAATTACTGAAGCGCTATGGACTTCAAGATGCTAATCCAGTGTGTACACCTCTTGATCCAAATGTTAAACTTGTAGCAGATGATGGAAACAGTAAACCTGTTGATAACGTTCAATATCAGTCTATGATAGGGAGTTTACTCTATGCTGCCATCGCAACAAGGCCTGATATCGCTCAAGCAGTGGGAGCTCTTTCTCAATTCAATTCAGCACCAACAGAAGCGCATTATACTGCTGTAAAAAGGGTATTTCGTTATCTGAAAGGAACAATCAATCTTTCGCTGGTTTACAAGAAATCAGAAAGCAAAGAAGTTACGGGATTTAGTGATGCTAGTTGGGCTGACGATATGCAGAATCGCCACTCAACCACTGGAAATGTCTTCATGATGGCCGGAGGTGCGATTAGCTGGCTTAGTCAAAAACAATCAACAGTGGCTCTTTCAACCGCTGAGGCAGAGTACATTGCCTTGAGTAAAGCTGCCCAAGAGGTCGTATGGCTGAAGCAACTGTTTAGAGAAATAGGAGACAATGTGCAACCTATAACCATCATGGAAGACAACCAAGGAGCAATTTCGATGACAAAAAATCCAGTCGGACATAAACGGACGAAACACATCGACATAAGGTATCATTTTGTTCGAGAACAAGTAGAGAAAGGGACACTGCTACTAAAATATTGCAACACGAAAGAAATGCTGGCCGACTTACTTACTAAATCACTGAACAGAGGTCAATTTGAGTACCTACGCTGCAAGCTCGGAATGCAATAAAACCTGAAAAGAAACTGTTGATTGAGTGGGAGTGTTGGGAACGTGCACTCAACAGTTACGTAATTGCTGCGTTTGTAAGTAAACTAATGACCTTCGTAATTAGTAGCTAGTGTAGGACACGTGTTAGAGTAGATTGCTTGCTGCTCTATTGTCAGCTAATTAGAAGCTTCTAGAAATTTCTAATGATCGCTGAGGTAGAACTTTTTAGCACGCGTCACGCAGAGTTTAGATAGTTGCATGTTTCGCAGTGAACAAGTCGATAGAGTCTCAAAACAACATCAACTACACGATCTGATGTGACTAGTTGTACAACAGAAAGGGAATTTATAGCCAGTTGTGGATCGAAATAGGTCAATCAAGAAAACGCAAGCACAAGACCAGTATAGTTGTCCAATCAGTTCTGCATGCCTAAAGAAAAATTACCAAGTTTTCTCTCTTGGACTCCAATGGTAATTTTTCTTTAGGCACGCAGCACTGATTGGACAACTGTACCGGTCTTGTGCTTGCGTTTTTCAGAAAGGGAAATGTGTAGTCTTTATCATGTGTATCTTGAACGAGCCAGTCACTTAGTTCAAAATAATTTTTATGTTTATTTTAACATTTTATGAAATGACATTATCAAAATAGAAACAATTATCGAATTGTTGGATGCTAGGCTAAACATCTATGACGGCGCTTACCATTTTATTGCCAACTTGCATTGAAACCATAAAGTAGCAATCGACAGTTTAATCAACAATTTGGAACCAATGAAAAGAGATATGAGGCGAGATTTTGTTTTATCGCCCTATTTGATCTCCCAGTATAAAGAATGCCAGTATTAAAAACTTTTGCACCGCATAATACATTAGACAATGAAGCAGATTCAGAAGAGGAACTGATTAGGCTGTTTGAAACAGTTGTAGTAAGCCAACGGGCTCTAGTTCAGCGTAAACAGGACCTGCTGAAATTTTTTCAAAGTCGAGAGTATCTCTTTAACGCCGCATTGCAGCAAATGTGTAGCGTATCACAAACCGAAAAACCCTTGCGAAATGCCAGCGAAAAATGATTAAATGACGACTCTTTCTAATAATGGAAAAAGCACAGAGCTTACGGTTTGCAAGAAATCGAATTTGGTCTGCCCCGCTCCCCTTTTTACAGCATGGTGCAGGTACGTGAAATGTTTCTGGGCTGGATGGGGATCTTGGTCTGCGTCATGTGGCAGCGTTACTAGGCAACGCAAGATGATAGAAGAGCCAGCTGTTGCTCAAAGAAAATTTTGCCAAGGACTGCCACAGGGGTATTACCAGAACCCACAGATTGAAACCAAACCAAACCAAGACAACCCGTAAGCACAGATACAATGCAAAGTGCCACTAAGATATCTCTAAATCTGATGCACTGACAGCTGGAGTGCGCATAAGATCATACGGATTGCCTAAATATATCATTGTCGCTAAACTGCACCCGCTTTAAATATAAAATTGTTCACTGAATTTGTTTCTATAATTGCTACATTTGTTGATTTGGTTAGGCCTTTACTTTCAAAATGGTCATTTCGATTTTATTAAATCAACTTTTTAGGTTAAATCTTAGCGGTTGATTGGCAATTTCTGTCATGATTTAATTTAAGCATTAGCAACCTTGTAAATGGCGCCCAAGATGTGGATGTGACTCACCAAATTTATTTAAGCTGCACAGTTGAATCAAAAGAAATTATTAATTGACTTACAGACGTCTATAAATTCCACATCAGTATCAACATCACTTTCACCAAGACAAACTTTATTATCAAAATCCCAAATTTCTCCATTTGCTCTCCAGATCCATTTCGGAAATTGGCAACAGTCTCCAATGTACGATTGCAGCTTCTTGCCGCTAGACATGGACATCGATTCTGCAGTTAGGCAGAAATGCCGGTTGACATCACCATTGATAATCCATCTTAACGTGACTAGAATAAGGTTATTCTTAGAATAAGTATTACACGCTTAGGTAATTCTTAAGATCAAAGCAAGTATTCATAATAGCTCCAGGCAATTGCCTTGAGTTTGAAGAACATTTTTAGAAAGGAAAGAAACTCACGCAGTTAACATGGTATTTTAATTTAGCTCGTCTTTATTGGCCTTTCTCACGGTTATCGACCATATGTTCGCCTAATTATTTGGTTTCGGTAATTCTACCCTGCATTAAAGGAATGCTTTAAAATGAGGTAACATACTATTTGGAAGTAGTTATAATATAAAAAAGTGATTTCTGATGTAATCAATTATTCTAGTTGAACATTTTTACTTTATCATCGCCAAAATCAGAACTAAGTTCCGTCTCTTCTCTATTGCACTTTAAAAGAAATCAGAACTGAAACACGCCACCACCGCCACACTGAAACCGATTTTATAATATATGAAATGGCTTTCCTACAGAAAAGTTATTCATTGGCTTGGCTTTAAGAAACATTCTAATTTAGATAAAATATGGCTACAAGAGCATAAAATGGCTACACCGTTTACATACGCCTGTTTCTATAAATGATTGTTCTTTATCTGCAATGAACATCTGCACTATCCTTAATGCATGTCCAGTCCCCTTAAACTAGCATTAAAGAAGGGATATAATAAGAAGAAATGGTTAAATTTTATCAAATGAAGCATTTCTGTCTGACCACCTTCTTAAATTATGTTTATAGGCCAACTAAAGACTTAAATTAAATTATAAAAAATCATGTTTTGAAACTTTCTTTGCGTGGCTGACAGGCAATCGATCTCTGTGAGGTAATGCTTTACTGCTAATGTTTACTATAATTTGCAGGGAATGATATTCCAGCATTTACTCCATGTAAAGAATTTTAATCTAGCTTATCCATTTTGTGGCAAAGACAAACACAGTTAATAACATCCGTCTATGCATTTATTAGCTTTATTCACATGAATTGCTTTTCTTTCTCAGCAGCTTTCGCCGACTAAATTGAAGCACCAGTTAACACGCTATTTTTGTGCGATTCCCATTGAACTTTCTTGAATGTCTTGAGCTACAATTTTCTATCTACAGCATTTAGTCTTATGGAAATATTATTTTTCTTTGCATTAGTTTTTAGGAAAAGTAGCAAACGGAACGGGAAAACGATGTTAAAGAGTCATTCGAATTTTTCGTTTTTCCAGTGCTAATAGCAATTTGTTCTTACTGAACCGCAGTCAAGTACTAAGCAATAACTTTATCCATCTTTATTGTCTGTGAAATGAGTTTAAATACCTACAGTAAATTTCAAAATTCATTTTCCATTCCTAACTACAATGTTACAAAAATGACAAACATTACTCTAAGGAGATATAGTTACTAAGCTAACTCAACACTGCAAAACTTCTTGATCAATGGAAACAATTTCCAATTAAAACTTACTTATTTGGTTATAAATGATTGTTCCTTGCAGATTCCCTATGCAACAAACCAAAATGAAGCACTGCACGATCAGGAAAATCTTGCAAAAGAAAAGAAGAATTGTTCAAGAGAAAGATTATGTATTGCCATTTGCCGCAAAACTAGCTGCTATGTTTCGAAAATCATCCACCATTTGCAAAATGTCTACCATTCAAAGCTTAGTTTTCAGAGGCTTGGCAATCGAGTATATCACAATTTTCAACATTTTTCTTGAAAAAATATGCTTGCCTGGTCGAGCTTAATTGCGAAAATGAAAAATGTTGAATGACAATAAGAATAAATTATGAGAGTATTGATTCAAATTCATAAATTCATGTTTCTTTCCTAACTTTAAAGAATGCACCATACCTTCATCGTGAAATTTCTTCTTTTGGTTTTCCGATTCACCAAGAGTTGCTAGTGACACGTCATATAACGAAAAATAGATGAAAACAGAGAATGAAACCTGACCATCAACATTGCAGCGTCCTTCTGCTATGACACGGGAAACAAATTCTAACACCTGCTCCTGAGCTGATTATGCAACCTTTACCAAAATACGGGGGACGTTGGCGTTAAACGTGCTAGTAAATCTTTTTACTTCACTTATCTATTCAAAAGTAAAGCCGATTTTTGGTGCAGCTTTTGTTATCTAGAAAATTCTCTGATTTTCATATATATATAAAAATATTCTGAGACTTCAATAGCAAGTCACTTGAACATTTCCCCAGAAAAGAAAGGACACTTGGGCATAAAGCTATGACATGAGGTCGGCTAATAGATTCAACTTTCTTGCCTTTATTTGCTCTACCGGCTTTAGGAAAAACTTCGTAACTTTCAGATAAAAATAACTTTTTAATGGAAATGATGAAATTACGAGAGGCTCCTGTCCTTGCAGCATCCCCACCTCTCTTCCCCCAACTCTCTCCCCCAGTATCTGCACAACTGCCATGATTTGCTTTAGATAATGAATTCAATTAGTGAAGAGACAACAAAAACTGTCTTCAACTTAAAGTCCTTAATCGACTCAAATCCAGAATACTGAAATTGCATTAGGGTATAACAAAAACGTTTCCAAAGCAAATTTATATAGATGCCTAAAGATAAAGTAGTTTAACAGTTGATAATCAAATTAAGCTTTGCAACTTAACAGCGGACTCGGTGTTGCACCTAAGCAGCGCTCAGTTCTACGCGCTAAGGGGCGGGCAGAGATAAGAATGGCAAAGATAATGAAAATTACTGCTAGCTCGTACGTTGCTATAGTGTTTGGTAGCGTCGTCTAAGTGGTACCGAGAACTATAAAAACAAGTGTTTAAGAATGGCAAAGATAATGAAAATTACTGCTAGCTCGTACGTTGCTAAAGTGTTTGGCAGCGTCGTCTAAGTGGTACCGAGAACTATAAAAACAAGTGTTTAAGAATGGCAAAGATAATGAAAATTACTGCTAGCTCGTACGTTGCTAAAGTGTTTGGCAGATAAAATTGAAGACATCTTCATATTCCTTATAAGGAAGTTACAATTCCATCTTAGAGCGCTTACTCTACAAGGCAATTAATTTTTAATCTTTCCTAGATTCAGGGATCTGGTAACAGGTTTATTCAATTCATTTTTTATTGAATACGAATGAAGCAAAATTTGACCTTGTTATAAAAGAATATTTTACAAACTTTATTACATCTGTGGAAATGTTTTATTAGCTTTCAAGCCATCAAATAAGCAGGGTATGCAAAATAAAGAAGAACGGCCTTTTAGATTTATCATACATAGATGAATAAGAAGCGTCATTGAATAGGGCCGACGGCAGAGAAGTGTCGATGATTAGAAAATGCCATGAAAGGAATATGAACAGACTAGAAGCTGTGACGGGCAAAAATGCAACTGTTTGAAATCAGGCAGGTGAAACTGCCGTTTTTCTAATTGCCCAGATAGCTATAAGGGAACAAGTTACATTCAAAACGACAGATATTGCAACAAAATAAAACGAGTAACTATAGTCACTGCCCAAGATTTTGCGTTGAGTGGAGAATGTGATAAGGCCAATGAACTGTAGAATTCCTGCAGAAAATGAGAAAGGTGTTTGATTATTGGAAATAAGTCAGGGTGCATCAAGAGATTTTTAACGTGAAGTCTCAATGCGATTCAATAGCAAAGTATTTTAGCTCTAACATTTGCAAAGAGTTGAAAAGCAATATGACTTCACGAGGGAAATCTTAATAGTTGGCCATGATGAATTTAGATACGGGAAAACCAGAGATCAAGTTCGTCTCCAAACTTAGTGTTTATGCTGCACTCGTAGAAGTACGAAATATGCTTTGCTTACCAAGATTACTGAGACGAAATGTGCTTTGCTTACCAAGATTACTGAGACGAAATGTGCTTTCTTACGAAATATGCTTTGCTTACTGCTTTGCTTTCGTCTTTTCGTTTTGTGCATCTGAATGAGATTACGATTTTCCGAATGAGCGCTCCTTTTCTGCTTTTGATTCAAGGCCGCATCAACACGAAGGCCAACTAAGCCATGGCCTAAGGCCCCATGGTTTTTAGGGCTTCTTGCTAATCAATGTGAATTTTTTATCCATAACAAAATGTTAATTTAAAGTAATATTTTCAATCCATAATTGCAACATCACTGGAATAGAACGTACAAGCATCACTGTTGGCAACAGTTAGGAAGCTTTTTGATTTGTACGGAATAAATACTCATATAATGTACAATGTGCGCAAAAGGTTAATTGTTTCAAACATGCTCTTTGTACTATTGGCCATGACATATTGGCTACTATGTTACTTGGGCCAGACTTGAGCAATTGAGTCGCAAAATGATGACAGCATCATAACATAAAGATTTATTCCTAAATTTTCAATATTGAACGCACGAGCGGAAAGAACATTTTAAAATGTCTCTTAATGTGAAAAACCAGCTAAATATGGATTTTTGCATAATTTTGCAATACGGCTATTTGAAGCTTGCTAATGGATTACTATAAATTTGACTTGGTTTAAGAATATTAAAGCTGATGCAGGTCCCTTATTTTCATAACTTCCACAACTGCCATAAAACAAAATATGTAAAATTTATGTTTGACATAAAAAAGCAACTCTACATCGATCTTATGTAGCTTCTTTAAAAAGGGTACCCAGCATTGGCAAAAGCAATAACTTTGCTCTATCAACCAAAAGAACGAACGACAGGAGACATTTATTGTCTTTAAGCGTAAAGAGTTAGACCCCCCTCCTTTTGTACTAAGACCTTACTATACAATAAAAACAAAAAATAGCTCACTGTCTTTATTATTAATTGTTATTGGCTTAATATTTATTTTCCTTTAATCTTTTTTTATCTTTCACTTTTGTTTTCTTGCAGTTCATTAGTTCTAGCAATCAAAATTCTAATAAACTCCAATTAACTTAAAGTGTAAACTGATACAGAAAACTCAAGGCCCAAACACCTAAAGGCCTTGAACAAATACCTATTGTCTTATACTACAGTGTCCGATAGGCGATCAGATCAGCTCAATAAGATACGATTAAATGAACGGGAGTAAGAGGGACTTCTTACCAGAGGCTGCTTGGAACGAAATGTACCATTTGATTCGATGGTGCACCATTTCTCGGACAAACATGTAAATGCAGGTCATATGAATAACCACAGTAGCAAGTGGAAGGAGGGAAGTGATCATTAGCCAGTGAACAAGTTCCAATTTACCTAGAACAAACAAGCACCATTTCCTCTTTATCTGTGGAAATCTTGGTGGCAATTCAAGAGCAGATCAGGCTTCTTGATATACCACTTAGTTAAGAAATCAAGGTTGCCTATCAATAGAATGGCTAGTATGGCGTGATAAAAAGTTTGCATTGAGAACTTAACAAATTTTGCGTTTTAGTCTGAAAGGACACAGTAAAAGACATCAATGTGTGCAAATTTAGTTAAAACAATTGAAAATTCACTGAGATGTGAAACACACAATGTCAACTAAAAGTAGAAATTTTCTCCGTAGCGTGGCTATTATTAGTCTGTGCATTTCACGGCTTAACAACACTGCTTCCTTAGGTTGCTTCGACTATAATTTGATAAAGCAAACTGGGCCATTTGGTTTGCAAAAAAAACTTTGAGACTTCTACAAGAAAAATGTTATGTGAACAATAATCTTGAAAATTCAACTTACCAGCAGCAGGCATATGCTTTGAGTAGTGCTCACATGAGGTACCAGAGCATTTTTTGTGCAAGCCATAAGAAATCGCGCCTGATTGCTTCGATAAATGAAGCCTCCATGAGATTGTAAACAAACTTGCAGTTGTTAAGCATGCACTCAGTGAAGCTGTAACAAATATAAGTACCAAAGACAGTCTTGCTTGTGGCATCCGGCTGACAAACTGTTTGGTTCAAATAGACATTGATAAGGATTCTTCAGCAAATGTAACATGAGGCAAAACAAGATCTTGTTGTCAGCAAGGCACTAAAAGCACCTGTGGTTACACCTCTATGGTTACACTGGGATACATTCGGCCATTTAGTACTCAGATTTCTGTAACAAAAGTTATTTGATCTTTTGGTTCCTGGATAAATCTCTCTAATCACATTGATACTTAAGGCCGGAAAAGAAACATAAAAGACCGATATGACAAAAAATGTAGAAAGGATTCTTTATTCGAGAACAGGGCATTTTTTGCACTTATTTCAAAGATAAACTTGGTGCATATCTACTTTGCAAATAATGTTTGTATCAATTCGTAGGATCTCAAAACCCATGCTGCAAGAGCCAGTATGCAGGAAATGTATTCTTTTGCTATGAAACGCAGAGCGAGTCTAAGTACTATGGATAATTTAACGAAGTTGTCCATAAAAATGGATCAAGTGGCGAGGACAATTTTTCAGATGTATATTCTTCGGTTGAAGATTTCTTTGCATTGAAAGCCTTTTGGCTGTTCTTGAAGGATTTGTAGAAGATACCTTGATAAAAATTTCTTCATCTTTAACGCACCGAGCAAAGCTGTAAATGAGAACTTATCTGTATTGATTATGGCAGTTATTATGGAAGAATTTTTACATTGTTTATGTTCTAATCGTTTTGATTAAAACATATAGTTCATGCGTTTCGCTTTTTGCATAATTTCAACACAGTGATTGTTATTGCAAACATAAATGATTGTAAAGTTGATAGACAGTGAATGCAATAAGAAATGATTGTATGACTGTATGATGTTGTGATTGATGCGATTACATATATGATTTTAGGATTGTAGGATTTTGTAATTTTATAATAAATTACTGTGTGATTATAAGCTCTTGACAGCAATCATAAATGATTGCACCATTGTTAGTGATGATTGAATCATTGCAAATATTGTATGACTGTAGGATAATGATTGAAATCAGAAATGATTGCACTCAGAAATGATTGAAGGATTATAGGATCATAGTTAGGTTAATTGGTACTTTTACTGAGATTAGAACCATAATTAAAAGCAAACACATACATTCATAATTTGGTATTAGAATTTTCGCAGCCCTTCGACAAATTTACGTTCTTCCTAAGTTCATTAGGCTTAAATTCGATACATTTGTTGCGTCAAACTTTCTTCGTTTGTAGCGTAGAGAATTTGAATTTCCCCATTCTTTTCTCATATCTCATTTTGGGCCTAGTTCTTTAATGAATATGCTCTCTGCTACCTTTCTTAGCATCACATCATTGCCACAAGACGAAAGTAATTTTAATTGTATTTTTTTGTCTTTTACCGTCGTGTTTTTCTTGTAAATGTTTATAGAAAATTGAAGTTTTCCCCATACTTCGTTGAATATTCCTTTATTCTTTCTCCTGTGCTTCTCGCCGTTTCACCAATTAACAAACCATCATCGTTTCCTTTGCTGATGCACCCTTGACATTTCATTTGGCAAGTTAATACCTGAGTCTAGTTGGCATACCTTACATTATTGTTGATTGCACGTTGTTTTTTTTCGGAATAGAGCAGATTTTGCCCATGTTTTTTCCATGATATTCCTGCGTTATCAACCAATCTAATTTTCAGTTCGGCTTCTTTTAGTACACTTCTTCATGTTATTGCTAAATCTTTATTTGGCTTTGTTTCCACAAACATGACAGTTTCATGACCCATTCCCTCCCTCCTTTCATACCATTTAATTTTCTCCTCGAACTTTCCCGTCTCTTTCTTTCGTGCACCTGTTCGTTTGCCCGCATTGAAAAAGTAAATCCTTCGAGCCATCTTTTATTTTCATATTTGTTTCTATTTCAAATAAAAACAAATATTTTTGGGAAAAAATTAATGTGATTAATATTTTTTTGGTATGCAATGCTGATAAATCAACCAGTTGTCAGTGCCGGTGAAATGTATCCGAACGTAGGGAGGGGAGGGGGGGGTGGTGCAAAACATTTCGATTGTGAAAGGAGATAATAAAGGCAGCCACCATGGTTAGCGACAAGAGCAACTTTTCAAATATGGTGTTCTATAGAAACTGCATCTAAAATAGATTGTGACCGGAGGAAAAGCCGAGGCAATATTGAAGCATTCATTCAACAATAGGTGCAAAGGTTTTATCTATTTTAACGTTTACATGAAATGGGAAAGGTTTTGCAAAGTTTTAGAATAACCTATGGTGGCGAAGAGAAATACATAAAGTATAGTTTAGCAATAAAAGATAATCAATATGTAAACTAAAATAGAAGATTAAGCAACTTTTTAAAGTTTCGCTATCATTTTGTAGATTTTAAATTTTTTTGGAAATAAGTGCTTCTAATAACGACTCTGGGCTTGATAAACTTTCAAACTGGGCTGGACATAACGATTCATTAAAGAATTTAAAATTTTGTCAAATTGTCAAAGGGCATGTCTCGATAGTGTTTGTTAGACGGGGTAGTGTTTTTTCGGCGGAGTAGTGTTCTTTCGGCGGGGTAGGATAGTATGTTTCATCTTTGCTTATAAATCCCCCTCTGCGACGAGATATTGCTTTAAAGCTTTAAAGCAAGTGTTTCTTCACATTTCTGGCTTGACAGGATCTTCGATAAAAGTTTGACGATACCTTCAAAAAAGTTTGACGATACCTTCAAAGAAGTAATCTGCCGATTCTATGTTTTCATATTCTCAAAACTTTTTTTCCTAGAACTGTTTTGATTCAACACCTGATTTTATGGCTCATGGATGACACGGCAATTTTTAAAAGACAAAACCACAAGTGAGAAAATTTAGTTTGAACTCAATGTGCTAGGTCAGGATATGAGGGAACAGCCAAGGAAACGCTGGTGGCTTGATGCAGCGAAATACAATTGCTAATTAAATGGCTAGTCAATCTGAAGCATTCTTTTCAGTCACCGGTCAGAAACACCTGAAGTAGCCTTGATTCCAAATTCACGTTATTGACGATCGATTTCAATAACACACCTCCCAACCCAGTAAATAATTTCAAAAAAATCACAAAACGAAGGGCATGTGATAAATATATATTTACATCAATAAGGATGAAGACAAAAACTACAACAAACGATCTACTGCTTTCAAAAATTCTTCTATTCTGTTTTTCATTGATTCTTCGATTGTGACACCCGCTTGAGAAGATTCGAGCGCTTTTGTTCCAAAAATTCGTGCCTGGAAATTAATCAATTAGAAATAAAAACGAACGATAGATATCTAGTGTTTTATTGGGTGTTAACAAGAGATTCATTTCAAGCGCAGGTCAGCGGTGCAAAGATAAATCAAGAATATTGTTGGATTTTAATGAACAACAAAATCAATCTAAATGGCACTGCGACTAGCACAGGTTAAAAATAATTGAAAAAGTCAAAAAGCTGAAATAACATCTACAATAATTTTCTCATCGCAATATACTTTTCACAGCTATTCCTTAAGTGTCAGTCAAAGAGAAAAACATATTCTGATTAGCCTGCAAATTTAAGAACAAGTAAGCAGCACTTAGACGTACCTTCTCGAAGTTATTCAGCACCAGATGCATCATCGCTGTAGTAAAATATATGCTGCACATAGTACTCGGCGTTTGAACGGCCTGATTCTCCCTCAGCTCCAAGATGGCACCCAGAACTTGTACCACCTCTGCTTCTTGTGCCTCATCTAAATAAAGTAGAAAATTCATTAGCTAGAAAGGACAAGGTACAGTTAAAAATATCAAAATGCTGCTAGGTGATTGCAATGGTTTTGTATAACAGATGTTGTTAAAAAGGGCGGAAAGCATATCTTGGGCTGGGCTGACTGGAAACAAGAATGTCCCAACGCATATAATACAGACTAAAAATTCGAAAAAACTTCTGCTAGCTAGGATAAGAAAGGAAAAGAGTTCAGTCTCTGTTTACTTTCTTTAATTTTAAAATTTTGCAACATACAAAATTAAATATCAAAAATAAAATAATAAATTACCCAGAATAGAAAAGTCATGACTATATCGAGCTTAAATGATTTCTTGCAACGATACCAATCAAATAAATACAAATGAGGATTTATCCTATAAAACTGTGCAAGATAATTTTTCTGCGGAAGTGGGCTCTCAGTAGCTGAGCACATCAAAGAGAGTGCACCCCCTGATTTAAAAACGGTTTGATAAACTTTATGAATAGTTTCGAATAGTGGTTAGCTTCAAAGGTTCAAAGAAAAAAACCGCTAATGCAATAAAACCCGCAATAAATTATTTTCCGTAAAAAAGACAACTTGAACAAGACTGACAGAGGCTTATCTGTACTTGAAAAGGTTTCCTATACCAATTTACCTAGATGATCAAATTCGACTTTCTCGCTGGCAATTTGAGCAGGCCCAATACCAGACGGAGGAGGCGGCTCTTGTATTCGCTGATCAACAAGATTATTCAAATGATCAAACCAGATTTCTGTAACCTGTGAAATCAATAAAAAAAATCAACAGCAAAGAAAGGTAAAAATGTAGTAAACAAAGTTTGCTTAAAACAAGGACTGGTATAAACGAGTCGGTTTTGTCTCAATGAAAGAGAGGGATAGATTCTTAAACGACCAATATGTAACGATTCTACATTTAGAAAATTAAGGGTGTTTGAAAAAGAAAAATGATTCTCTCAAGTCACAATATAAGGGAGGGATTAACTCTCAAACGACAAGCATGGGTAGATTTCTAATCTAGAAAACCACAGCTAGTTATAACAGGAAGGTGTTTAAAATGAGAAGTTATGAATGCGATTGAAATTATACAATGGTACAATGGTGTCAAAATGAAATAGAGAGAAATATTTGAAGTTTTCATAGCTTAATCTATAGCAATGTTTGTAATTAATAAATGATGTATGATACAATACATAAACTTGTAATTTGGGTACCTGGGAGTAGAGAGAAAACGCGACATCAAGTTTATTTTGTCTGAAAAACACGTTTGCCATGTGAAAATATCCACCAGAAGTACTAATATTGTTTGTCCCAAACTCCAATGATGAATGGTATATCTACAAAATACACGAAGAGGAGAGGTCATGCCAAACATAAAGAGCAATGTACGTGAGATGCATCTTCAAAAAAATATGTAATGAATATACCGTGCAAAGGCCCTTCGTGTTTGCAAAAAGAAGTTGCTAGTTTTCATGAGAGAGAAAAAATTGTCTTGGCTAGCTTTGATGTGTATTGTTTATTTATCGATGTTCAAAAACTGAGAAGAACATTGAATAAATGAAATAATACTGGCGAATAAAAATGACGTGCTTTGCTAACACTAAGGAAAAAAATAAGAACAAATGAGTGGTAATGATTGGTTTGAGTACTAACATCGTCTGCGAATTGTCTGAGGGCCTCTTTAGAATTGCCTTGTGTTGCATACAACAAACCAATGTTTCTGTAAAGGCGAGATTTGATGGCATTGCTGCAGGTCGGTGTCTTAAGCACAGTCCATTGTGCTTGTGAAAGATATTCTTCTGCTTGCGGAAGCCGCCCCAGACCTAAAAAAAATTGCCTTATCACTTAAAAAGCGTTTGAACTGAATCGTGTAGTACCAATGTTATCTGTTTAAAGACTATATGGGAGGGGAAATGCCCCTAACCCAAACAATACTCCCTTGTGATTTCTATCACTTAATAGGCATTTTCTTACTATCTTTATAACTACTTTTCTCGCTGTCTTTCGGCTCATACCATGTTTATACTTCATAAAAGCAGAATCTACTATCCTAAGAAGATTGACAAATAGCATTAGATATTTTAGTTTCTGTCCATCAAGGCATTGTTTTCGGCAAAGAAAGCTAGCTGTAACGCTTTTTCAGGTGAATGCCTTAAATATTGTACCTTCCATGCTTCTTAAAGAGAATCAAATTTGTTTAGAGGCTATTAGAATGGCAAATGCTGGTGAAGATTGCGTATCTTGGCTAGATTTTAGGTGTCAATGTATCAAACAGTGTTATCTAGTTTAGCAGGTCTGACCAAGAAATTCTATCAACTATCGCTGATTTGAAACCAGCAGGACAAAAAAGGTTACCTTAAATACTTAAAAGTATCATTTATGGAATTTGAATGGTCAATGATTATGTCAGGTTCCAGTCAGACCCTGGCTCTTACATTTTTAAAGGACAAAATTTGTTTACAATGTCTTAATGATCTATGCCAAACAGATTAGCTTCTATGGACAATTATCACTCGACTAAAGGGTTCTAGCTGGTACATGAATAAAGAAAAAACAAAGTGACTGGACTGAGAGATGAGTAACCAAAGCTACGAATGTTATCTAGCGATGTATGAGTGGTCCTTGAATTGCAAAAGCCATAAATGGTTAATGAAGGAAAGCGACAGAGACTTGGTAAATAACCAAAGCAGCTCACCAACAAGGAAATGGAGAATATAGCACAGTAACGGTTTGGGATACTGGTGTTTAAAATTGATAAATCGTGTATGGCTTCTAGGGGAAGAAATAGATACTACTTATCCAATAAATAGGAACAGATTAAACAGAGTTTCTCGTAGCGTTGTTTAATTATTATCAGTTTTGGGTGCTCATTTATGTCCTGGTGGCTTCAGTCGAAAAGGCAGATTTTGATGTCTTGGATTAGAAAGATTTCTCTACTTGTAAATTTTCAACTAATTATCCTTTCAAGGACTTAAAATTAAATAAAATTGGGGAAATTGGCAGCGAAGGAATCTTTATATAAAGAACAACATACACATTTAAATCACAATACAGGAACAACCCGCGCTTAAAGTTACGATTCCAGACTGATAGCCAATAAATAATTGTTTTTAACATTGTCACAGAACTTTTAAGTTTACTTTTTTATACTAGTATTCTGAGAAGAAAATAAGCTTGATTGTAAGAAAAAAATAAATGGACGTTCCGCTAGAGTAGCGTACCGAAAACGTATCATATCAAAGGTTAGAAAGAAATACGAGCAATGTAAAAGAGGAAGGCTAATGGGCCAGAGAATAATAACTTGGACAATAACCAAACGCCAGCAGGATTCTGCAGATCCGTTTAAAGGTCCTGCAGATCCATATAAGGATCCTGTAAACCTAACGTGCTATACTGTATGGATGGCATGGATGGTTTATACCTATGCATGCTTCGCCAAGAATCAAGTATGATGGAACAAGTTCAATGCTTGCTAAGCCATAAACATCAATGGAGAACTTCAGTGACTGCATCGCCGCTGGAATAGCGTATTCATATTTTCCTTCGAACAACAGCTTTTGTCCAACTGTCCTTGTTAGTTCAATCATTTGTTTCTGCAGGGGAAATAGAGGCACACGATTTTAAATCAATTTACTACTTTGAAATATATAATTTTTGCTTAAGTAAGTATTGAAATAATCAAAATAGAGTGGAAAATGGAAAATTGATATTATTAAAACAAATAGTTGATACCACGGGGAGCAACAGACCATGACAACCCCGTGGCAAATTAACATAGAAAGAAAAAAAACTACCAGGTGAATCTGGAAAGAGGCACCACCCGCCCGCAAAGCCGCACCTGAGGGCCACCAACCGACACACATAATTGGATGCGAATTAAACAATGCTATCAAAATTTTGTCCCAGGCCTCACTTAAGGAGTTATTATCGAGTGTGTGGCCCCTACCACGACTTCCCAAGCATTCAGAACCCCTCCTCGACCCACCCATTACATAAAAATACACAAAAGAACATAAGAATACTACAAAAGAATTAAATTTACATCTACTGGACGAATGTGATAATTTGGTTCAGGTTTTCCTCCAATTTTGGCAAGGACTGTAGCAGTGAATTTACGTAGAACTTAGTAACTAGAGCTTGTGTAACAGAATTTAGACATGCCTGTAAAATGCCTCTGTGGTGTTTGGGGAAATTCTCGTACAAATAAATGTTTGTTGGAACACCAACACGGCCAAAGCAAAACCTTCGCCGTGTTTTAAAAATGTTTTAATCCCCTTTCGCCCCGTTACAACGCTGCTGTACATTTCAAGGTTATAGGTTAGCGGTCGCGAATCAAGGTTATAGGTTAGCGGTCGCAAATCAAGGTTATAGGTTAGCGGTCGCAAATCAAAGTTATAGGTTAGCGGTCGCAAATCAAGGTTATAGGTTAGTGGTCGCAAATCAAGGTTATAGGTTAGTGGTCGCAAATCAAGGTTATAGGTTAGTGGTCGCAAATCAAGGTTATAGGTTAGTGGTCGCAAATCAAGGTTATAGGTTAGCGGTCGCAAATAGCTCAAAAAATTAAACCAATCGAGCGCATCAATCTTTCTCTGACGTTTTCTTCGACCCAAGTCTGAATATAAGTTGCTGCTTCCCTCCGGTAATCATCCAACGGTCATATTTTGAGATTTTCAGAAGTATGTCAGAGTACTTAAGTGTGCTATGCTTCTGCTTTTCAGTGCTATATTAAAATTGGAGGTACCAAAGGCCTATTGATAAATGATTGTGTTATGGAGTGGTGGTATTATGAGCTGCTCACCTGCCGAACTTTCTGTTGTTCTTTTCGATGTTTCCTTTCCTCTTCTGAGCCACTGGCAAACGGTATTGGTGTACGCAAAGGAATAAGCAACTGACAAACCTTCTCGTGAATTCCTATCCAGTCGATATTCTGATGTTCCGCGCCGCTATAAGATAATTTTCCACAAAGGTGAATTTTTTATATCAATTGAGATAATAAAGATAGCTGTTGGGACAGCTCACCCTAAACAAGCAAAGACTTGAAGTTCAATTCGAAATATGATTACCTTTTTAAGTGACTTTTTTAATTTGTGATTAATGAATATCTATCTGACACTATACACGCTGTATTTTTAAAAAGTGGCCAAAACTAAATTTCAAAGAAATTCGAAATTTAAAATGTTGAATGCAATCAATTGAACAAAAGTCATGCAATTTTATACAACAACTCCGGAAAATACCTAAAATTGCTGATGTTAAGGGCTTTCTTTTATAGAAAAATTTTATCACGATGTTTCTTGTTTTGTTCCATGTTCAACAGCTGCTTTACGTATTGCGACTTATAAGATCCTCAGCGGTCGGGGAAAGATGTTAAGTGTTTTGTTTGAAACAGTAACACAAATTTTAAAACAAAATAACAGAAAAGCATAAAAGTTAAAAACTGAGGGAAATTGATGTCGCAAAGGTCGCAAGTTTGCTCATAACAATTAATTCAAGCAGTAACTTATTCCTGTGACGTTTTCTTCCTTTAATGAAGTCATTTGCTAATGTATTCAATTATACTGTTTTCTCATATCACCCAAACTGGACCAGGGAAGCTTGACAATGAGATCATTTTTCATGAAGCATGGTTGGTTGCGCGGTGGCACACTGTAGGAAATCACAAGCAGTGTCATAAGGGACGCTAAAGAAGACAACTCTTTCTACGAGATAATTATTGCCAAAATAAACTTGTGATGATATATTTTACGATCATTTCTATCTAAATCTTGAATAAATAGATAAGCTATTTCGTTATGTAGCAGTTATCACGAATATTGTATCTGTGCAAATTCAGGGTGGTCATGTTGTCATGCACACTTATATTCTGTCCTGTACTGGATTTTAACGAAACAGAGTACACAGACAAGGCCATGCAAAGCCGTTGGTGGGATTTTAAATGAAGGGGAAATAAAATAGGTCATGGAAGAGGTTTGCTTATGAGCCACGATACGTAACATCTTCTTAAACTTTGAAATAAGGGACTAAAAACAAGGTCTAGGATATGCTAAAAATTTTAAAAAACCAATGAAACATTTAGGCTAAGAAGAATTATATTGCTGTATGAAATAGGAAACACTGCAACACACCGAGCACAAACAAAAATGTGGAATGATGTGAATGCAGTAGAGCAGAGAAGAAACAGGCTATAAAAGTAGAAGAGGAAAGGGTGGCAAGTGAGGGTGGTGGTGGTGGGACGAATGCTTTGAGGGTGGGCAGTGGTGACAATAATAGAAAATTATCATAATATAGAATAATAATAATTATAATAACAATGATTTCTGAATAAAGCCAATGATAATGAAAATATTTAGAGTAAGTATAATAGTTATAAATCCATAATATTTGGGTGGTAGAGAAAATGATGATGTGAGTGATGATGGTATGTTGCTGCCAAGGTTAACGGTCAGTGTATCTTTTATGCTGTTCGGTGTGAGAGTGTTTGCCAAGCCAATGTGGTATTGCTCTTTAGCTCGTCGAACACTCTCTAGTTTGGTGTGATAGTAAGGTCATTGATAGTATGTTCTGGGCTGCAAAAGTAGAATGCAATACTAGAATTATCTACATTTTTGTTGACAATTTCTCGTTGGTTTTTGTCAAATCTGTTTTTCAGTGGCCTGCTTGTTTGTCCGATGTATTGGCACTTCCTATGTTTGTTAGTTAAACAGCGTTTGCATTGTAATGCATAAATAACGTTTGTAGAGTTGCATTCCAGTCATTGTTTTATGTCACAGTTTTTGTCTATTTTATGAAAAAATTATATTGTATGTATGTGTGTATTTTCCAGCCAATGGTTCGAAATCAAAATATTATAGTCATGACATGAACTCAAGTTGACTAATTTCTTTAAATCAATGATAAAATTAGCCTATGACTTAGTGCTTGATTTCAAGATTTCTCTGAAACGAGCCTAGCAAGACTGCTTTAAAGGGCCTTTGTCTCCTAAGTAGATTTTGAACTATCAGCGCCAAGGTTTTTTTATTGTAGACATTGTCAAATCTTCTCCAGCAGCCTATTGGAGCAGTTTTTAATTCACAAAATGGTAGAAACATGGTCGTTATAATTTTTAAAAAAACAAGCATTTATTTTCAAAGATGAAGGGTTTTTCTTTTATTTTGTGTCAATATTCTTCAGCAAATGACATTGGATGCACTGTAGGAGAATGAGTTAATTGTGTAAAAATGAGTGAAAGAAAAATTGGAAGTAGGTATTAATTCCATTGATGGTGATGGATCCTGCAAAAGGTGTGTCTATGTCTGCAATTGGTGTTTACTCAAATGGGCTCTTCCAAAGAATAAGAGTATGTGGCAGATGAAAATATTACCTGGAGCTATGCTCCCAGCCAATTTCACCTTCCATCAATGTGCAACTTAGGAAAAAATTATAGATCTGCCACTGGCCTCGAACCCCTCTGCAGTCCAAACAATTTCCCATCTTTTAAAAAAAGTCACTTGTTTTCAAAATTGAAACTTGCTTCAGGGAATGCACCATGACAAAGTATCCAGTAGTCTGCACTATCTAGTCTGCATTCCTTAAACTTTGCATTGGGAAGTCTGTTAAACAGGAAATTATGATGTTCCCAGGCATGGGTTCCCAGAAAAATCTGACTGGAACATGGGGAGGGTGCTAGGGGCTCACAGTAGTTATGCCTATTGTTCTTAGGGAAATGAGGACAGCCAATATTTTGCCATTTAACAGACCACACCATGTAGGTTTGGAAAATTGAGCAATTTCCAAAATTTGTTTTTCAATTGCTGCTTGGTCAAACTAACTTGAATTTTTTCCTAAAATGCAGCAAATTTATTAGTGATTTGTTATCATCTGTGATTTGTTTGTGCTAACATCTAAACTTCATTTTTCCTGTAAAAATTAGCTTATAAATAGAATAAATTATTAGTGGGGTGCTGAAGAAGGGACTTAAAATGAACTGCTCAGAAAATAGATTTTGCATAAAAAACAGGTGATTTGAGCATGAAGCGTTTATCAGGTTATAAAGCACCCCAAAATTTTGTTCTACTATAAATAAAGAGTCATTTCGATATGTTTCTGTAGAAAAAAGACCAAATGGCAGAAGCTTCTGCTTTAGGAGCAGTGATAATATCATCCCATAGGTATGAAAATGACAAAAAACCCCCACAATACTGTTTTAATATTATATCTAATACCTTTTAAGAATGTTAAATATGGTAATATGTCCAGTAAACCTCACTATTTTATTGTTGTTATTGTATTGCTGATAGACTACCTCTATTTTTAAAGCCTACTCAGGTGACTAAAGAATTTTTTGTAGAAAAGCCAAAATATTAATAGCTGTCCTTAATCAACTTTCTATAGTGTAAAATTTAATGATTTTATTACATTTTGAGTTATCATCAATTTTATCTGATGCAGTCAAAGAGCAGGCCTATTCTGTCCTGACTTCCACAGGGTAACATCTAAGGGCTACACCTTCAGGAAAAGTTTCTTAAGACCAACCCCTTTGGCATGGATTGGTTCTTTTTTAAAACAACATCCTTTATACACTTAATCAATGATTTTTAAAAAAGTAGAGCTTCAACAAAGATATGACATGGGCATGGCTGGAAGCTGATACAGTATGCAGACTGGCAGAGTATAACATCAATTCTAGACAAGATGTTGTGCATGGAAAGTCATTTCAGGTATGCACATCTGCATGCAAACCTTTTATTACAAATCAGATGTTGGTACACATATGTTTTCTACGAAAGATGTTGGTACACATACGTTTTTTATTTCTTTGTTCCAGTCAAATTTTCATCTTCACATTTGCCAAAAATGGATCATGGAATTAGAATCTTCATTTTGAAATAACTCTGCGCCAAAAATTTCATATTATTTGGACTTTGTGGAAGTGAACTACCCAAATTTTGAAATTTAGCTTTTCCTGTCATACATTTCAATGCCATTTGTAGAGCAAAGACAAATATCAAACATTCAAATAAGAATATCTAAATATTAAAAACAAAGTAACTTGCCACTGGACAGTCCAAACAACACAAAGTTTTCATTACATCTTGTGAAAGATAAAGATCTCAAATTCAAATCCCTGTTTTGAGAAAGGTCAAATAAATCTTATTTTGCATCATCATTCGCAATAGATAGCTAGATGCAAAATGGATGATATTTACCTGGAATGTGAATATACACTTGTGAATATATATAATATAATAGTGAATATACACTTATGTGATAAAAGTATTAGGATGGTGAATAACGAAATGGCGGCTCCAAAACTTGCATTCTAACATTGATTGAACAAATCTCACTGTTTTGGGGGGACTCTAGAAATGGCATCAGCAAAAACCTGATTCCTAACAAATTTAACTTATTTCCTACCTTTTTATGATAGAAAAGTAACAAAATGTCAGGGAGAAATGGAAAATGTCAATGTTTTAGTTTCAATGCCAAAAACACAAAAGTGACCAGAAAGAGAATGAGAAGCAATAAAATATTTGGGTCTAGACGAGTCATTTCCTTTCAAAAATAATAACATCATGGTCTTTCAATTAACGAACCCCTTAAAGTCAAAGCCTTGGTGTAATTGAAAACAACTAGTTACTATAAAAAAATCAAAGAAATGAAATCTTCTAAGACCAAAAATATACTTTTTTAGTATTTTCTTGAGATTTCCTCTTGTATCTGAAGATATTTCGTTGCAAAAATATTGCATTGAGTTCCAATGCAAATGGCCCCTGCCAGATACCTGGAGATCATCCGACAAAATATAAAATAAAACAAATGGTACTTGTCTGTCTTTTTTTACAATTTATTAAATACAATTGCAATTGAAAATCTCAACCAGCAATCTTGTTATGTTCCACCGGTTTTCTATGTTGTGTTTTTGAGCAAAGGGTTAACCACATTTGCTTTGAGGCGATCGTCCAAATACTTTTGTCCAAATACACTACCAGGACAAAAGTATTGCAACACCTGCGAAGGCGATTAATGGCGGATCACGCAATAACTTTTGTTGTTGTCTGATTAAGCTATTGTTTAATCAGCCAATGGCACGCAAATAAAATTGCAGATCCAATGAAGCGTTAATTCGAATATTCCATTTTCTTTTATCAAAATTTTAAATCAGCAATTCAAGTAACTTTTAATTAAACAGATATTTTGTGGAGATGCTTCTGGCTCTGATAAGTGCGGAAAATTGCATTGGAATTGATGCACAAAATTTGCTGATGAAAGGCACTGGGATTCTCCTTCGTTCTCCATAAACTCTCTAAGTTAGTTCTTGTTTGGATCTTAGAGAACCTTGTGGATTTCAAATCAGATCATTTTCATTGGCAACAAGAAATATTAGCTTATTTTAGGGTTAGGTCTTTGTGATGGCCGAGGAAGGACATAGAGTTTGCAGATTTTCAGGTAAATTTGAGTAAAAATGGCCTTGTAACGGGATGTTTTGCTTTTTATGATAAAAACTGCCTTCCTCATTTTCCTAGCATTAATTTGATTCCACCAAAGAAACTGTTATGCATTATTTTGACATGTTTCACTGCATTAACTCACATGTCGCTAGTTCATGATTTACTAATTTATATAGGCCTAAATGTACCAAAAAAATTATCCAAGTTTTATTGGAGAATTTCGAGGCTAAAAGAGTCAGAGCTAATAACTTCATTTGTTGTTTCCTAAACTTTCACTATTTTGCTATCATTTTCTATAAAAAGTTGCAAAATCTTTAGAGTCGAGAGACCAGTTACACGAAGTTTTATCGCAACTACTCGCTCCTTATCTTGTCAATATCTTGAATTTACCACTGCAGATATTTTTTCTTATAACTGTAAAATTTCTTACGTTAATATTGTAATTCTAAGTTTTTCGAAATCCTCAATAAATTTCGAAGAATTTGATTCCTGGTTTAGAATGATTATGCTTATTTTTGAGGGGAATATTTCAGCGTTAAGTTAAAAGTTTACAAAACTTCAAATTTTTTGATGCCATTTTGATTAGGGTGTTGCAACACTTTTGTCCTGGTAGTGTACAAAGTGGTGTGCAATTTCCAATTTCGCAGTGTATACACTAGGGTATCAAAAGTATTGCACCACCCTGCTCAAAATGTCGGCACTTTTTGTTGACTTTTTGACAATGCAAAACATTTGAATGCATTAATTGGGTGAAGTAAGCGCATTCTAGAGCAAACTTTGGCGAGAAAAGTTTGCAAATCTTGCTGACGCCATAGAAAACTTAGTTAGAAATGTATAAATTACGCAAAAACATTTTTATCTGTAAGAATGTAGCCCATGCCTGAGGAAACAAATTTGTCAAATGAGAGGCGAGTCGCTATAAAACATTTGCAAGGAAGTGGTATTTAATTTTTAAAAAAATGTTGACCAAGTTAGATGCAGCTACACAACAGCTGCGGTAAATCAAAAAAGATTTCTGGAGAGTGTTACAGTTGTAAAAAACCGAGAAATTGGCGACCAAAATAAATTTGATGTTAGAGGGAAAAGAATTTGTCTGTTTTGTTTCACTGCGTACAGCACCAAGGGGCAGTAAAAGGCATGAAACTCAACAATGCGCAAAGTTTTGCAGCTCAAAATCCGTCCACAGAAAATATAATGAGTGTTTTGCACAAATACAAAAGAAAAAGTTACCTGAGTAAACGGAAACCATTTTTACAAATATTTATTTCCATACAAAAGAAATTAAAGTTTTGGCATAGCCAGAATCAAGTCCAATCTTTAACATCGCTAAAAAAGTTTGACTTCAAATGAAAAATGTTACAAACCGTGATCCAAATGGTCGTCCGAAAGCCAGAGAATCATTTATTCTAAGACTTTTCTAGGCCTAATACAAAATTCTACAAGAATACGTTGCCCAAATTCATGGATCCATTTCAAGGAGGCTTTTTGCGGTTTCAAAAGTTTGCGGCAGCCAGTCAAAATATTGATATTTGAAACTGTTAAAAGATGTTTGCTACTGTTATTTTTTAAATAAATGCCCTAAATATATTAAAGTTTTGATTGGTGGTTGTTTTGCTTTCGACCAATTGCCATTGGCCCTCTAAAAACAGAATTCATTTGCATAAAAATAGCTGTCGATCATTCATGGGCCATTTCTCCTCCTTCGAGGTGGTGCAATACTTTTGATACCCTAGTGTATGAGTTTGCACCAATAACTAATAAAGCTATTTAATTGTATTTGTTAAAAAACGAACTAAGGATTGATTTATAATAATTATGAAACTGATAAACCGAAACTTGCCGTTAATACCCACTTGACACCCATCATCAACTGAATGATTGATGATGATAAACAATGTTATTAAATAATGTTGTTATTATGTGCTTTGACATGAATTTTGTTGCATTTCTATCTAAATAATCTTTGAAAACTGGTAAAAACTATAAAATTCATACCAATAGTAAGTGAGTCTGCATTTGGTGCATTGGATAAGTGCAGGCTTTTGACAAAGCTCACAAAGAAGCTTTATCCCTTTTGGGTTGGCAAGAGGATTGACCGCCATTTTTCGGAATCCTGAGAAGCAGCTGTTGCCATAACAACAAGGGAACAATGTTGCTGCTGCTGCTCCTGGTGGTTGTTGCTGGTGTTCGTGGCTTCCTGCAGATCTCAAAAACTTGACTTTCCGTTGATTTCAAAGGTTATGAGCAAGACTTATGATCCATAAAAGATGTCAGAAGCTGTCCATCCAAGAGAAGAGGGCTCTGACGCTACAGATACCACGAAAAAATCGTCAAAAAGGAAGAACGATGAAAAGAAAAGAGCGACATCTGTTTATTCAAGATCTATGTAAACAAATGCAAATTTCTTATGATGTAAACATCAGAGGACACTAAACTAAGCTGGATAGCTGTATCCGTTTATCTCAGTGTCCTGCACAACATACCATATAAAAAAATTACTATTTTAGTTTCAACAATGAAATAATTTCTGCTATTTCTTGTAATGGCATTACTGTAATTAATCCACATCGGCATTGTTTGCCGCCCAACTTTCAAACCTGCTTAAATGAATAAACAATATATGTATGTATCTTGCATATCCTTGTTTTACAAAGAAATTTGGTCATATTTGACACAACTAGTAGCCTGATAATCAGCCTAATGCAATGTGCCTTCTTGTTTAAATAATTTTTTTCTCACAAATAAGAAACACAGAATTTTAGCGTTCTGTTCACATTTTAGTTGTGTGTAACATCTTAATAATGTTAAGTAGAAACTGAAACTCTTTAATGGAAATATGAAAAATGAAACTAATGAAGTTAATTACTCCATTGTAACAATGTTACAATTTATTCAAATTCAACTTCCTCACATTTTGAAAGTAGATCAAATTTTACTCGTTGAATAAACCTTATTTTTATTATGCTTGACTGGTGAAATGTATTTTTTTGCCTACAGTAACCATGCCAACTGTCAACTCCTGGGACCAGCACCTGCACACAAACTTGGTCCAAGAGCTTGTCTTTTGGTAGCCAGAGATTTTCACAGTGATGACATCGAGAAAGACTTGTATTTATTCATTTTTTGACATCCATTTAAACAGCCAATTGCTTGCAGCAATTAATTTATAAATATCCTATTTCAAATCTCTGCAAATAGCCACATGTCTATGTTTTCAATCAAGATGCTCTATAGAGTCGAGAAAAGACTTAATTGTATTCTTATTTCAGGTTGATAATTTGTTAGGATCTCTTTTCTTAAAAGCAAGAGCTCTGTTGGAGAATTCTGGGCATTCAATTGCTAATAGCCAATGGATACCTTGCATAAATGCAAAAATTGAAAATAAGCAGTACATAGAACACCATTGAGTTTATTTTGAGTCTGATTTTTTTTTGTTTTGTCATTGTCATAAAAAGCAGCTGCTTGCAAAGCTGGGCAAATCTTTTTTAAATCATGAAATCGATATTGTTTTATCTAAAGAGCTCCTCTGGTTATAAATGTACTTTATTTTCTTATTCCCTTTTTTAAATGCAAGAGATTTTGTCTACAGATACATGTATGTCAATTTGTTGTTCTTAGATTTTTGCAAGATCCAACAAGCCAGTTTTTGCACTGGAAGAATTGTCCAGAGAATGTTCTTATTATAAAAAAAGTTAATGATGTGGAAGTGACTGAAAATGCAAAGCAACTTGCAAGATGGCTTGTTGAGGTAAATTGAGCACTTGAGATATGTCAGCGCACATTTGGTTGTCTATGTATAGTTTAAAGTGTATTGAAAAGATGGCCTACCCATGAATATTGACAAGCCGATAACAAAGGCACATGATTGAATATTTCTTAACAACGTTTAAGAGCAAAACATGCTAGAGAAATATTGTTTATAATAAACAAAAGACAAAAATTACACGATAGGGTTTACTTAGAGATTGAAAGAAACAAAATGTTTTATTTTGATCCTATCAACTTTCAAAGACTTCCTCTGACATTTAGCATCTTTTTAGATTTGTGTCATATCTTGTAAGGATGCTTGCAAAATAAAGTCAACAAAATATAGGGAAAATTAAATGCTGCTGTTAACCATGCTGGTCCACAATATTTTCCATGATATATGACAAAATATTCATATCACCTTCCTGTTTATCATAGATAATTTCCTACCCCTTGTTCTATTATATTGCTGCCTTATTGATTTATTCAAGGAGAAAAGCATGAATGTTTTTGTGGAAAATAATGTGTTGGAAGAAGAAGAAATTGCAGATGATGAAAGTTTTAGAAACATAAAGGAAAAGTTATTGGTGTATAGAAAAGGTTAGGTTTTTATTTTTTGCAGTTAAGAGATATAATATGCTGTTCAGTGAGCTGTTTTGGTCTTCACTCTTCAATCATTAATTTGTTTTTAACTACCTAGCTTCCAAAGATATTTTTAGGGCACTGAAAAGCTTTGCTTATAATGCAGTCTCTTGATGTGACCACACCTCATTATTCCTGCACTTAGTATGTTTGTAAAAGTGGAAATATAAAAATTAGACTTGATCCTCATTTAACAATCTTATAAATTCTGAGGCAAGTCATTGTAAGTTAAAAGTACATATGGGTAGCTCATTTTACCTCCATCTAGGTCATAAGTGGGTCAATGTAGATATTCTTGATGTTTCTCGCTATAGCAAGTATGCATGTATTTGAAGATTACTGATTATTTACATGCTAACAATGTTTGTGCTTATCTTAGATGGTGATGGAGAAGAGCAATGTAATGTTGATCTAATAATATGTCTTGGAGGTGATGGAACATTGATTCATACATCATCATTATTTCAGGTAATCTGTCACTCAATACCATGCTGTAGAATTTATCTGTCAGTCTCTTTTCTTGGGGTTTTCAGGGCTTGTTCTTTCCTTGATATTTTCCTTAAGTAGAGATTTATATAAAACTGAAAACTTAAATATCTTTGTTACAATATAGACCTGTGTATTTTTTGAAAGCTGATACAAAGAAGGAAAACTATAAAGTGCACATTTAAAATATGTTTTCATCGCAAAGTTTTAAAGATATCTGGGAAAAATCTAACATAGAAAATTCATGTACCTTCTTAAGTATATCAAAGATCCTGTCTTATTTAGGCAAAAATAAATTATTTTCTCTCTTCAACAAGGTAAGAGGTTTGCCATTGGTAATTGGTCAAGAACAAGGAACCAATCGAACACTTCATCCACATCCAATTTCTGCTTCTCTTAAGTTATTATCAATTGTTTTATACTCTGAGGAATGTTGGATGAAGAGTACTTAAGTATGCCACGTTTCTGATTTCCTGTGCCATTTTGAAAAGATGATTTTTGGAAAAGATTCCAGAGTATGGAAAACCTGAATGATGAACAAAAGGTGACTGGCTTCAAGTTAAAACAAGACTAAAAAAGATTGTAGCAAAATGGCATTTTCAGCAATCAATCAAAGCATATGCGTTGGTGATTCAATTGTTTGGAGAAAGTAAACATTAAAGTAGCTCGTTGAAAATTTTCTGTTGCTTACATTTGCTTTCCTCTTTCTTCTAACTGACACAAGCATTTAACTAACTTTGAATCTCTGTGTTCAAGATCTAGACTTTTCCTCTTGTTACTACATTTAAAAACTAGTAATTATGCAAAATTACCAATGATAGAATGATAGAATCTGTTTGCCCTCTTATTGACAGGTCGCAAAAAATACATTACCTTTTGAGTATATGAACAAAAGTACTAAATGCTTATTGCTTTCTTGAAATTTTAGATTTGGACCAGGTTTACCAAACACACTGTAATTTTTTTACAGGAGAGCTGCCCACCAGTGGTATCATTTCATCTTGGGACACTTGGGTTCCTAATGACCTTCGACTTTGACAACTTCAAGCAAATAATTACCCAAACACTTAAGGGTAAGGACTTATCTCACCATTTCACCCTAGATTTTCAAACTGAGTGTACCATCAAAGTCACAGATTCAAAAAATATGTTTGAACAATGATGACTTCATAAGCAATAAAGTTTATTAAGACAAAAGCCTAAAGCAAAGTCACTTTCTGTTCAAATGTAAATAATAGTTTTCCAACCGGGTATTTGCATGAAAAAATATTAAGATAACAGTGTAAAGAAAACACAACTTGTATCTGAACATAACATGGAGAAGCAATTGAGAAAGATACAAATTCTAAAAGTAGATATGTTGCAGTGCAAGCATGACACAAGACCTGAACTACGCAATAGGCATAATATAACAGAACAATAGTTAACAGTGTGATTATCGATAAGTATATAGCAGTGAGCATAATAGATAATAATGAGTTCTTAACAATTAAGACAAATTGAGTTCAGAAAAATTCAATAACGTTTTGGTCCTCTCTTGATAAGATTTCTTTATTTTTCTGCTTATACTGAGATAAGCGCTCCAGGGATGACGGAGCACATTTTAGAGTGGGGGACTCTAGAAAAGTGGGGGCTCCTTTTGTATTATGCTACCTTTGATGCCATAACCTTAATATCATACTTAAGCAAAAAATGGGGGTACTACAG